CAAGAAGCACTCAACTTCTTGAAATCATACATACCGATATATGTGGTCCATTTGACGTAAATTCTTTTAATAAAGAGAAGTATTTCATCACTTTCATTGACGATTTCTCGCGTTATGGATATGTCTATTTACTATATGAGAAATCTCAAGCAAGTAAATGCCTTAGAAAGTTATATAAACGAAGTGGAGAGGCAATTAGACGTAAAGGTGAAAATTGTCGAGTCGATAGAGGTGGTGAGTATTATGGAAGATATGATGAAAGTGGACAACACCCTGGTCCGTTTGCTAAGTTCCTCGAGAAGCGTGGTATTTGTGCTCAATACACAATGCCAGGCACACCGCAACAAAATGGTGTGTCTCGAAAGGCGTAATCGAACCTTAATGGATATGGTTAGGAGTATGTTGAGTAATTCATGTTTACCCGTATCGTTGTGGATGTATGCTTTGAAGACCGCCATGTATTTGTTGAACAGGGTTCCTAGTAAAGCGGTTCAAAAGACTCCTTTTGAGTTATGGACAAGTAGGAAACCCAGTTTAAGACACCTACATGTTTGGGGTTGTCAGCGTAAGTAAGAATTTATAATCCGCAAGAAAAGAAACTGGATGCAAGAACAATCAGTGGATATTTCATTGGTTATCCAGAAAAATCAAAGGGGTATATGTTTTACTCGTCCTACTCATAATACAAGAATTGTTGAAACTGGAAATGCTCTGGCTCATTGAGAATGGTGAAACCAAGTGGGAGTGAAGCTTCACGAAATGTGGAGATTAAGGAAATTAGAGTACAAGTTCCAATAACTAGTACATCTTCAAGAGTTGTTGTTCCAAATGTTATAGAATCACACGACAATCAAGAAGAACAACAAATTAATGATCCCGAGATAAACAATGATCCGATAATAGAACAACCACAGAAATAGTATTAAGAAGATCTCACAGAGAAAGAAAGTCTCGCTATTTCAAATGATTACGTGGTTTATCTACAAGAGTCGAAAATGACCTAAGTATTGATAATGACCCAGCTTCATTTTCGGATGCCATTAATGATGATAATTCCGATAAATGGTTAAATGCTATGAAAGATGAGCTTAAATCAATGACACAGTAATGGTGTATGGGATCTTGTGGAATTGCCGAAGGATGTAAGAGTGTTGGGTGTAAATGGGTCTTTAAGACTAAGCGTGACTCTCATGGCAATATCGAACGTTACAAGGCCCGACTTGTTGCCAAAGGTTTTACTCGTAAAGATGGCATTGATTATAAGGAAACATTTTCACCTGTTTCTAAGAAAGATTCCTTTAGAATTATCATGGCATTAGTAGCTCATTATGATCTTGAGTTGCATCAAATGGATGTTAAAACCGCTTTTCGAATGGAGATTTAGAGGAGGATGTTTATATGAATCAACCAGATGGGGTTTATTGAAGAAGGAAAGGAACATATGGTGTGTAAACTTAAGAAATCAATATATGGACTTAAACAAGCTTCTCGACAATGGTATCTTAAGTTCAATGATACTATTTTGTCCTTTGGATTTAAGGAAAACACTCGTTGATCGGTGTATATATCTGAAGGTCGAGTGGGAGTAAGTTTATATTTCGATTCTGTATGTTGATGATATCTTGCTTGCGACTAATGATCTTGGTCTATTAAGTGAGACTAAGAAGTTTCTCTCTAACAACTTTGAAATGAAAGATATGGGTGAGGCATACTATGTGATAGGAATAGAAATATTCCGTGATAGATCACAAGGACTCGTTAGGTTTGTCTCGTAAAGCATATATTAATAAAGTTTTAGAGAGATTCGAATGGAGAAGTGTTCAACATCTCCCGTTCCAATACGTAAAGGAGACAAATTTAGTCTTATGCAATGTCCAAAGAATGACTTGGAACGGAAACAGTATGGAAAATATCCCTTATGCATCTCGTTGTTGGGAGTTTGATGTATGCTCAAACATGTACGAGGCCGGATATTAGCTTTGCAGCTTGGTATGCTTGGTAGATACCGGAGTAATCCTGGACTCGGATCATTGGAAGGTCGCAAAGAAAGTTTTGAGATACTTACAAGGAACAAAGAATCACATGCTTACTTATAGGAAAGTTGATCACCTTGAGGTGATTGGATATACAGATTCGATTTTGCTTGGTTGTAAGGATACACGAAAGTCAACATTTGGTTATGTGTATCTTTTAGCCGAAGGAGCGATTTCATGGAAAAGTGCGAAGGTCTGTCATTGCTGCATCCACCATGGAAGCTGAATTTGTGGCATGCTTTGAGGCCACAGCTCAAGCTAATTGGTTGCGGAATTTTATTTCGAGACTTGGAGTAGTCGACAACATTGCCAAGCCGCTGAAAATTTATTGTGACAATTCCGCAGCTAGTCTTCTTTTCTAAGAACGACAGGTATTCCAAAGGTGCTAAGCATATGGAATTGAAATACTTTGCCGTTAAAGAAGAAGTTCGAAACAGAGAGTGTCAATAGAACATATTAGCACTGATCTTATGATTGCTGATCCTTTAACAAAGGGATTACCGCCCAAGTTGTTTGTCGGCCATATAGTAAATATGGGCATTATGTTTACTAGTAATGAATGTTGAATGTTAATGTTATTATTAATGTTTATATGACACTCGAGATCTTTAATGTATAAGTTTTCGAAATTTGTGTTTTCTTCTTTATTTATATGCATGCAAATTATGATGAAGAAAACAAATTATGTTATTATTTTAAAATGATATTATGTTTGAACCCATTATGGACTTCTCATTATAAAGTCATATTAAGGAGAAAGAGATAATATAAGTGGTACATGGAAGGGAGCCTGTCGATTGAATGATATGTAACCGCCATGACTCTTGTTATAGCTGTATCTTTAATTATGAATAATGATAGAATCAATTTATGTAAGGTCCTTAAATGCGCTTTATGACTTAAGTATTAAATCACAGAATCGTATGACATCACATGGGTCAAGTGGGAGAATGTTAGAATTAATTTTTAATTAATTCATTCCATTATGTGACTCATGTGAAATATTATAAAGGGCCCAAATGTGATTTAATAATTATAAGGACCTATTGGTTATTATGTGAAGTCAGAATAAAATAAAGATAAAATAAAATATTAACTGAATGTAACCAACTCGATGGACGTTGGTTAATAAAAGGGATTAGGGTTCTGTCTCTGGCCATAAGGTCTTTTTCACGGTAAACCATCTAGAAAGCGAAGCGTGAGAAGAGAAAGAAAGGCAAAGAGATAGATTGGGAAAAGGAGATTGGAGAACGAAAAGATCAATAAAGGATTCTCATGGATCAAGGTTAGTTCTCTTACTATATTCATGTATTGATGTATGCAAATGTGAAAATCAATAATCTAAAGATCCTGTAGAGTAGTTTTCTATAACGAATTAAGAACGTAGGAAAACTACAGAAAGTTCACACTATCTGTAAGTTATAACCATGCTCAATCCTGGATCATTAATTCTACAGAATTATTTCACGAGAAATATGTGCAGAAAATTGCAAAAGATTAACGTCTTCATAAATTGTTTGCCTCCAACCACACTTACAACAAAATTTATACAGCATACAACTTCATACTAGTAGTAGCCTTAAAGGCAAAAACACTTGATGTGACAAGTTGATAACTATGGAAATTGAATCTGCCCCTTGCATAACTTGCACAGATCATCGTTTCCTAATCTATAATTGACAGAGAATGTCCACCAGTGTTTCCAAAATTATATTTTCAAAGTGTAAAGTGAGATAACCCACCTATTGTCTAATGACATTATAAGCAAAAGACCATGGTAAAAGCAATTGCAATTAAGTACCTTACATTTACAAAGACATTGGAGCAATCTATCACATCAAGCTATGTAATATTAGCAGTCACAAGTGACTAGAATATTCAACAGAATTAGAAGTGTCTTTTAGTCTTATTGATGCTGTTCTACTCATGACATCCATAACCGTGTAGATGCAAGGCAATATATACAGCAGGAACAAATTTAGTGAGAACACTTGCTTATGTGAGAAGATAAGAACAACTAATAACAACCATCATATCAAGAGGTCAATAGACTATTACGATTATAATACTTAAGAATTCTACTAAAGTCTCATTTAGCCATAAAATCTCTAAACGATTCACCAATCAAAAATAAAATCTATAAAAGATATCAATTATCTCACTTATAACATTGATCTTTTTTCAAGATTTATGTTAATTCGTCACTACAATAACTGATGCAACTACCATTATCATTGTTTCCGCCACAAGCACCAACATGATGATCATCAATGCCACCACCACAATAATAATCTAAATTCCTAAGTATTTTAATCTTAACCGTACATTATTTTTAATCTTAACTTTAATGCCTAATATTAGTTGTTCTCACGTAACATAAACTAGTATTATCAATAGAGTCGCTCCAATTATCTTAATTCGATGCCTGTTATGTATATATTGAGTCTCAATTATCAGGACTCAACTGTATATTATTATTCAGGCTGAATTAGAGATCCTCCAATTATAGCTTAAGCAGCGTAAGGTTATCCTTTTAAAGCTTGACTACACAGTCTGATAATCACTTAATGCCTATTCACTCATTAGTACAGAGAACTCAAACCATTCTACTTATTCTTTTGAGATATTGGGATAAAAGTTAGAAAGGTGCTGCTTTTGGGAATTTCAATGCACATTCCCGAATTCTAAGCACAAATTGAAAAAGGAAGAGTCCGTAGCTTTGAACTCCAACAATTGACATTCAAACATTCCCACACCAACTTTGCAAACTTAAATCTAAACATGCAGTTTTCCCTCTAGAACATAAAAGTCAAGGAGCTCGCTACCTTATGAAGAACTAATGCTAAATTGCAAACATCTATCAGATAGATAAAAGGCAATATAAAACCACCAACATTGTATTTTTTTTTTTTCCAGGAAGCAAAACAAGAGAATTTATCACAAACATACATTTCAACCGCGTGTGCATCAAGAACTTTTAGCATAGGATGAAACAAAACCACTACCGAGAAGCCTCTCCACATATTTGCCAAGAATATCCACCTCAAGATTCACCTTGTCCCCAACGTTCTTCAGAGGAATCACCACCTTCTGCTGAGTATAAGCCACCAACATGAAATTGAAACACCCTTCATCGTCGAACACATCCACCACAGTCAAACTAGTCCCATCCACAGCAATAAACCCCTTAGGTACAATGTATTTAAGCAACGATTTTTCAGTCCTAACCTTCACCCAAAGGGAATCTCCTTCCGGAACCTTTGACACGATCACCCCCGTGTTGTCCACGTGACCCTGCACGAAGTGCCCGCCCATGCGGCTCGTCGGCGTCACCGCGCGCTCCAGGTTCACCGGCGACCCGGGCTCCAGCTCCGACAGCGAGGTCTTGCGCAGCGTCTCCGGCGACAGCCCCACTATAAAGTCCGAGACTTTGGCGTCGAATTCCGTGACCGTGAGGCACGTGCCATTCACAGCGATGCTGTCACCGAGGTTGACGCCGTCGAGGACCGTGGAAGCCGCGATTTTGAGGTCAAAGCCGCCGTGCGAGGCCGTGCCAAGCTGCTTGACGGTGCCCATTTCCTCGACGATGCCGGTGAAGAGGCAGACGGGGCCGGCTGCGCTGCGGGGGCGCGTGGGGGCGCGTGAAGTGAGGGGGAGGTAGGCGCGTAGAGGAGTGGATTTGAAATTGGGGCTAAATCTAAGAGGAGTGGGGTGACAATGATGGGAAGTGTGGGTTGTTGCGGCGATTCTTGGGACAGTGGGTGTTATGGTAAGAGAAGATGCAATTGGCATTTTGACAGTGGTGTTAAGCAAAAGCACTATGTTGTGTTGTGTTTGGGAATTGGGGAAATCTGAGTTTGGGTGCAAGTAAGTAGGTGCTTCTGCTACAGTTTCAGATAGATGATCCCTTACCAGGTTCGTTTGAACTTTTGGCAATACATTTCATGTATGTTTGAACTAAAACGACATCACCTTAAGGGCAACCTTATTTAAGATCAAATTATTAAATAGGAGAAGAAATTAATGACTCAAAAGAAAAAGAAAAAACACTGAACCGGTTGAACTTAACTTGGTCCACTATTTTAAAAAGGGTGCTGATTTATCGACATCAATAAGAAAAAAATAACTCTCCGTACAACCCAATATATTAATTTATTAATATAATAAGTATAAAAACACTTTAAAAATAAAAATAATTTTAAATTATTATTATATTATTAAAAGCTGTTGTTGAAGCCGTTGTTTGAGAAGGTTATAAAAATAGTTTTTTCCTTTCAAAAAGTTATAATTCCCACACCTACACTAATTATTCCCCTTTGATATATCTGTTTTTAAACTTATTACTAGCGAACAAAACTCAAAAGTGAAATCTTTGAAGTCTATCATTATTTTTTTCTTATGTTGCCATTTAGTTATAAATGATTATATATGATAATACTATTAATTTTTATAATAATTGTTTTACAAAAATAAAGTTTAATGTTATTTTTAATTAGTTAATAATATATAAGTTATTCATTGTGTAAAATTAAGCTCAAAAGTATTAAATCAATGGGTGAGGAGTAGAAGAGAAACATGTTCTTCGATCCTCCTCTTTAGTCTTTAGTCTCCTGGAAAATAAAATTAAGATTGACCTCCAATATAATTGTGACATAGTAAGAACTTCCAATTAAAATCATACATGTAAAACCAAAATGGTCAAACGTGTTGGTGACTTTTGGCACAGTATTTTTGGTACCAAATAATGCTTCTGAATCAACATTTTAGTGTGTAGAAGCAGCATGTGCTGAAAAGGGAGTAACTTTCTTGCCAGGTGAACCAATTGAAAAGGAAACAACAAGACAAAAGAAAAGACAAAGCAAAAATATGAAAACCATTTAGCTTTGTGTTTAGGTTGGAAATTTCACACCTGCTTCATCTAGTATCTTACTTAACATTTTCTTGGGCAAGTAAATGAAGTACATGAAAAGGACACAAAACCAATCAAACTTTTTTTAACGTAAAAGTAATCGATTAAGTGCAGATTACTAAGATAAAAATGGATTTGCTTACATGCACACCGCAAAAGGAAGGCACATAGCAGCAAAACTAGAAAAAAATGTTACATGACGGTGGCATAGACTAAGACAGATGAGAATTTCACCTAACACAACCCAAATGTGTACTGTAATTTCAGTGCACAACCCCACTATTTTCTTTCCTAACATCCTTCAAATTCCAACACTTCATGATGCTCATCTATTAAATTAAACCATCCCTTGACGTTTCACAGTCACCAACTTCTTTTTTTCTAGTGAAATCCATGGCCAAGACTAAGTGGGTGTGCCTTCTTCTGCTAAGGTTCTTGGCCTTTGCAGCAACCCTTTCAGCAGTCATTATGATGGCAACCAGCCATGAGAGAGCTACCATCTTCACATTGTCATTTGAAGCAAAATACACCAATTCCCCTGCCTTCAAGTAAGTGTGTCTTCCAATAGTTATAATTATTAATCTTTGTTGTTCAATAAAATGCTGGTTTCCTTCATGCTGAAACTGATAAAAGATATTCTACCTAGGTACTTTGTGATTGCATACTCTGTTATCACTGTCTATGGATTTTGTGTCCTCTTCCTTCCTGCAAAAAGCTTGCTCTGGCAACTAGTGGTAGCCCTGGATTTGGTAAATGTCCTAAAGCCTCTTCTTTCCTTTTTTTAGCTGTGTCTCAACACATACTGTACTTTAGTGTGATTAATCAACCGTAGCCAACATAATCAAGCTCTTTAATCGTATTTGAGCTCACAGTTTATATCATAAATCGTTAAACTCATATTATATAGATGAGTCAAATTCTGACAAGGGTTACATTAATGGTTAATTTTTGAGTAGGTGTTCACCATGTTAATTGTCTCGAGCCTCTCTGCAGCATTGGCTATAGCTCAGGTGGGAAAGAAAGGAAACAGTTATGCAGGTTGGCTACCAATATGTGATTCAGTTCCCAAATACTGTGATGAAGCGACAAGAGCTTTAATAGCTGGTTTCATTGCAATGATTATATACATAATTCTTCTTCTGCATTCCATTCATACCATCATAGACCCTCTCCTCTTGAGAAAAAATTGAACACTTTTTCTGGGTCAGCATGTTGGAATAGAATTAGTGGTTGGTTATTTGTTGTTCAACCAACATTTTCATTCTGCTTCCCATCTTTTTTTCCTTCCCTTCTTTCTTGTAATAATTTATTTAGCTGAAATATGTGTTTCAATTTTTATTTGGGCTGGTAGAATTTTTTAAAAGACAAATTATATTATTTAACATTTTAATAATTTTATAACTTACTATTTTGAAAATATATTTAAATAATATGATAATTAAATAAATTAAATGATAATTTTATTTTTATTTATTAATATTAATGTTGTCTAATAATTTTTTATCAAATTAGATTGAATATTAAATTAAACGTGTAAAATATATTACTTAATTGTTTCATACTAGGTTAAATTAGGTCATATTGAATTTTACTTCAAAAAAAAATTTCAATCCACTATTTTGAATTTGATTAAATCAGGTGTGTAGGATGTTCTTTCTATAAATGCTTTGATCAATAAAATATTCACTCGATCTTAATTTCTCCAATTTCACATTTACCAAATGCTAAAATAAATAAAATTTATTTGGTTAACATTGTTAAGAATAAATGTTAAATAACTTTAAAAAAGTATATCAATACATTTTACATGATGAAAATCTTTATTATCATTTTCTTTAAAAAAAAAATAAACATTGGCACACAACAACGCATTTTTGCCATTCATAATTGATGATTAATCTCGGACCATTTTATTAGTTATTTTAATAAAATTTCTTCTAAGAAAATTATAATCAACACATGTTAGTCATAACTATGAATGGAATCTTTTTGGGCCCATCAAAATCTTATTTGGTAGGTAATCTTTCAAGATCTTTGTTTTCAAGAGATACTTAGTGATTGAGTTGAGTTTATGTGCGGGAAAACTAGGTTTATCCTGAGATAGAAGTAAAATCATTTAGATTTTAGAGAGATTATGGATTTAGAAAAATGAATAAATAAACTTTTTTTTATAACCTCAGGAGATCTTTAAAAATAGTTTTTAACTAAAATTATTTAAGAATAAAATTAAATATTTTATTATAAGTAGGATGTTCTTCCCACTCAAAACAAAAATATCATTCTATATTTATTTTAAATATCTTATTTAATACACAGGAAATTACTTCACAGAAAAACAAATTATGTGATTCTAGTTAATAATTTATACGTAAAGTTATTCAATATAATGGATAGAGTGATAATAAATGCTAATGTAAAATATTTTAAATATGATGTATTAAATTATAATATTTTAGATAATTTAAATATTTTTACAATAAAATAAAAAACAATATTATTAAAAATAAATGAAAAAAAAAGATCATTAGTAAAAATATATAATAAAAAATAATTATTTATTAATTAATTGATAAAAAAATTAAAACTTAATTAAAAAAATATGAAACTTATTTTTTAAAGAGATAAACATGTATTTAATAGAAGAAAATAAATAAATAAATATGTATGTAACTATAAATACATGTGGGGAAGGAAGGAGAGTTAGGAGAAAAATAAAGAAAGGAAAAAGACAAGGAAAGAGAGGAGATGAGAGAGAAAGGAAAACTTTAAGAAAATTTTAATGCCCTGTGTATAATTATTAAAATAGAATATGAGATATTTATTATTTTGTTTATTTTATTTTTAAAATTATGATGGTTGAGTAAGATGTCTATAATCTTATTTTATTTATTTTGATATATTTATTTTATCTTTAAGTACATATTTATTTTATTCATTTTATCTTTAGGTACACATTAGTTATGTTTTATATTTATTTGTCTTCAAAAATGCATTGGTCCTATTTTAGTTATTTTTAACTCTCCATTGGTCCCATTGTAATTACATTGAGTTACATATTTATCCTTATTTATTTATCTCCAATTAAACTCTAGTCTTTTTTTATATCTATATTTATCATCAGTTTTGCATTGATCATTGTTCATTAGTTTATATTTATATTATTGGAATCTTGTTTAAATTTTCTTAAAAAAAATATATTTTATTTATAAATATTTGATGACATTGTAGATAAAAGTTGGACCTTAGAGATTAAAATGAATAAATATCACTTAAAAAATGATTTATTTTTTATTCATTTATTCTTATTAGTCATTACAAAAATCAATTTAAATGTTCATAATATAAAATAAATGAGATATAATGATGAAGTTGAAAAGATGATTTTACATATCATTTTGAAATTATATTATTTTAGATAAAAATTATTCTTATTTCCCTATTGTTATTTCTTGTGTATCTTAAAACTAAAATATCAACATAAACCAATGGAGACATCAAGATGAAAAACAAATATCATTGATAAATCAATCACTTTTAGAATAAAAACATTTATCAATTTTAATAATTATTTGTAATATAGAAGCAATGTAAACTTGTAAAGTTCATATAATTATACATATAAATGTATAAACATTTATTTCATATCTTTCTTCTCATTTTAAGAAAATTTTATATTATCGATGGATATGTATCTGTCGGTAAATGAACAATTAATTACCAACGGATATATCCGTCGATAAATCCGTTGCTAAATGAATAATTAATTACCCACAAATATATTCATCGGTAAATTAATAAGTTTAATAAATGGACAATTAGTTACTGACAGATATATCCGTCGGTAATTATTTATTCATTTACTGATCGGGTTTAAAATATATTTTTAAAAATAAATATTAAATTAAAAAAATTTAAAATTTAAAATTATATAATAATTTCTTAATTTTAAATATATTCTAATAAACACGACACACATCTTCACCGTCGAGCGCACTCTCACATCCACCATATAAATATATAACTATATAAATATATACAAATATATCAAAATATATAAATATATTTGTATTTATATATTTTATATTTATATATTTACACTGGATATACATTTATTTGTATATAAATATAATTTATTTGTAAATTATTATTAGAAAAACTTAATAAATAATAAACATATAATATAAATGGTAGGGGACCTCTAAATAAATGGAGAAAGGTAATAAATTAAATAAGTTAATAAATAATAACAATATAAATAAATAAAAATGTGTCATACCTATCGATGAATTTTCTTAGTTACCAACAGATTTTGTCCATCAAAAAATCCAATTTTTCTTGTAGTGTCTATAAAGATTAATAAAAAATAATCACCTCTTAGAATATTAACAACGAGATAAAAATAGATGTCACATTAACTAGTAATTAATATGGTATGCCTAATTCACATTAGTTTAATAGTGTTTGATAAGAGATTTGTTTTTGTTTCTTTTTTTTTTACATACAAATTATAATTTTTTTAATTTTCCAATGTTATACATGACTAAAATTAGTTTAGAAAACAAATATTAAAATATTATGAATAATTATTGATTGTTAATTATTTTTTTAAATTATATCATTTTAACATTTATACATTTTTTAATGGTATTTTGGATTATATTTGTATTTATAAATAATATTTTAATGAAATATAAAGGAATCAAACTATTTTTTATTCTATTTCTTTTTATACAAGATTATATTTATGAGGACCTAATTTAAGTGGATTAATAGTATAAGTGTATAATGAGAGTAAGTTTATATAAAAATTTAATGACTTAACTTCTGCTGTGAAAAAAAAATCGTGTCTTAATAATGGATTTAGAAATTTATTCTAATCACATATAAGTGTATATAACACCATTGTGTTATATATTTAGGGAGTTGTGGTAAGATAATGACATATCTATGACGTTTATTTTAATATCCAGTATTCCATAAGTTGTCTGGTGTTAGTGTGACGACACGAATCTGAGCTTATATGAGTGTGATATGATATATGAAAATTTGGAATTTAATTATGTTGTTTTATCTCATTTGAATTTACATACTTAAATTAAATTACTAGTTTATCCTATGTGTTTTGTATGTTGTTTTAAAGTGTGATAATAGTATATTTATATGGGAGCATATGTTGCAAATGGTAAATAACATATCTTCTTGAGAACTGATGGGGTCATAATCTCATAAAGTTTTGTAACTTATATATATCTATGATTTTGACTTACCTCAACTTAATGATAATTAAATATATTTATTTGTATATTTATAATTTTCTTCTTTTACCCTTTCATCTTCTTTTACCTTTTATATATTTTTATTATTATTTATTAATAACTAGGGATGACAATTAAACTCGTACCCGTTGGGACCGACCCGTCCCCGCCTCAAGTTTGACTGGAAACCCAAGTTGATCGGGGCGGGGTCGGGGATGGGTAATGCAATCCTCACCCCAACCCCGACCTCGTCCCGCCTCAACTTTATATTTAAATTTTAAAATATTAATATTTTAAAAGTATTTATTTTTCTTTTTCTATTACATATAAGGTCATTTTTTTATATTTCACCAATTTTTTTTTCTTCTACCCACTTTTTAATTTTTTTGTCTTTTTTAATATTTTATATCAATTAATTTATTACATTATTCTCTCTTACCTTTCAGTTTTTCATATTTTCTTAATCTCTTCCATCAATTTGTTTTTTTATCTTTTCAACCACTTTGATGAACACAAAGTTTTTTTTTATTCTTTATCTTTTTCTAAATATTTTACATAAATCTTAATAATGTTATTTTATTTATAATTTACAATTATTAGGTTTTATTACGTCATATTTTTTTATCTTATTATTCTTATTTATCATATATCAAATTTTATCTTAATAACATAATTGTATTTTAAAGGATTAAAGGAATTGATAATTTAAACTTTTATTACTTGGAACTAATTGAATAAGAATTAACTTATTAAATATTTCCTTATAAACTATATATTTAATATTTTTAAATGACAACTTAAAAATGAATTAATTTATATATATAATCAAATGTTTGAATACAATATTATAATAATAATGTTATAAGTATCCAAATATTTCAATATAGTGTTATAATAATAATAATAATATTATAAATAATAAATGATAAAATATTTCTTTTACATATATATATATATATATATATATATTTAATATAAATATAATAAATTAAAATGTATATTTAATCAATAATAATTATAAATTATTAATATTTAGTTATATATAAAAAATAGATAATAAAATTAATTTATTATAAATATAATTATATTTTTAAAAATAATATAAATCGGGGACTGGGCGGAGGTGGGAACCCGAAACCCAACGGGGATAGGGACTTAATTTCTAATCTTGGTGGGGATTAGGGGCGGGGATGATTAAAAAGTCGGAAGTTGGGATCGGGAGTCAAAACCTGTCCCTACACTCGTTGCTATGCCTATTAATAATATATTATTTGATTCCCTAAAATCAAATGTGAAATCAACAAACTCAACAATAATAAATTTAAAGCTAGGAACAATATAGATTTAGACTTTATTTTATTTTTAAAGTAATATATATATATATATATATATATATATATATATATATATATTTTTGGGATGTTACAATATTGTGTAAAAATAATTCACCTTCCATTTGTTTAGAAAATTTGCCCAGGAATTATGATTTTACATAAATAATATTTAAAAAAAAAAAATTAAACGTGCGAAATAAACTTCTTCAACATCAGAAAGCTATTTTTTTTGTTTACAAATGTTCTTTAAGAATGTTGACTAATATAATGTAAAAACCATTAAATTTATGCATGTTAACTAAGATTTTGAATACTAATTTTAACAAAATTTCAATATTTATTTGATTTAATTTTGTTTATAAGCTTTTAAAAATCATTTTTGAAAATAAATTTTTATAGGTAAGTTTTAAAAAATATTTACTAATTTTAGTTTGAAAATTATTTAAAACGTGAAAATATGATATTTAATGAAAGAAAAAAAGTTGAGATAAAATGTAAATTTTTTTTTATAATTTTACAAAACAGATAATACAGTAAGAGAATAAATATTATCAATAAGATAAAAAATTTTAAAATATAAATTAGTTTTTGTTAATATCGTATAGTGGAATGTTTGGGTTAAGACAAAAATCAAGAGGGGTGAATTAGTTTCTTATAAAAATTATCCCTTTAAAAATTTTCACAATATTTTACTGATTAAAAGACAATAGAATAGAACACTTGAAAAGATATAAGGAAAAAAGATTACACAAGTAATTTATATTGGTTCAGATCAAAAGACTCTACGTCCAGTTGTTAATCACTCTAAAAGAGAATTAACTTAATCACTAAAATAATGCTTCTCAAATAAATAGATTACAAATAGTAAGGATTAGAAAACACCTCTCTTAAGTCACATAAGAGATGAACACCTCCTTTGAAACCACAAATGATTAAGACAACTTTCCTAGAGACGACACAACACTCAATCCACTGAGAAACTCACACAGTGATTCTTATATAGGTTTTCAAAGCTCATTTTTCTTCCCTACTCAAAGTTTTCTTAGCAATCACAACTTTTAACTTTTTGAGTATGAAAAAGGTTTGTCACTTGGCTGAGAGCACAAGAGTCCTTTAAATAGAATTTCAAGATTTTCAAAAATTAGGTTTGAAATTCGAAATTCATAATTGACACACATAATCGATTATCATTAGATATAATCGATTATCACATAGCTAATATAAGAAAATTAAGTTTGTCCAGGATAATCAATTATCTTGAGTGATAATCGATTATTCTAGAACCAATTTCAAATTTAAATCCACAACAGCAATAGATAATCGATTATCCTTTAAGATAATCAATTGTTCCAAAGTCACTTTCAAAAAACTAAAATTTATCCCGGATAATCAATTATCCTGAGTGATAATCGATTATTCCAGTGCGACTTTGATAAAAATAGAGTTTTTTTGTACATACTAAATGCTTATTATCATGAATTCTATTTTTATAGACTTAAAATGACAAAACATAGTTATTACAAACAATTTCAAATGTATATAAGTCTTCCAATTTTGAAGTATTTTGTTATTGAATCTTTATCAAAATCTTTATTCACTGTATCCTTATATTTTCAACCGTTTCAAAAAAATCTTGTTTAGTCTTTAAAAATAAAAAAAAATAAAAACAGCATTTGATACTATTTTAGTAAAATGATTATCAAATAAGAGTTTTTTAATTTAATTTTTATTTTTAGCTTTTAAAAATTATTTTTGGATAACTGCTTTTGAGAATAAATTTGAAAAAATATTTAATAAATTTAATTTAAAAATTATCTGAGATAAAAGTGCAAAAGAAATAAAAAAAATAGCTTCAATAACAGTAAAAATAAATGATATAATTAATACACCACTAATGAAAATTAAAACAAAAAATATATTATATCACTTCTAATTTTTGTAGTTTTTAAAAATTAAAAAACACAAACTTTTTTGAAAACAATTTTAATAAAAATAATTTTTTAATTTAAAAAAAAAAAAACAAGTTCTAAATATTTTAACTTTTAATAACTATTTTTAGAAAATGAAATATACAAACCCTTAAATTTTGATTTATTTTAAGAACATCCTAAATTTATTAGTTATGTATAATATGGAGGACCATTGATTAACTGTTACTAGTAATTAGCATACTTTTAATTTTTCAGCTTGTGGGTGTCAATTAATCTTCCAATAATTCAAAATTATTGAACTTATGATTGCTGACACTTGGCACACTTGTACTGGAACATAAATTAAAAAATAAAATTATTGTTTAAAATGTAATGAATAAAGTACAGGGGTGATTTTAAAGATATATGATTAAATTATTATTTTTATTTAAATTGATTCTTATAAATTATAATTTACATGTAAAATTAACATATAAGTGTATGGATATCCTAATTTTATATAATAATAATAATAATAATTAAAAATAATAATATTTTATTAAAAAAATTTAAAGTCGATTTATTTTATTAATGAATGATTAAAACAAATTATTATTTTATATTAATAGTTTATTAAATTATAATAATAAAAACTATTTTTTTAACTCTTATTTTATAATTATATATTAAATTATTATTTTAAATAAAAAATGTTTATTAATATAATTTAAATTTATAAAATATATTTTTATTCTAATATATTTTTATTGAATATTTATATATAAGTATGCTAAAAAAATTAATTTTTAATTAAATTAAAATTAACTCGTTAATCCATTAATATAATACAGATTAAATAAAAAATAATAATCTATTCACCGATCTAAGATAAAAAATAATAATCCAGTTAAAAATATAAATAATCTCAATCATATAATAAAATATATGGAGGGAACATATACTTAATTATACTATTTTAATTGATTGTATATTATATTTAATAGATATAGTATTTAATTATATATTTTTAAAAATTAAATAGCTACCAGCTTCCACTTTCTTACTGGGTCAAAGAATATTTTTTAAATCTAGAGATGTAAAGCAATTTTCAAGTCCTTCTTTTTCATGTGACCTCATATGTAAATATTAAATAAATAAAGATATAGACTATTTATTATATTCACAAAATATGACATATTATATTCTATTATATATTGTTTATGAAAGAAAAAATTATTTATTTAAATGATGGGTATAAAGATCTTACACTTTATTTTATTTTAAGATTATATTTAAAAAACCATTTCAATTACTTTTTAACTCTTTTTTTATATATAAATAATGATAGGTAAACATTTTTTAATATTATTTGAAAATAGTTTAATAAATTTTTCTTAAAATTTTAACTTCTACATTTTGTTTTTTTATTATCTTTCATTACAATACTTATTAAATTTTTTTTGTTATTATTAAATGGGATATATTTAATTATATTTTACGATACTTTAATTGTATCTATTTAATTAAAATTTAATTATCTAATAATATTAAAAATAATGAAATAAATCATAAGGGTTTGAAAACAATAAAATATTAAATTAAAAGTATCTTCATAAAGTGTCATTAGATTAAATTTGTTCGAAAAAGATTTTATAAATATGTCCATTATTTTCATATTACATTCTTCAATTAAAAGTGATTTGGAATCATTTTTAATGCTCAGGGATCTGATGAGACGAAAGTAAAGAAAAAAAAAGAGATTTTTTTAAGATTTGGATCCACTAAGAAATGTTTAATCATTATTATGGATTACATTCATAGTAAATAAAAGACCTGATCCACTGAAAATATTTAATAGAATATTATATATATTAAATAATTTGTGGAGTTTTTTTTTAGCAAAATGCTTTTTTGAACATTGGTACCCTAATAATACAAAAGTCAATCATAAGGTGATAATTTAAAATTTTGAGAGAAGATAATAAAATAAAATAAAATAAATTTTATAATGAATTGAGAACAGAACACACCAAAATCAAGAACCTCTCAACAACTAAAAAACAGTGGTCGGTGCATCTCATCCTTATCCTCATCTTCTCCAACACAGTTCCCCTCGTTTTTTAAACGTTTCTTTTACATTCTTCTCTCTCCCACCTTTTTTATTTTTTATCATATAAATAAAAAAAGGAGAAGAAGATAAATTATGATTTTCTAACCGAATGTGTGAATCAATAGTAGTTTAGTTATTAAAAAATAATTAGAATGATCATATTTTTATTATTTTAAATCTTTAATTTTCATTCGCCCACGTAGTTCATATATCTATAAAACCCTCTCACATTTTCTCCTTTAAAAAAAGTGTTACAGATACGATACTTGGTTTTGCGGAAAAGCAAAGTAACGACGCAGCAATCGATAAACATCTTCTTCTCTCTCTAAGGACTCTCTATCTCTTCCTAACCTTTTCAGTCTGAATTCATTTTCCCGTCTTCAAGCTTCGGCCATGGCGTCTGGATCCTCGGGTCGCGGAAACTCTGCTTCTAAAGGGTTTGATTTCGGTTCCGATGACATCCTCTGCTCCTACGATGACTACGCCAACCGCGATTCCAGTTCCAACGGCAATCACGCCGATCCGGTAATTGCTCCCAATTCAACTATGGATTATTTACCCATGTGCCCTTTGCGTCGTTTCGTGCGTTGACTCGCGCGTCTATGGTCTATAAGGGTAATTTCAGAACATGTGTCTCGGTCTTTTAGAGTAAAATTTATTAGGGTTTTGGAAAGTTATCATTTTGAGTGATACAGGTATAATTCTGACTGCGGAGGGTTTTATTTTATTGTTTGTTTCCTGCGATTCCCTCCATCCCTAATGTGGTTTTGGTTGTAATTTGTCGAGCCTGGGTTGGTTCTTTGGTTGTTTATGTGGGTTGCTGAATTGTGAATGTGTTGCTGGGAGTTGGAATAGGAAAGGCTGGAGTGACTTGCTGAGATTTGGGTTTATTTTGTTCTGTAATGGCTAGTGACATGTTAGGATGTGAGTTCGATGTTGTATGGGTGTTTTAGTGAAATTTTGTGGTGGATGAATGTGAAACTTTTTTATTTTGGCGTTGTGGAATTCGTTCTGCTTGGTGAAGTTACTTTTGACTTATTGGTGCGACAGAAATTGTTGGAATAATTCGTTGGGTGTGACATGTTAAGATGTGAGTTCGATGTTGGATTAATGTTTTAGTGAAATTTTGTGGTGAACGAATGAGAAGCTGTTTTCTTTTGGTGTTGTGGAATCTGTTCTGGTTGGTAAAGTTACTTTTGACTTATTGGTGCAACAGAAATTGTTGGTTTAATTCTTTAGTTGCTTATTTGGGTTGCTGAATGGTAGATGTGTTGTCGTGAATTGAATCGGAAAATTTGGAGGTACTTGCTGAGTTTTGGGTTTATGCTATTCGGTAATGGCTAGTGAAATCTTAGGATGTGAGTCCGATGCTGTGATTGAAGGTTTTAGTGAAATTTTGTTGTGAAGGAATGTGAAGTTGTATTCTTTTGGGATATGCAATTCATTGTGGTTGGTGAAGTTACTCTGACTTATTGGTGCGACAGAAATATGAGGGTAGTATGTGGGAGGGCCCTACCCTACGTATTTGGAGTTGTTTTAGAATTGTGGATTCTTGTGTGGACTGCAGGAGCTGGTTGACTTTGAAAGAGAAGTATATTGATTGGATGAGAGTGAAAGGAAACAATAATGTTCTGCTATAGTGTGCATCTGTACCATGAGTATTGGGTTTTCTTTATTCATACACCTGGTTGATATTTTTTATGCAATTTAAATACATTGATGTGTGAGTTGTATAGTGGGTCCACATGGTTGCCAGTTCAGAGAAATGGAATCAATGAGGAATTGTGTCCCAAGTGTGACAGTTATATACGTTTTGGAAGATCAGATGCTGTGATACTTTTAGTTTATGCACTAAGTTAGCTTGACTGATAGATTGATGATCATGATTCACTTTATGTTTGAAATATAATTGATCAATCCTCACATCCAAAACTATAACTGTAATTTATTATTGGCCTTTCTTGGTTTAGATATGTGAGTATGGGTGTAACCAGAGGTTTTTGTTTACTCATAGGTGTTGTGCTTGCTTCATTTTTGTTTTTCCAAGCTTATTGTTTCTTATATGCATGTATATTCTAGTAATGATTATGAACCACATGTTCCTTTATAACTCTGTCTATTTTAATATCATATCCACAAACATTTTTGCAGGATTTTCACAAAGCAAGGATGTCAAGGGCATCAATGTTTCCTACTACTGCCTATAATCCACCTGAAGATTCTTTAAACCAAGATGTGATTGCGACTGTAGAGAAGAGTATGAAAAAATATGCTGACAACCTCATGCGTTTTCTTGAGGGAATTAGTTCAAGGCTATCACAGTTGGAATTATACTGTTACAATCTTGACAAATCTATTGGAGAAATGAGATCAGACTTAACTCGTGACCATGTGGAGCAAGATTCAAGACTGAAATCTCTTGAAAAGCACCTTCAAGAAGTAAGTCGCAACTTTAATTGGTATCTATAATAGTTTATTTAGAATTCAAGTTATACTGTACTGTCTAATGGCATCATTCAATCCAAAATTCCAAAATTTGCCCCCCACCCCAAATTGTGGGGTGGGAGTGTAGGATGGAACTAAATCATCTATATAATGATAATCATTAATTGACTATTTTACCCAATGGTAAGAGGTATTGCAAACTCTTGTTTTTATATTCTCAGCCAGCACTCCTCCCAATCGTAGGTATGTTTCCCCACGGTGACATCAAGTCACATAACAACCTGTTAACTACCAGATTATATGATATTATATAAGCATAATAGAGACAAGAACAAAACTACGGACATAGATTGAGAATTCTGCAAGATATAACGATTTATTTTTTTCTTGATATGATTTCAATTTGATTGAATCAACCAGTACCTAGGGGAGTTATTTGGATGGATTGGATAAATTTGAAGTTGGATAAAATTGGATGGATAGAAAAGAATCCATTAATTCATTTGTGATCTATTAAAAATGCACTGAAAAAATCCAATTGATCCATGACCAATTTACTAAAACCCATCCAATCCATTCTGTAATAATTGTTTTTTTGTATGGATATCCAACCCTTTTCTTTAGAAGTATGTTATATTTGAAAAATACATTTCAATAATTTCAAAGTTATTGTTTGTGGATCGCATAGTGATGAAGAAGTAGCAGGGAGAAGTAAAGAGATTTCAATAGCAATAGGCAGAACCGCTTGATCTATTTTCAAGAATTTAATTATCCAATTAATTTGGGAAAAAATGGATTGATCATTAACTATCCATTAATTACAATAACTCCACCCATACCAATTTATTTCTGGTAACTAAAGTAGATGAATTGGACTTGAGAGTATGGATGAACTAATTAATGTTATGGATGTACAAATAGGGATTATTTTGGCAACCGTACAAGATTATCAAACTCACGAGTTTACACACACTAGTGGAATTTTCATGAACTCTTGTTTGGTATGCATACAACATTACCACCAGAAGATTAGCATCTTTACTTTCTAGCTCATTTCAAAACACAAATATCATTATCCTTGTGGAATGTAATCTAGCAAAAAGTACCTATGTAATCAACAACGCAAACCATTTACCAAAGTTGGACCTGGATGAAAAGGCACTGTTGTATTTTGGCAAAAACATTCAGAGAGTGCATTAAGATCTAAATCCTTTATAATGATTTCAGTTTATTTTTCTTGATCTTTCTCAATCTCTAATTCTTCAGCTATGATATCCAAGCACAGCCATGAGGTAATTTCAAAAGATGCAGTTATCTCCAATTGTGTTGCAGGATATTTTGGAGTCCCATGCTTTCTTGGTGTGACAAGTGGCAGGGATCCTTTGTGTTGAATGTAAGGATAGTTGTGGGGCTTTAGTTGGCCTCAGATAGATCCCTGGCCCAGCAAGGATTTGGATTAGAGGGACCATACTGGGTCAGGATTTTTTTGGGTTGGGCTTAGTAATGTGGACCTGGAACAATAGGCTTTATCTGAAGTGGCAAACCCAACCATGGTCTTATCTTGATTTGCAATTTTTTTAATATACTTTGTCCATCTAGGTTAACAATTTCCAACCTGGTTCTATGCAGTATTGCAAAATTAAGAATCTTTTACTATTAGGATAGTTGTAAAGTAGTCCCAACCTCATATTTTCTTATGCTGCTTCTATAGGTTCACAGGTCTGTACAAATTTTAAGAGACAAGCAGGAGCTAGCTGAGACTCAGAAAGAATTAGCCAAACTTCAACTTGCTCAGAAAGAATCATCTTCCTCCAGCCATTCGCAGTCCAATGAGGAGAGATCATCACCAACCACAGATCCTAAAAAAACTGACAATGCATCTGAAGCAAACAACCAGCAGTTGGCTCTTGCTCTACCCCATCAAATTGCCCCTCAGCAGCAGCCTGCAGCACCTCCGGCTCAGGCTCAAGCTCCTGCACCAAATGTGACTCAAGCGCAGCAGCAGCCTCCTTATTACATGCCTCCCACCGCCCTGCAGAATTCAGCTGTACCCCAGCTCCCTCAGAATCAGTATTTACCATCTGATCAGCAATATCGAACTCCCCAACTTGTGGCCTCACAACCAACACCATCTCAAGTAACCACATCCCCACCAGTGCAACAATTTTCTCACTATCAGCAGCAACAGCCACAGCAGCAGCAACAATGGTCACAGCAGGTGCAACCACCTCAGCCACCTTCAATGCAATCTCAAACGAGACCCCCCTCTCAAGCTATGTACCCTCCATACCAGCCAAACCAAGCACCGAACCCATCACCTGCAGAAACTCTGCCAAACAGCATGCCCATGCAAGTGCCATATTCTGGAGTTCCACCACCAGGATCAAGCCGCACTGACACCATATCATATGGATATGGAGGAGTTGGCAGAACAGCTCCACAGCAGCCTCCACCCCAGCAGATGAAAGGCTCTTTTCCTGCACCACCAGGAGAAATGTATGGACCTACTGGCTCCCTCCCTGCGCTTCCTCCTCCTAGTAGTGCATACATGATGTATGATGGTGAGGGAGGAAGAGCACATCATCCACCACAACCTCATTTTACTCAACCTGGGTATCCTCCAACAAGTGCTTCCCTTCAGAACCCCCCAGGCCATAATCTTATGGTCCGAAATCCAAACCAGTCGCAGTTTGTCCGCAACCATCCCTACAATGAGTTGATTGAGAAATTGGTGAGCATGGGATTCAGGGGTGACCATGTTGCAAGTGTGATCCAGAGGATGGAAGAGAGTGGACAGGCCATTGATTTCAACTCGGTACTTGACAGGTTGAATGTGCATGGCTCTGTGGGTCCTCAGAGAGGATGGTCAGGGTGATGAACAACTTTTCGGAACAATACTTTGTCTGCCAAACTAAGTACACTATGTTGAAACCCTCAAATCATTGCGTGTTTTAGTATGCATTGAATAAAAGTTTTATGTAATGTGACGGTTTATCTTCGCATGTAAAAATGTCTTGAGATGTGAGGATTATCTAGTATTTATGCAGAAAATCCTTCACTTGCTTTTTTTTTCAACCTATCTTAAAGAAGTATAGATTATTAGTAATCTAGATGTTTACGGCATCTGCATAATATATATAATTTTTAGTCATGATAGCATGCAGGAAGAAAGACTTAAGGTAAAATTTTCAAGTATTTGTATTTTGTAAAATGTAATAATTTGGTCTTTTGTCGGGTCAAAAAAATGTACAGGGTAAGGAATCAAATTACAAAAAACAATTTGTTGTGAATAAGACTAAAACTAATTTTCATCAAAATATACTACAAGAGTTAGACATTTGTTATGGAATCGTTTTTCATTCTTCTTAAATGACATTTAATAAATTATAAATTATGTCTGAAAATCTATTATGCTCATGTTTGGCCATTTTTTTAGCTGTAAAATTATATTTAGAGATGATTGATCATAAGGGAAAGAGTTCCTTGTGCAGGTTTTAGAACAAATGTTCATGAAAATAAGTTTTAACTAAAATATTTTGTTAAAAATAAAAGTTGAAACTTTAAAACGGGTACAAGAATATTTGATACAACTAATGGGTGCTTGCTAGGTTCGGTTCAGGGCAAAGGACTTGTCCTTAATTATTGCGAATACAAACTAATTACTCCATTTAGACCATCTTCACCGCATTAGCGTGGCCCTTTAGAAAATTTGGATCCAATGCCCAATGATAAACAAGTGTCTCTATGATATGTACAAATTTAAAACCATGTTTAGATAGAAGAAATAAACTTTTCTGTAAATTAATTTATGAGCTTTCTCATATATATATTTTTTAAATTGAATTTTTAACATATTTATAAATTAATTTTAGTTTGTGGAGATATTTTTTTCTTTTTTTTTGTATATTGAATTGTTAAAAATGTAATTGATTATTTTCCTTATTGTTTTATCAGTAAACAGTAAAAAGAGAAAGAGTTGAACCAAAATTTGATAGTAAGTTGACACAGCTAAATAAGAATAACTATTAATAATTTTACTCTATTATTATTATTATTATTATTATTATTATTATCTTTTCATAGGTTTCTTCAAGTTTATTAGATTAGGGTTAATTTTTTCTTGGGTAATGCAACAATCCGATACTATTAATGAAGCAAATAAATAAAACAAATAATATGATAGACAAAAAGATAATTAAGTCTAAATTTTGTGATGGATTAAAACCAGAATATACATATCAATAATGGCAAATAGATATAAATATTAAATATACTAAGAAAAGGTAAAAGGTTAAAAAAGACAAATTAATAAAATATAAGTAGTAAATAAATATAATAATGTCTATTTGATATCCTAGTTTTTATGTTAGATCACCAAAACTATATACCGTATTATAAAATTGACTTTGGGAAAATCGTGCATAAAGTCATCATAAATTGATGAAAACCTACTTAGAGATCCTAACAACAGAAATTTATCCCCAACGGTCAATTTAAAATTCAACAGAAAAAACAAAATAGTCAAAAGTGAGAAGGAAATGTTGGGCCACATAGAAGGAAGATTCACTTCAATTCAATGGATGAGAATGACAACATTTTTTTTTTAAACATAAAATAGAGAACATTGTAAGTAAAATGTTTAGAAGTTGCACTTTGTGATGAATAAATTATGATATCATGTTGGTTGATCCATGTGCCAACTTGTTTTCTTTGACAAAAACAGTGGAAAACAATAGAAGCTTCATTGTTTTGCACATAAAAATTATAACTTGTTACAATCTTCTAAGAAACACATTTGAGTTAAGAATGTAAAAGGATGATGTAAAACAAAGTGGGTTTCATTTTAGGTTTGAAAATTTGTATTGAGGATGACCGAATCCATTGAGCCGACAGCAAAAAAAGGTGCATGCGCTGCAGTGCCCAGTAAAGTCTCTGCCTCGATGCCATTTGGAGACTTTTTCCATTGAATCATGCATTGCCACCTTTTTCTTAATATAATAATAAAATTATGATGATGGTTTATTCCATTGCTCTTTCACTGTTTTAATTCTCTAATGGTTATTATGCATATTAAATATTTTATGTGATGGTTGGTGTTGATATTATTATTATAACTTTCTTTTTTTAAGTTTGTAAAATTTTAACTTAAAAATTAAGTTTTTCTATATAAAGGTAGAGAAAGAGTACGCGGAAAGGTGAAAGAAAAGAAAGTATAGTTAATTTTAGATAAATGTAGAATTTATTTTTTCATATTTAAAAATAACATTCACCTAGCCCCATTTAATTAGTATTGATTTAATATCATGAAAATATTTAATAGTGTTATTATCTATTGATTTTTAAACATACAATCTTATGGATTTTTTTTATTAATACCATAATATCATGTAGTTGATTATTTACGAAATAAAAAAATATTTTAGTCAAGTAAAATGATTTAAGCATAAACATAGTTAGTTATTTAAGGAATGTTTTGGGTTCCTTTTATTTTTTATTTTTTCTTAAAAAGTGTGTTCAAATTTTCTTATCTTAACCATTAAGACTAGAAGAAGAAGAAGACTGGATCTGCTTAGGTGTAAGTCAAGGACAAGTTCCAGATCTGTTTACATATGTAATTTATATTTTAGAAATTAAAAATATAAATATTAAAGATAAATTTAGGAAAAAATATACCTACTGTAGGAAAATTTCCATGTTTTTTAATTATTAAAAATTTAACATATTCAAACATATTTTTATGTTTTTTTATTTTAAGCCCTCTAACGTTGCGTTCAAATCAAATCCCTTGTTTGTTATTTAGTGGTGAATTTTGTTCATGTAGGCTTCAGTGGTTTTGAAACGCGAGAAGCGCGTAGCGTGCCCCTACATGCATTTGCCTCTCGCTGACATCCAAATTGAACCGTTACGTTAGTTTTTTTTTTTTTTTTCCTTTTAAATTGCCGTTACCCATAATTCTTTGAATCTGCATCTTCAACATACAAAACTATTTAATTGTTACTTCATTGGTGTAAAATAAACAACAGTCCAAATTTTAATTTATTCCAACACGAACCTCAATTATCTAATTTTGAACCAAATTCTGCTTCACAATTATAGGAATATGTTTATTGTAATAAAAGATGATGTGCATTAAAAGAATGGCGATTCCTTGAAATCAGAGAAAGTAAAGAAACTTTCATGGTTGTTGACCATTCGTTCATTCAGAATCTTTGGGAGTATTGTTTTTCTAATTTGGATACACTGTACCCACAAGGTTTCACACCAAAGAAGTAAACACACTCCATTTCTTAGCAAATAAAAATACATTTTCAAATAGATTAAAAGAAATAGATTTTTGGTATTTAATTATATAGATTATTAGCAATTAAAAATAAATATTTATGAATTTAGTTTACCAACGTATTTGTTCTAAAAATAAAACGATTATACTTTAACAAACTTCTATACATATTATGTAAAAAATTAATGGAAGAGTAATAAGTTGATCTTCTAAGCATAATTTGGAATTCAGATTAGACATAAATAAAAGTGCTAGTTATTTTTGTTAATGATAATAACTTATTTATATGAGTTTATTTTTATATTAAAGGACTCATTAATTTTTTAATAAATTTTAATTAATATCAATACAAGTGCTAAAAAAAATTTATAGGTCTTTTTCATTTGTATACCATATTATTCATATAGATATTTATATTTTTCGGAGAAATTTTATATAGTCAATAATATTCATAAATTGAAATTTTAGTTTCAAATTCAAGATCACTATCCATAAATTGACCGCGACATAAAATAGGAAAAGAAAAAAAAAAAAAACGACGGTGAAAGCAAAGGCAGAAGAGAGTAGGTGGTCAAAGGACACCAAAAATTTCATCGGGTTAATTAAATAAAATACACCAAAAATTAAATTAAAAAAAGACGAAAAATGTTAAAGTTAACCCGTTTAATTAATTCAGCTATTAATAAAATTAAAGAAGCAAATGTGAAAATATCTTAACGCGCTTCTAACGCGCCCCTTGTTCTTCCCCCTCAGCTTTTCACCAGTGCGCACGTTAGCCACCATCACCATTCACCACCACCTTCTCTCTTTCTCTCTCTACTTTCTTTCTTTCTTTCTCTCTCTGTAACTAACTCTACCCACACTTTCAGCACCTTCTTCAGCTTCAAAACTCCTTACTGTATAGTACTACTGCTTATTACAGTTTCAACCTTCTTCTAGGGTTTCGATTCCGATGCTATGAGTCTCCGCCACCGTCATCCTCCGCCGGCGGCAACCGGCGCTCCGGGCCGCGACGAAGAGCCTTTCAACATCATCCCTGTGCACAACCTCCTAGCGGACCACCCGTCGCTCAGATTCCCCGAGGTCCGCGCGGCGGCGGCGGCGCTGCGCACTGTTGGCGACCTCCGGCGACCTCCCTTCGGGCAATGGCGGCCGAACATGGACCTCCTCGACTGGCTCGCGCTCTTTTTCGGCTTTCAGCGCGACAACGTTCGGAACCAGCGCGAGCACTTGGTTCTCCACCTCGCGAACGCTCAGATGCGCCTTACGCCGCCGCCGGACAACATCGACACACTTGACGCCGGCGTGATCCGGCGGTTCCGCAAGAAGCTGTTGAAAAACTACACCTCGTGGTGCTCCTACCTCGGGAAGAAGTCCAACATCTGGATCTCCGACAACCGGAGGGGTGGCGCCGGTGATGACCTCCGCCGTGAGATGCTCTACGTGTCGCTGTACCTCCTGATCTGGGGAGAGGCCGCAAATCTTCGTTTCATGCCGGAATGCATCTGCTATATCTTTCACAACATGGCGAACGAGTTGAACAGAATTTTGGAAGATTTTATCGACGAGAACACCGGGCAGCCAGTTATGCCCTCGATTTCCGGTGAGAACGCGTTTTTGAACTTGGTTGTGAAGCCTATTTATGAGACTATTAAGCGCGAGGTTGTTGATAATAGTAGGAATGGTACTGCTCCTCATAGTGCTTGGAGGAACTATGATGATATTAATGAATATTTTTGGAGTAGGAGGTGTTTTGAGAAGCTGAAGTGGCCTCTTGATGTTGGGAGTAACTTTTTTGTTACTGCTGGTGGTGGTGGGAAGCATGTGGGGAAGACTGGGTTTGTGGAGCAGAGGTCGTTTTGGAATTTGTTTAGGAGTTTTGATAGGCTCTGGGTAATGTTGATATTATTTCTTCAGGCTGCAATCATTGTGGCTTGGGAAGAGAGGACTTACCCTTGGCAAGCTTTGGAGGATAGGACTGTGCAGGTTAGGGTTTTGACTATCTTTTTCACTTGGAGTGGTCTGAGGTTTGTGCAGAGTTTGCTTGATGTGGGGATGCAGTATAGGTTGGTGTCGCGGGAGACAATTGGGCTTGGAGTGAGGATGGTGCTGAAGTGTGTCGTGGCTGCTGCCTGGATTGTTGTGTTTGGTGTGTTTTATGCCAGGATTTGGACGCAGAGGAACCAGGATAGGCGGTGGTCGCCAGCAGCGAATAATCGGGTGGTGAACTTTCTGGAGGTTGTGTTTGTTTTCATTATTCCGGAGCTTCTGGCTTTGGCTCTTTTTGTGATTCCTTGGATTAGGAATTTTGTTGAGAACACAAATTGGAGGATTTTCTACATGTTGTCATGGTGGTTTCAGAGCAGGAGCTTTGTGGGGCGCGGTTTGAGGGAAGGTCTTCTGGACAATGTGAAGTATTCAGTGTTCTGGGTTGTGGTGCTGGCTACAAAATTTTGCTTTAGTTACTTTTTGCAGGTGAAACCCATGATTGCTCCGTCAAAGGCAGTGTTGGGCCTGAAAAATGTTCACTATGAATGGCATGAGTTTTTTCATAACAGTAACCGGTTTGCTGTTGGGTTGTTGTGGCTTCCAGTTGTGTTGATTTATCTTATGGATATACAGATTTGGTATTCGATATACTCGTCTTTTGCTGGGGCGGGTGTGGGGTTGTTTGCACACTTGGGTGAGATAAGAAATATGCAACAGCTGAAATTAAGGTTTCAGTTTTTTGCCAGTGCAATTCAGTTCAATCTCATGCCGGAGGAGCAGTTATTGAATACAAGAGGAACATTGAAGAGTAAGTTTAAGGATGCCATCCACAGGCTGAAGCTCAGGTATGGGCTTGGTCGGCCCTATAGGAAGCTTGAGTCTAACCAAATTGAGGCCAACAAGTTTGCTTTGATATGGAATGAGATAATTCTCTCTTTTAGGGAGGAGGATATTATATCTGATAAAGAGTTTGAGTTGTTGGAGCTGCCAGAGAACTCTTGGAATGTCAGGGTGATCCGCTGGCCATGTTTTCTTCTCTGCAATGAGCTACTGTTGGCACTCAGTCAGGCCAAAGAGCTGGTTGATGATAGTGATAAGAGGCTTTATAATAAGATATGCAAGAGTGAATACAGACGCTGTGCTGTCATTGAAGCTTATGATAGTGTCAAGCACTTGCTTCTTCAGATTATCAAGCCCAACACTGAAGAGCATTCTATTGTGACTGTTCTGTTTCAGGAAATTGGTCACTCTCTTGAGATTGAGAAATTCACTAAAATGTTCAAAACAACTGCACTGCCTAAGCTCCATGACAAGTTGAAAAAACTTGTTCAGTTATTAAACAAGCCTGTCAAAGATCCTAACCAAGTGGTGAATACCCTTCAAGCCCTTTATGAGATTGCTATCAGAGACTTTTTCAAGGAGCAAAGAAATCCTGAACAGCTAAAGGAGGATGGTTTGGCTCAACAGAATCCTTCTTCAGGTCTACTTTTTGAGAATGCCATTCAGTTACCTGACACCAGCAATGAGAACTTCTATAGGCAGGTTCGGCGCTTGTACACAATTCTTACATCCAATGATTCAATGCAAAACATTCCAGTAAATTTAGAAGCTAGGCGGAGAATTGCTTTCTTTAGTAACTCACTTTTTATGAATATGCCCCATGCTCCCCAAGTTGAGAAAATGATGGCTTTCAGTGTGCTAACACCTTACTATAGTGAAGAAGTGTTGTACAGTAAGGAACAGCTCCGAAATGAAAATGAAGATGGGGTTTCAATCCTGTACTATTTGCAGACTATATACGATGATGAGTGGAAAAACTTTGTGGAGAGGATGCGCCGGGAGGGGATGACAAAAGACAGTGACCTTTGGACTGATAAACTAAGGGATTTGAGGCTCTGGGCTTCCTACAGGGGCCAGACATTATCACGGACAGTTAGAGGAATGATGTACTACTATCGGGCTCTGAAGATGTTGACCTTTCTGGATTCTGCATCAGAAATGGATATTCGAGAAGGTGCCCGGGAACTTGTTTCAATGAGACCAGATAGTTTAAGGAGTTCCAACTCTGGAGGGTCACCTTCCTCAAAGAGTTTAAGTAGAGCAAGCAGCTCAGTTAGTCTGTTATTCAAAGGCCATGAGTATGGGACTGCTTTAATGAAATTCACCTACGTGATTGCTTGCCAGTTATATGGAACTCAGAAGGAAAAAAAAGATCCTCATGCTGATGAAATTTTGTATCTAATGCAAAAAAATGAGGCTCTTCGAGTTGCTTATGTTGATGAGAAAACCACTGGAAGGGATGAGAAGGAGTTTTACTCTGTTCTTGTCAAGTATGACCAACAGTTGCAGAAAGAGGTGGAAATTTACCGTGTAAAGTTGCCTGGGCCTCTTAAGCTTGGGGAAGGAAAGCCAGAAAATCAAAATCATGCCATGATCTTCACTCGTGGTGATGCAGTTCAGACTATTGATATGAATCAAGACAACTACTTTGAAGAGGCTCTTAAAATGAGAAATCTCTTGGAAGAATACAGGCATTACTATGGTATCCGGAAACCCACTATTTTGGGAGTTAGGGAACACATTTTTACTGGTTCTGTTTCCTCTCTTGCATGGTTCATGTCAGCTCAGGAAACAAGTTTTGTCACCTTAGGACAGAGGGTTTTGGCAAATCCTTTGAAGGTTAGAATGCATTATGGTCACCCAGATGTGTTTGACAGGTTTTGGTTCTTGACGCGAGGAGGTATCAGTAAAGCTTCCAGAGTGATCAACATAAGTGAGGACATCTTTGCTGGATTTAATTGTACTCTTCGTGGAGGGAATGTCACGCACCATGAATACATTCAGGTTGGAAAGGGAAGGGATGTTGGGTTGAATCAAGTATCAATGTTTGAAGCAAAGGTTGCTAGTGGAAATGGGGAGCAAGTCCTAAGTAGAGATGTGTACAGATTGGGACATAGGCTGGATTTTTTCCGGATGCTGTCATTCTTCTACACTACTGTGGGGTTCTTTTTTAACACAATGATGGTGATTCTTACTGTATATGCATTTTTATGGGGTCGACTATATCTTGCACTTAGTGGTGTTGAGAGTGCAATGGAAAGTAACAGCAATAACAATAAAGCACTTGGTACCATCTTGAATCAACAGTTCATCATCCAACTTGGACTCTTCACTGCCCTTCCTATGATTGTAGAAAATTCCCTTGAGCATGGGTTCCTTCAGGCTATATGGGATTTCTTGACTATGCAGCTCCAACTTTCATCAGTTTTTTACACATTCTCGATGGGCACTCGTAGTCATTTCTTTGGTCGGACTGTTCTGCATGGTGGGGCAAAATATCGAGCCACTGGTCGTGGTTTTGTTGTTGAGCACAAGAGATTTGCTGAAATCTATAGACTCTTTGCTCGTAGCCATTTTGTGAAAGCAATTGAGTTGGGGCTAATACTTATAATTTATGCATCACATAGTCCTGTAGCGACTGACACTTTTGTTTATATAGCCTTAACCATCACTAGTTGGTTCTTAGTAGCATCATGGATTATGGCTCCATTTGTCTTCAATCCTTCTGGCTTTGATTGGTTAAAGACTGTTTATGACTTTGATGACTTTATGAACTGGATTTGGTATAGTGGAAGTGTGTTTGCTAAAGCTGAACAGAGCTGGGAAAGGTGGTGGATTGAAGAGCAGGATCATCTAAAGGTAACTGGGCTTTGGGGAAAGATTTTGGAGATAATCTTAGACCTTCGGTTCTTCTTTTTCCAGTATGGAATTGTGTATCAGCTAGGCATTTCTGGTGGAAGTACCAGTATTGCTGTTTACTTGCTATCTTGGATTTATGTGCTTGTTGTATCTGGGATTTATGTTGTGGTAGTGTATGCCCGGAACAAATATGCAGCCAAAGAGCATATCTATTATCGGCTGGTCCAGTTTCTTGTCATAATTCTTGCAATACTTGTGATAGTTGGTTTGCTGGAATTCACTAAATTCAAATTCATTGATATTTTTACTAGCCTGCTGGCATTCATTCCCACTGGTTGGGGCCTGCTATCAATTGCTCAAGTATTTCGACCATTTTTGCAGTCCACTATCATTTGGGATGGTGTGGTTTCAGTGGCTCGTCTATATGATATAATGTTTGGAGTCATCGTAATGGCCCCTGTGGCACTACTATCATGGTTGCCTGGATTTCAGAATATGCAAACCAGAATACTTTTTAATGAAGCATTCAGCAGGGGACTCCGGATATTCCAGATTGTTACAGGGAAAAAATCACAGAGTTGACCGTGAATTGGGGTAATTTCTATTCATATTTATAGTAGATTTTAGATTTTTGTTTGCCCGTGTGATTGTGTGATATTTGAGCTGGCTTAAGTCACACCCCATAAGCTGTTGTATTTTGTGAATGTCTAGTATGCATCAAATATTTGAGCTGGCTAAGGCCTCAATGCATTAAATTGGGATCACCTTATTAAGTTGGTGTATTTTGTGAAGTACTGCTACTTATCTGAGCTATTGAGGTTTCTTTTGAATGAGACTATTCAAGGCAGCCATACTTGTGACTTCATGCCTGTGATATCTATTAGATGAAGTCCCTAAATAAGACGATATCATTGCTTCTAATGAAGCATCCTGTGCTTTATAAACTAAAGATATATTTACACCAAAAAGAAGAATATAAATAAGTGAATCAGCATATGCCACGGAGCTTGACTATTTTATTTGAAGTTGATGGTTTTCTCTACTTTTCTAGATGGTGCAAATTAGTCCTGTAAACCAATTTCACCAAATTTTGGATGTCATTTCACAGGATCATGACAACCCAGCCCTTATTTTTTTTTTTTTTTTCATTTTAAAATATTAAAAGTAAATGTTTTGAAAAAAATTCAACCCTTCTGCAGGAGGAGGTGCTGTTAAAAATACAACTGCGGCTGATCCATTTTCCATTTCATAATGGCTATATTTGTGTTTTTATCCCTATGACTCTCTTGTTTGGTGCTTCTTGTTATCTAAAGGGCTCGGGGCATTATTTTATATGATTAATGTTTTCTGGTGCATTTCATGTATGCGTTGCTGTGGGTACAGTGGCTTCTTTTAGCCAAGCTCTTTGAACTTTTAATTGACTGAATTAACTACTGGCTACCATATGTGTATTTGTCCTTTTAGCTAATAGGTCTGTATTATGTTTGCAGGTTTGTCGCTGGAAAGATGTGTAGAGAAGAAGGCCATAGAAGCTAGACAATTTTTTTTGGTTTCTAAATTTTTATCAGATTATGTGAGGAGGCCCGCTCTGGTTGAGTTGGTGGTGGCTGTGATTATATATATATATTTTTTCCTGTTCTGTGGATAGGGGAGATTAATTTTTTGCTTTCCTTTGATGGTCATATTTGTTATTGTAATTAGTCAACTCGCTTTTTTTAAAATTAGTTTTGGCCGGTGATCTTCTGATTATGTGTGCTCTGATACATCCCTGCCATGATTTAGTTTTGTTTAGCTTATTTCCAAAGTTGAAATATTGTGCATGTTTAACAGGAAAAATAATCATTTAAATGCTCATTTTTTATCTTATAAGTACGTGGATATTTTAATTTAATTCTATAATTTTAAATGAAGTTTCAGAAAACAACTTTTATTTTTTTATATTTTATTGTGGTGTTTATGTGGAGAATGAGTTACTAAGGTAAATAGTATGAATAAATGGGTAGAGTTGCTAATGTAAGTAATGATCAAATGGGTAATGTAATTACTAAGTACTATGAATAAATCGGTAGAGTTGCTAATCTAAGCACTATGAACAAATCGGTAGCGTTGCTAATGTGAGCATTATGAACAAATCGGTAATAAACTGTTACGTGTTGTGTCTAATGCTATCAATTAAGGATCAATTTGCATGCACAGTTTTACTGTTAATAAAGAATTAAGGGTGTAGATTTGAAGAAAAAGTTTATGAATGTTTCAAGTGTTTTGTACTTATTTAATAAGAAAGTTTGTCCAACCTAAATATTTTATCTTTCTCTTCTTACACGAGAAGAAATACCTACAAAATTATCTATATTATGTTTATTATTCATATTATCTCATTTCATAATTTTTTATTTATAATTTATAATATTATACTTTTATTTTTGTACTTATATATATATATATATATATATATATATATATATATATATATATATATATATATATATATATATATATATATATATATATATATATATATATATATAAGTTTGATAAAAACTTCCCTTTTTATCATACTCAAAACAGTATTTAAACATTATCATATACCAATTATTATTGTAGAAATCAAGAATTTTAGAATATTACTCCACAATAACTTCATGCACTCTCTAAACATTCTATAATAATCGTCCCCGTAACAGGTTTTTAAAACTATCCAAACGCGCTTCCACATCAATTTGAATTTTTTTGTGCGTTCAAAACTCTCGGAGTAAAAACCTTCAAACCTCTATAATAAGATATTCGTTTTTACCATTAGGATAGTTAATTGATATTTAGGTTTTTTTCTTTATTTTTTAAAATTAAGATTATTGTTATTTTAATATATTAACTGTTTTATAGACACTTGTTTGTGTATTTTAATTTGACTTTCTTGTATGATTCTAATGAAGCTTGATTGACTAGCTTCTACTCGTGAATTTTTACTTCTCATCTTAAGCAGGATTTCTCATGCTAAAAATATTAATGTTTTATGCTGTTATTATTTATGTCATTTTCTATTGTTCCTTACAGATTATTACAAGTTTAGGGAAATTATTTGCATACTTTGATGCATTGTTTTTTCTTATTAGAGTGTCATCAAAGCTCTTGATTTTTTGGGGCTATGTTTACTTGCTTGAATAATGGAAGCAAATATAAAAATGATTGTTTTAAATGGTACAAATTATCATTTGTGGAAAGACAAGATGAAATATTTGTTGTTTGTGAAGAAATTGTATCTTTTTGTCTTTGCTACACAAAAACCGAAAACAAAAACCGAATTCTATATCTGATGAAGAATAAGAATTTAAGCACCATAAGGTGTGCAATTTTATTCGATAGAAAATGTTTATAATCACATAGCTAATGAGACACATGCTAGAACTTTGTGGGAGAATATTGAGTTCTTGTATGCTTCTAAGTCAAGTAATAATAAATTGTATTTGTTAAATTGTTTGATGAATTTAAGGTACATGGAGAATTCTTCCATCTCAGATTACTTAAATGAGTTTCAAAGGCCCCTACATCAACTGTCAGGAATGAGTATAAATTGTGATGATGAAGTTTTGGAACTATGACTACTGAATATTCTACCAGAGTCTTGAGAGATATTTCACGTTTCAATTACAAACTTAGCCCATAATGACATTGTTTTTTTCCAAATGGCAAAGAGTGGTGCTCTTAATGAAGAGATGAGAAGGAAGACACATGATTTTTTATCTGAGTTTGAGGTGTTTGTCACTAAAAATAGGGGGAGAGGTAAGAAAAAGGAACTGAAGGGTGGTAGAGACAAGAATAGGAGCAAGTACAAAACAAGATACAAGAATATGAAGTGTCATTATTGTAATAAACCTAGACACATCAAATATAGTATTTTAAGTGGAAAAAAGGATAACAAAGACAAGAATGACAAGGAAAAAGAGAATGATCATAATTATGATTGTTTTACTACTACTATATGTATTGACCTTGTTCTTCTTCGTGACTATGAATCTATTAATCTTATATCTGATGAGAGCATGTGGATAATTGATAGTGATGGTGCTACACTACATGTTACATTGAGGAAGAAATTCTTCACATCTTACACTTCTGATGATTTTGGAGTGTTGAAGATGGATAATGATGGTATATAAAAGGTTGTTGGTGTTGGTGATGTTTGCTTGCAAACCAACATGGGAGTGCAGTTATTACTCAGAGGAGTCAAACATGCTCTAGATGTGCGTTTTAATTTGATATCTATGCATTTGCTTGATGATTGTGGTTATGACAATCACTTTGGTTCTAGTAAATGGAAGCTCACTAAAGGTAACTTGGTCATGGTTAGAGGGGAGAAAATTTCTAAATTATATTGGACTAAAACTTTAATTGCTAAGGAAAGTGCGAATACTATGTATATGGAGACATCTTTGTGGCAGCGAAGACTTGATCATATAAGTGAAAAAAAAGGCTTAATTGCTTAGCTAAAAGGAATATGCTTTTGGGATTGAAGAGTGCAGAGCTGGAGAAGTGTTCTCATTGTATGGCTGGTAAACAAACCAGAGTATCCTTTAAGAAGCATCCTCCCTCAAGAAAGTCAAAGTTGCTTGAATTGGTGCATTCTGATGTTTGTGACCCATTGAAAGTAAATTCATTTAGTGATGCACTTTACTTTATTACTTTTATTGATGATTGTTCCAAGGATCTATGAGTCTATCCATTACAAAGAAATGATCAAATACTTAAAAAGTTCAAAGAATATCATGTTTTGGTTGAGAGACAATCAGGTAAGAAGCTGAATGCATTCGTACTAATAATGGTGGTGAGTATCGTGAACCCTTTGATATTTATTGCAAGAAGCAAGGTATCAGACATGAAAAGACTCTTCATAAAACTCCTCAATTAAATGGTCTAGCAGAGAAGATGAATAAGACTTTGGTTGAAAGAGTTAAATGTATGTTTTCTGAAACAAAGTTGCCTAAGCATTTTTGGAGAGAGACATTACTTGCAACTGTGCATGTTATTAATCTTAGTCTTACAGTTGCTTTGAATATTGAGGTACCAGACAAAATCTGGTTTGACAAAAATGTTAATTATGATCATTTGCGTGTCTTTGATTGTAGGACATTTGTTTATGTTCCAAAGGATGAAAGATCCAAGTTAGATGTAAAGACAAGACAGTGTAATTTTATTGGTTATGGTCAAGATGAGTTTGGCTACAGGTTGCACGATCTTGTTAAGAAAAAGTCAGAAGTCATGATATGTAATTCATAGAAGACCAAACCATTGAAGATGTTAACAAAGTGAAGAAGACTACACCTGAGAAAGATAGTAAACTCATTGATGGTAATCCAATGCGATTGCCTATTCACAGTCTGAATAATGTTGAGTCTAATGCTCAAAATAATGAGTAGCATGGTGATGTTAATGATCAACAAGTTGGAGAAGGTGTAGAGGTTTCGTTTGATGATGCTTAAGAGAAACATGATGATATACTTGAATTACCACAAGTTCCTACAAGGAGATCCAATAGGTTAAAAAAATTATCTTCCAGGTATTCTTCTAATGAGTATGTAACTTTGATTGATGGTGGGAAACTAGAGTGTTTTGAAGAAGTTTTGGAAAGTGAAGAAAAATAAAAGTGGCTGAATGCAATGCAAAATGAGATGAAATCTTTGCATAATAATCACACTTACGACTTGATAAAATTATTTAAGGACAAAAGAGCTTCAGAGAATAGGTGGATTTTAAGGGTGAGGCAAGAGACTAATTTTACATCTCCAAGGTATAAAGCATATTAGTGGTAAAAAGCTTTAGATAGAAAAATAATGTTGATTTTAATGAGATTTTCTCATCTGTGGTGAAAATGTCATCCATCAGAGTTGTGCTAAGTTTAGCTACTACCCTTGATTTGGAGGTTGAGCAGATGGATGTGAAGATAGCTTTCCTTCATGGTAAGTTGGAGGAAGAGATTTACATGAAATAACCTGATGGTTTTTTTGTTGAAGGCAAGGAAGATTATGTGTGTAGACTTAGAAAAAGTCTATACGGTTTGAAGTAGACTCCAAGACAGTGATATAAGAAGTTTGAGTATTTTATGTGTAATCAAGATTATAAAAGGACTACTTTTGATCATTGTGTCTTTGTTAAAAAGTTCTCTAATGACTTTATTATCATGTTTTTATATGTTGATGACATAATTATTATAAGGAAAAATACTTCCAAAATTGACAGGTTAAAGAAGCAATTAGGCGAGTAATTTTCTATGAAAGACATGAGAGTTGTTAAAAAGATACTTGACATAAGTATCTCACGTGATCGAATTGAAAAGAAGATTTAACTATTACAAGAGCACTACATTAAGAATGTGTTATAGAGATTCTAGATGGAGAATGCTGAAACAGTGAACACTCCTCTTGTAATTCATTTTAAATTGAGTGTTAAGCAGAGTCCTTCAAATGAAGTTGAGAAATCATATGAGTAGAGTTCCTTATGCATCTACAGTGAGTAGTTTGATGTATGCAATGGTATGTACTAGACCTGATATTACACATGTTGTTGGTATAGTCAGTTGTTTCTTATCCATTCCAGGTAGAGAACATTGGAAGGTTGTGAAATGGATTTTGAGGTATCTTCATGGTATTAATGATTTGAAACTTTGTTTTTGAGGTAATAAACCCATTTTGATGGGTTACTCAGACTCAGATATGGCTAGAGACATTGATTCCAAAAAGTTCACTTTGGGCTATTTGATTAAGTTTGCAGGGGGGAGTTGTGACTTGGCAATCAAGATTGCAAAAGTGTGTAGCATTATCTACTACAGAGACATAGTTCATTGTCATTACAGAAACATGCAAGGAATTGCTATGGTTGAAGAAATTCTTGCAGGAGCTTGGTTTTGTGTAGAACAATTATCTGTTATTTATGGACAGTCAGAGTGTTATTCATCTTAGTAAGAATTCAATTTTTCATTCTAGATCCAAACATATTAATGTGAGGTATCATTTGATATTAATGCTTTAAATGTTAAGTTGTTGAAGTTAGATAAAGTGCATACAAATGACAATGGTGTTGATATGATGACTAAGACATTATCATGGTAGAAGTTTGAAATTTGTTATAAGATGACTGGATTGGTGATCACCTCCATATAATTGTGAGGGGAAGATGTGTTAGGTTTAGACTCTCAACTATGTGTCTGAAGAATCTAAATTAGTCAAGTTCATTTTATCTCACTTAACTTGAGAAGTGTCTCCTAAGTCAAAACATAGGAAAGTTTCGCAGCCCTTTAAAAGAGAAAAATAAAAGAAAATAATTTCACTTATTTACCAAGCCGCCTCAATAAAATTACAATTTTTGTTTCATTCACGGTTAGATCGCCTGAAATTTTGACAGCAAGTTCACGGTGTAAAGGTCTTTATTTTGACCATTAGGATTGTTAATTGGAAGTTTGTGATTGAAGATGTCAGTCTCGCACTGTGGCTGATTTTTAGGTTTTTTTCTTTATTCTTGAAGATTGAGAGCAGTGTTGTTTTGATATATTGACTGTTTTGTAGGTACTTATTTGTGTATTTTGATTTGTCTCTCTTGTACTCATACTTAAGTATGATATAAGATTGAGAACATTGTTGTTTTTATATATTGACGGCTTTGTATACACTTATTTGTGTATTTTGATTTGACTCTCTTGTACTACTTGAGTATGATCTTAGTGAAGCTTGATTGACTGCATGTGACGTGGGTTTTTACTTCTCATAATGAGTAGGTTTTCCACTCTAAAAATATTGATGTTTTCTGTTGTGATTATTTTTAAATTATTGGTTTTCTCTACTATGATTATTTCTAAAAATATTGGTGCTTTTGCTATGATTATTTCTATCATTTTCTATTGTTATTACTCCTCGCATATTCTTTCAAGTTTAAGAAAGTTATTTCTGCTACGTAATTTGATACTTTATCTTGTTGTATTGTTTTTGTCAATCCCATCCTCACAAAATGATGAACCTCTTCTAAGGGAATTGGAAGGCTGAGGAGATCAACCATACAACCATAATGCTCTAGCCAGGGTCCAATTTATGTTCATATTTCATAGTTTTGAAAATCCTTTTACCTTCAATCGTCAACCCTGAATGGCTGCAATGACTGCATGCGTATAATAAAGCGAAAAAGGTTATATGAATAAAGAAACATCCTTCCTACCACATCCATGTATTCCATTTGCATTAATCATGGAAGTCCATAAAATTAAATCTCTCTGTTTTACATAATACATATCTTGAGTTTTCCACAGTGAGCATACGTGTACACTAGGGAGCTAGCAATTGGTCCTTTCAAGAAGAAACCTTTCCTAATCTCCTTCCCTTTCTTCAATGAAGATAAACTAGCAGTGGCAGAGAGTGCACTAATGAAAGCTATAGAATCAGGTTGAATATTAAATTGGTTTAGAGTGTAGAAAAGTTCAAGTGCCTAAACTAGAAGTCCATTATGAACACAACAGGTAATCATACTTGTCCAAGACAATATCTTTGAATTTAATTAATTCAAATACACATCTTGCATAATCTATATGCCTAACCTCTCCGTATACATTGACAATGGCATTTTGTACCATCATATCAGCTAAATCTCTTTTCAAAACATAACCATGAATCTCTCTAACAAAGCTTTTAGATTTTAACTCGCCACAAGCCCGCGAAACTCTTCCAATCATCATGGGATCAACAACCATCTTGTCCTCCTGAATCATCCGGAACATGGCATTCATTATCTGCATCACTGCATATTCCGTGTTGAGATTACGTTATTCTAGATTCTTCTCTTTTCTGTAAAATAGGTATGATCAACTTTTGATATTCTTTGGCAAAATGTCTCTAAACATAGTTATAAACATTACTTCTTCGTATAACGGTTATACTTGTCACTTCGTCATCTGAGTGATAAAACTCCTCTTATTCCTCAATTTTATTGAATTTCTTTTTACTCGCATTGACTACTAAAACGATCTCGTTGTTAAATGACAAAATTTACTTATAATATAAGTTTTTAAGAAACACTTAATAATATTTTGACCTTAACTTTTGTTTGGAATTTCTCAAATTTAGAATAAATTGTTTATATTCTTTTTGTGTAGGAATACGTACAAAAATTGAAAAGAAAAAGAAGAAGAAAAATAAATTAGAAGAGTAGAAAAAGTTGGCTGGTCAACGAAATAGGGTAACATGGCAGGTAGAAATGCTAAAACTTTTGGGTGGCTCTCGGGTTGAACATCGCTCAAGCGAGGGACCTCTAGCTTATGCGAGACTAGGTTAAAGTTTCTTTCTCGCTTGAGCAAGGAACGATAACTTGAGCGAGAAATCATTAAAATAGAAAAAACATATAAATAGCAGAAGAAGGTTTTGAGTGGCGGCAGCGTCGAAAAGACACAGGAGAATAAGGTTTAAGAGATTGAAAAGGAGAGGAAGAAGACTTAAGTTCTACACCTAGGCTTTTAACTCTAGTTTGTATCTATTTCCACTATGTGTAGCTAAGTTTATTTGTATTGAGATTGAATATAACTTATTAACTTCTTATGTACTTCTCTTGACTTACATATATATATGAAATCTTGCTATTCAATGTTAATAATTTGATTTTATGCTTAAAGCTAAGGTGACTTGATCAACCATCTTTTGATCTCTGATTTGAGTTTGTGTTGGAAAACTGAACTTGGATATGTTTAAATCAAATAATCTAATAATGTTTTATGTTAGGAATAAATGTGATATTGTTAGTTGATATAATCCTGGACTAAATGCAAAAAACTTATTTTAATGATTCAAGGGATTGATTGTTACAATAAGATTTTTAGAAACTCTAAAACAAGGGATTACTTAGAGGGAATTTTAGGACTCAATAGCATTGGATTGGAAAATTAAATATATAAGTAAGAAGAAGACAAAAGAAGAAAATAAGCAAAATTCATTCTCAATACATCTATTTGATACTGTAGTTTCACCAAGTAGCTTTTGTTTTGACTAAAACATGTCCAAATTTCTTATTTAATTGCCAGTTAAAATTGAATTTATAAATATTATTAAATACTTCACAAGTTCTTGAGAATACGATACTTGTTTATACTACAATCACCCAATACATTTGCTGATAAAAGAACAATTATTAACATTAGTCTAAATCAATCACCTCAAGATTGACCACCATGTCCATTTCTTTTATTTTCCTGGGAATAAAACACATTTTACACATTTTCCTCGTTGTAGTTTCATACTATGTTTTTGTCCTTTTTCTTTTCTGATAAAAATATAAATATATACACTCTAACTTTAAATAATCTCTTAATAATGAATATTTTTCTTACTAAATTTTATTTTAAAAAATATTAAGTAAATTTTTTTAACAGGTAACTGATATCTGCAGGTTGGATACCATGACACCTGCATGAATCTCGTTATCATATATTCCATTCTTTGTCTTATTGTATACTCTTTCGTATTCACTTTTCAGTCCATCGCAAAAGTTAAAATTTTATTCTTTCAAATTTTACACCTCAATATCAATTTGCTCTTGAAAACATATAAGAGCATCTCTAATGTAGGGTGCTTGAAAAAAAAAATTCAGTTTGTTTCAAGCAACTATTACATTAGAGTAAATTACCTGTCACATAGGATTGTTCCATCTCAGCAGAAAATTGCTTGAAGAAGTAACCATTGCTTCAAATAAAATATTATTATTTTCATTTTCTTCAGCACACAACAAATCAAATCCAAACCTAAAAATATCAAACTGTAGGGAACCATGAATCATTCATCACTAGAATCAATTTCAAAATCAATTTCAATAGCAGGAACAATTTCAGAATCAATATGGAACCATGAATCATTCATCATCAGAATCAATTTCAAAATCAATTTCAGAATCACAATATGAACAATTTTAGAATCACAGTGTGAAAAATTTCAAAATTAATTTCAAAATTATACTCAGCAATTTCAGAATTAGAATCACAGCATGAACAATTTCAGAACTAATTTCAAAATTATATTCACCAATTTCACAAAATGCAAATGCAAGTAGGGAACATAGAGCAGTGGTTGCGGAGACCGCGAACGCAGAAGAGTGGTCGCGGAGCAACGAACACAGAGCAACAAATGCGGAGCAGGGAACGCGGAGCAGCAAACGCAGGGAACGCGGAGCAACGAACGTGGAGCAGCAAACGTAGGGAACGAGAAGCAACGAGCGCAGAGCAGCAGTCACATAACAATGAACGTGGAGTAGCGAACACGGAGCAACGATCGCAGAGCAGCGAACACAGAGCAGCGATCACAAAGCAGCGAACACGGAGGCAGATATGAGAAGTGAGGGGAGGAAGAGGGGTGAGAATGAAATCCGCGAACGCGGAGGAAAATCTGAGAGAAGACCTAGAGAATGAGAGTTGAGGGGAGGAATAAGGGTGAGATTTAAAAAAAGAAGTTACCGGTGAGGGGAGGAATAGGGGTGAGATTGAAAAAAAAAAATTGACCGTTACCAGTGAGAGGAGGAACAGGAGAGGAATGGAGAATAAAGGTTGAGAAATGATAATAGAGGGAGCATAGGGAGTGTTGAGAAAATCATCTATCCGTTACAAATTGGACCATTGAATGAGCAAATAACCATTACAATTTTTTTTTTTACTATTTTTACACTATAAAATCTCTATGGTCAACAAATTTAACATTTCCTTCATTTCTTCATTTTTCTTCTCCAATTATCAGTATTATTATAATTTATTGGAAAATCATTCATCTCTTAGCGGTGAAAATTCTCAAAATTACCAAAATTATATTTATCCACCACCATTTTTATGTTTCCACCACCTCCAATGACATCAAATATGAGTAACATTCCTCCTTCATCCAACATAGAACTTCCTTCATTGAACAGATTCGATAATATCCAACTTGATGGAAGCAGTGAAAATATGTATCAGAGGAAACTTCGTGTACCATTCTCAATATCAGAAGATTTGATTCTTATTCGATCATGGTTGAACATGTCGAAGGATCCAATTATTGGAGTTGATCAGTCATTAACCCAATATTGAGAGCGGATCAAAGAAGCATACAACAATGACGACGAACATAGCATTTTCATAAACAGGTCAATGAGTTAATTAAAATCTCGATAGAGTAAACTTCACCCTGTAGTTCAAAAATTTAATGCATGTTATAAACAAGCTACCAATCAAAGGAAAAGTGATTGGGCTGAGAAAGATGTTATGTCATTCGCACATAAGATTTTCACAGAAGATTCAAAAGGGAAAAAATTTGAATTTGAACATGCTTGGTTGTTATTAAGAGATGAACCAAAATGGCAATAAGCATTTATGGATGATTCTTCAAAAAGATGTAAGATTTCTACTTCATGCACATATTCATCATCTTCTAACCCAGAGACACCGCACGAAGTTGAAGAAGTTAACATAACATCACTAATATCTCACCCCATAGGACAAAAGACAACCAAGAGAAAGAGCAAAAAAAAAGGTAGTGCAAGTGTTACTCCCCATATTGATTTATCTGGCATAGAAAATGCAATAAAGGAAAAAAAAAATACAAAGTTTGAAGAATTGATTTAGTTAAAGAAGTCACAAGAAATGCGTTTGGAGTATAAAATTCTCATGAAGGACACGACTAACATGTTTGACAAGCAACGTGAAGATCACGAAACATATTGTAATTATATTAGATAAAAACGAGAATTTTAAATATATTAGTCATTATGATTATTAATTGTATTTGTTTGAAAAATGTATTAGTTATGCACAAACAAAAACTAATTGTTGTAAAACTAGCCGTTCTAAAACTAGTCGTTATAAATCTATATATAGTTTTGGAATGTCATGTAATGTCTCACAAATTACAATATTATTCTCAATTTTCAAACACTTCAATTAATTATCTATCCAATGGAATTTGAAAACATTGATTTAGATGCATTATTGGATCAAGTCATAGATGGAGAACTTGAAAATAACCATGATGAAGAAGTCATGAGGTTACTAGTTGAGTACCGACAATAAGTCAACAACAATGATAATGACATATAAAGAAGAAAAGTAGTTCATCGAAATCGTGAAGAAGGTCATCATCAATTGTTCAATGACTATTTTACTGAAAATCCAGTATATGCAGAATCTCAATTTTGAAGAAGGTTCCGTATGCGAAGGGAGGTTTTTGTCAAAATTGTGGAAGCCCTTGGCAATCACGATGATTACTTTACACTAAGGTTAGATGTAACACAAAAAAAAGGTCTATCACCTTTGCAAAAGTGCACTACTGCTATTCGCATATTGACTTATGGTTCACCTACTGATAGTGTGGATGAATATATTCGCATTGGTGAAAGTATTACAGTAGAATGCTTACAACGATTTGTATCAGGTATTTGTGCAGTATTGGAAATGAGTATTTAAGGAGGCCTAACAATGAAGACATTGATCGATTACTACAAATGGGAGTCACACGTGGTTTTTCAAGTATGTTAGGATCAATTGATTGCATGCATTGGGAATAAAAAAGTTGTCCAGTTGCATGAAAATATCAATTTTGTCGAGATAATCATGCTAACCCGACAATCATTCTCAAAGTTGTAGCATCACAAGACTTATGGATTTGAGATGTATTTTTTGGTATTGTAAGGTTAAATAATGATATTATTGTGTTAAATGCATCTAATATGTTTAATACAATACACTACACTGTGAATGAAACTCAATATGATTGGGATATTACTTAGCAGATGGTATTTATCCAGATTTTGCCACATTTGTGAAAACTATTTTGATGTCACAAGGCAAAAGAGAAAATTATTTGTTCAATTATAAGAGTCAGCAAGAAAGGATATTGAACATGCATTTGAAGTCCTTGAATCTTGATTTGCAATTATACATGACCCGACACGTTTTTTGGGATGTTCATACATTAAAGAACATAATTTGTGCATATATTATATTATACAATATGCTTGTTGAGGATGAACGACACACTTATCAAAATCATATTGATTATGATATTACGAAAAATGAGATGTCAAACATTGATATATCTTCATGTCCTCGTCCTAGTTTTAGATCTACATACTTTCAAAGGAGAACAAGTGGTTCAAGATAGAAATACTCATCACCAACTTCAAGAAGATTTGGTAGAACGTATTTGACAAAAGTTTGGTGGAGAAAATAATGAAATTTAATTTTAAGTATTATATTTTTTAGTATTGTTTGATTTTTATTATATTTATTTAAATATTATGTATTTTTATATTAAAATAAGATATTATATTATTAATTAAAGTAGTTAATTATTTAATGTATATATTTATTTTTGTAAAAAATATATAAAATAATGAATTATTAAGAATTGTTTGAAATTTTTACCATTAGAGTAAAATTAAATGAGTTACTTAATTATGATATGACAATATAGGACCTTGTTTTCAATTTTCTAGAATGAAGTAACTCTTTTAAAATGTATGCATTGGAGATGCCTAAATTAGTATCAAATCCACGTTTAAATATATTATTTGTTTTTTATTATATAATTTTATAAATAAAAATAAAGAAAAAATAGTATAAGGACTTTATACATTATTACACTTTTTATACATTATTGAACCCTTTTTATTGTGCAAGCTATGTAGTAGTTCAACTACTTGTGTAGGCACGCACGAGCGAAAGGTATTGGCCGAGTGATTTAAAAATAAAATAAAATAAAATTCTGCCAAGAATCTAGACACAGGTGATTGAAGTAACGTGATGATTAGGATTGTGGTGACATGACAGTATCTTAATAAATAAATTTAAAATGAGCTTTAAGAAATTACCATTAAAGTGGAAAACAAATGGAAGGGTGAAGCCATGAAATGAAACTGTTGTTTGAAACCAAATTATCAGAACTCTTTCACTTTTCCAACAAATTTCCCTCACATCTTAACACACTTCATGGTGGATTTTGTTCATGAGGATTACAAGCTTTGAAATAACTGTATATAGTAACATCTAATCTATGTTACCACACTATATACGCCACTAACCAACTTCAGCATTGGTGATGAAAGCAGGAGCATATTCTACAAAACTAGTTATGCACCTATTACCAGTCTTAAACCACAAAACAACCCAACCCATATTTATCCCACATCCAAATCAAGGGCTTTTATTTCCACACCTTTGGCTAACAAAATTGTTTGAAACTTGTGTCCTTGTGAGGCCATCCCTTGACCTTGGCTAATCTGCATGATTGTTCAACAAATAGTGAAGGGATTGGTGTCTTTTCCCAAGGGATGATCCCAAAATCATCTGTAAATTCCTGCATTCCTCCCACCAAGAATTGCCAAACTAGAGCACCTGCTCCAGACCGGTTTTTCTTTGCAGATTTGTAGGATATGTCTAAAATTGTTTTGTACATTGTTTTCCGTTCGGACATTGTAAAATTTATGTCTGACAATCCATATTCAGAGAACACAACTGGCTTGTTCAGTACCTTATCACCATCTTCAATGTGAGAAAGCATCCACTTGGAAACAAATTTCATGTAGTCTTCAAATACCTGCTCATGAAACCTATGCATAGGTTTTTTGAAAATGCAGTTAATAAACCACATAATGCAAGATAATAAGCTATTCAAAATCATCATAAGATGTTTTGGGATGCAAATTTCAGACAGATTATTGCTGAGATAGTTTATTACTTCATGACACTCAGTGGAAAACTTTCATTCTGTAGGTTAGGGTTCTTTGATTCTTTAAAAGTTCAGTTCCTTCCTCAAGAGTCAAAGAAAAATTCAAAATCATAGATATAGGTTTCTAGCAGGTACACAATGCTTACCAGTGATCAGGATAGATATGGACAGAGGTGAAGTCAATGTTTGAGATGTTTGAGTTCCTTATAAAATCAGATCCAAGTCGAGATGCCCACTCCTCAGGGTTCACTGTCAATCTTTTCGGATCATTAGGACCATAAAAACCTTCGAGTCCAATCGTCACAAGATGGCGCTTGTCGATCAATTTGACAAAAGCTGACATTTCCTCTATCCAATCCTGAAGTTCTATGACAAATAAGTAAACTCTATACAACTATACTCAGATACCAGCATAACAAGTAGTGAAGAGAACCACATTTGTTTTCTTTCCCTTCTGAACTCAGCAGAAAGAATGGGATAATTCTATCCTGTAAATTCGCCCCCTCCTTTACTTTTAATGAATTTAAATGCCACAGAAAAAGTAATAACTCAGTTACAATTTAATTCTTAAATTGAAAGGTTTCAACTTTGAAGTTCCTTTCTTGCATGTATTACAGAAAAGGGGTTCAAAAAGAAAATGACCATCAAAATCATGGTTGAAATTCAGAGTACACCATAAAAGCACAGATATAGTCTGAGATCATAATTATAAACAAAGATATTGAGGAAAGAAAAGAAAAATTTGAATTAGTCAAACTTTGAATTACTCATTAATATTTCTGGAATGCCGTTTATATAAATACTTAATAAAAGCAGAGGTGCAGTACTTACTTGGAGAGTGTCACCGGAAGGATCAGTTATGCACCGAGGTTCATTAATTAACTCCCAACCAAAAATGGTGGGGTCATTTCTATATTCAATTCCATTGATAGTATTCTTCCTTGTCAGAATTGTCTGTAGAAAAATTGAAAGAAAACAATTAATTTATCTAAGAGCCTCAGGCTGCAAACATGCAGCTAGAATCGAAAAGCGCAGCAGCGAAAGGAACAAAAAATGGATAGGCAAGGGAAGGAATGGGGCTGCAGATAATCATTGTTTTGACCCGCAGATGCTGGAATAGAAATGTCGTGTATTAAACAATATGCATGACAAAAGAGCAATCATATCATACCTTGATATAATTCTTGAAATAACTGCGGATTGATGGATCAAAGAAGAAAGAATCATTAGACGAGCTTAGTCCTACCCCTTCTTGCCATGCCCATTTGACATATTGAGTCTTCCCACCATATGCATGCAAGTTATTTACTAAGCTAAGGAGCAGCCTAATTCCATGTTGCCTTGCTTCTGCTATAACATAGTCCAAGGCCTGTTACCCAACCAGAGTTCCAAATGGTTTTCATTCATCATATAGTAATGTTAAACAGTAAACAATTTGTATGGTTTCATGGACCAAAAGTATTAGCAGTAATCCAACATACAACATTCTTTTTTCATTTCTATAGACTTACAGACACAAATATCCAAGACAATTGTCAGGAACTTGTAAATGACCATATTAAAAAGCATGTGTACATTTTTTCCGAAATGTAAGCACATGTAAGACTTTAGATTTTGGCATGTTAATCATAAACCGGTTTCAGCCAAAAACCACACAATTTTTGGAAAAAATTCACACGTGACAGATTGATCAAGGATAGAGTAAGGAGGAATTGAAATATCATGCATCTGGCAAACTTCAGTTTCGATCTTGGGCGCAATTGTAGAGGCATACTATCAAACAACCCAAATACAATCCTCAAATTTATTATACTGAGACTGAGGTCACACAGATTGTTTTTCAATTATGCATCCTACCGCATATGATATTATTACTTTCCAAGAATAATGGTAACCATGGCCACAACTACAATATTCAGCTATGCTCCAACAACCATGTCACAATTCAAAAGTCCCTTCCACAATTTCTGCCAAGTTTGATCACCCCCAATCAATCTCTGGAATCCCACGCACAAATCATGAACAACAAAGTTAGAAACCTATTTTTGGAAGCCGCCAGCCACCATGCTCAAATTCAGGGGGAACAAAACAGAAAGTGAGTGAGAAGACTATAAGAGGGAACAGAACAGAAAGTGAGTGAGAAAACAATAGCAAAAAAAAAAAAAAAAAATCAAAGCAAAAGAAAACCAAAATATCCAACGCCTCACTACTAGACACTCATTGAAATCTAGTTATGTCGGCATCCATAGTCAAGCATAGAAAAACAAAACAAAAAGAACCGACGGCAAGACAAAATAAAAACTAGGAGGAACAACACAGTACAAACAAAAACACAACATACAGCAAAAGCACAAAATCCACAATCGGCAAAACAATACCTTGAAAGCTTGTTCATTGAACACACCAGGAGAACTCTGAAGGGCATTATAGTCACCATCATTGAAAGCCCAAGTTCTACACACGGTGAGCCCCATCTTGGCCCCAGCCTTCAGCATTTCACGCACCCTTGGCCTGGAATACTCATCCACAGATTGCACCATTAACCAGTAAGAGTTCCACCCATTAATGTAGAAGGCCTTTCCATCCACCATAAACTGAGTTCCATTTCTCTCCACAAAAGCCAATTCCACTTCTTCCTCAAAACCAAACCGCACGTCCCCAAACGACATGTATATGAACAACACGATCGATGCAAAGCCCACAACGGGGTAAAACAAACCATTTCCAGCCACCATGATTCTGTATTTCTTGCACACCTTCTGCAACATAGAACTAGAGAAATTCAACAAATTTAGGAGAGCCTCAGATACCCTTTGGGATTCTTATTGAAAGGGTCACTTTGTTAGCGGCTCCAGATGAAGGTTGCGGAATTCACAACTTCAGACCCAGATGTGAATGCGAATGTTTCTGACACCTCAAATGATCAGAATGAATAGATCTCTCTCTTTCTCGATGAGAGGACTGTGAATGGACCCTAAAGACGTTAACTTTAAGAAACTAATTGCATGAAGACTTCAACTTTGACAAGGCTGCAGGTTGCTGAAACAAGGGGTTTTATTTTATAGCTATTCCTGAAATGGGGAATGCTTGTGCCTCAACCATGGGGAAGGAAGTAAAAGAAAAGACTGAAAAAGACTCACATGTCTTTCTTCCTCAGTCAGAACAGTCAAAAAATGAGAGGGTGATTAAGTAATCAGGTTGATGATGGAAAAAAAAAAAGTAATGAAGAAGGTGAGTGTGTGGTGAAATGTTCGTATCAGTGTATCAATTGTTTGGATGTAGATCTGAAGAGTGTGAACCTTCCTTCAGTTCTAATACTTTAAGGAGAGAGTATCTTTCAATTTTTCAAGAACTGTGGGCCACTTGTTGTATCTGAGTTTTTCACATGGTCAGCAATACAAAACAAGCACAAAATAAAATGATTTAATTCCACTTTTTGAATCTTCAAAGTTTTTTCAATCTCATGGTTTTCATTTTTTAAAGGAAGATGTGAATTAATTACTGCAATCTTGTTTCCGGATTGGAATCACAAGTAAAAGATGAATTTAGATAGGAAAATTATAAAAATGTATTCAACAAATATATTATACCAGTGTTATTAAAAATATTTTCAACAAGTGTGAATACACTATTAACCAATTATAAAATATCATTTATAAGACTTGTTAACTTATTATTACAATAAAAAAATTAAAATAAATAACGTTTGTAATTGTATAAATGAGTAAAATATTTTACACTACCAACAATATTTTGAAGATTAACAGTGTTATTTTTATTACAAATACAATAATTTATATTCTTTATAATAATTAGAAAATTAAATAATATTTAAGTTTCTTAAAAAATAAAGTACATCTCTTTTATATTAATTTCTACCATTACTACACTACATTATAGAATTACATAAATAAAAACTAAGTTAATAAGTAAATAAATAACAATCACTAAAATAATACAAACCAAATTGGTAAAAGGAACAAGACAAAGTTTTCAATACACAAGAAAATTAAAAAGGGAAGAAAATAGAATTAAAGTTAGAATAAAGTAAAAAGAAGACAATGTTCTTAAATGTTGTCACGGTACAGAGATTCTTTGTAAAGCCATATTTATTCGTGAGACCTAATTTACTTGCTTGGTTTTGTTTGCGGATGTCGGCAAATTCCACGTGTAGCATTTGACGCATGGACAATTTTTTGACAGCTACCACTTTCTTATTTTATTATGCTACCTTTCTTAATACCATAATTATGCCATAACAGATATGCAATTTCATTTTTATCATAAACAATTATTTCCCCAAAAGATAATCAATATTCAATTCATGGTATGTTTGTGGTTGCATACTTTGATCAATAAAATTGATGCATTATTATACCTTCTGGTATGGTCTGGTTGAGTAATTTGTCCTCACCACATATCCAAATCATACCTACCTTTTGTATTTGGATTTGAATTTCATTTTTCTCTCTAATCATTCCGATTAGGAATGATTGATGAATGGTACTTCTTGATGAACATCAATTACTCAATTTCAGAAGTGGTTGGTTGAGCTTAGTTGGTGTATGATTTGTGTTATCTGATCATAAGTGTGTTGGTAGAAAAATTATAGACAATTTGTGTTAATTTTTTGTTCTTGTTTCTATAAATGATGTTCATTTAAGATTGGATGTGAAATCTTAAAATACATTTTAGAGTACAATTTGAAAATTGTTCATCAACTCCAATTTTGAATACACTACTTTTACTTTCTACTAAATACCCAGAAATTGTGAATTGACAGTTTGGAAGAAAGTTAATTAATCGACTAAAATCCAACCAAACCAAATAACCAAATGCCAAAATCAGATCTGGTCCCTCTTCATTTTCTTTATTGATTTGGAATTCATTTCTTAGAAACCACCAAGTAACAAAAGAGGATAAATCCAACAACTGCTTTATACAATGATTAATAATATCAATCTTCATCTTCATCTTCTTCATATTTATAAGTTCACGTGAATCGGATTCAAAAAGAAAAACCTCAGATTTACCAATCTAGATTCTTCTACTCATAAAAATATAATTACATTGCAATAGAAAGTGTTATCTGATAAAAATAATGAATACAAACGAGTCATCTTACAAGAGAATGTTGAAAAAATAGTATAATTTTTGTAATTAAATTATTCAACTTTTTGCTTATTAAAACAATCGAAATTTTTTATATATATTTTTTTTATATTGTTGAAGTTTTTTAATTAATATGCTAAAGATATTATTTTATTAAAATATAAAAGAGATGAATGCCATCATTTAAAATAGAGATAGATTTATATTTAAAAATAAAGATAAGTACAATTTTTTTAAAATATTTTATTTTATTTTTTATCAAATTTATATGGATGATACTAGTAAAACTTTTAAAAATGAGATAAAATTCTAAAAAATAATACAAGCTTATTAAAAATGGAAAAAAAGTGGTTGGAATGATTTCATTGAAAGTGATTAATTAGGTTTCTTGATCAAAAGTAATTATCACAATTAATGAATATTTAGTAATAGTTATCTAAAAATATAAAAAAAATACTCAAGAAAAAAAACTAAATTTCAATACTAAAATATATTTAAACAATTTTGTGAATTATAGGTCCCATCTAAATGTATGCCCTGTGATCTTCCCTACCAAGCCAAGAAAAGGACAGTAGAAGCTAAGATGCATGGCATGGTCAGAATCATAACTCAGAAACGTCTTATATAAGAAGCCACCGTTCGTTCTCACTTCTCAACATCTCTCATTTATTTACTGCATTTTCTTCAAAGCTTCCGGGGACCAACCATGACAGAAAAACTATAATCTCATTATTCATTAGCAACATGGTGCTTTACATGCATCTGCTTAAACTCCAGTCTTTTTCAAGCATGGAATGATAAATCATTTGTACTTACCTTATGCAGATATAATCATTAATCTTTTCCCACAATATACTCAAAAGAACCAACAACGATTAGTCTTATCTGATATATCTATATATTTACGCCACAAAGTTAATCATATTCCTTATATATTGAATCAAGTCAATCAATTAATCAACCTTCAGTTTGCTATGATACGAACATGCAACACCGTGTTACATAATTACATTTTTTCAATTAAAGGTTTATATGATGGTTACCTTTCATCAGTATCTGCATGAATATATAATTATACAATGTTTTGATTATTGTCTGTATAATTCATGATTTTCCTTACTAATAATAGAAAATATTTAGCCCAAATTAATCCAACTAGTATTGTTTTTGGTTACAAGAGATAAAGAAAGCAAAACTAATACACACAAAGCAACTTTGTCTCAAATGCATTAACTACAACAAACTGAAATAACCCTTTGTAACCTTCTCTTTCAATTGTCATGCCATTGCTTCAAAATATTTTTTATTTAACTCACAACGTGTGACAATAACAGTGCAGAGCAATTGCTCTTTTGGAGGCCATCACTTCTATATCTCCACTTTGGTTTGATTTAGTCTATGAGTGATCATATGATTGACTTTTGAACATTGCATAGTGGGTCTTTAGGGCAATGTCCAGTTTTAAAGGAACTTCCTTGTCCAACGACCATAGAAAATTCATGGACTAGAGAAATCACTAAAGCAAATCTAAGGATCCCAAACCACCACCAAAACCTAAAAGTCCTCCATATTAAATAAAAAAAAATACAAGTTGTATTGTTTATTACTATAATTAGTTATGACTTATTAGTGTACCTTTCATTTTCAACCTTACATTAGGCTTATTTTCCAAATTGTAACCAAATTTTCATATTTATCAAAAATATGAAATAAGATTTTGTTAGTGAAAAAATCGATATAAGGATCGAAAAGTGGAGGAAAGAAAATCGATGATCATATGGTTGGTTAAAAAATTGATAAATCGAAAAGATGGTTGGTATACATTCGATGACCACAAGACAGTATGAACACATAAATCGAGAATTGGAATCGAGAATCGAAGAAAGAATATTTGGTGTCTATTGTTGAAGAAAATCGAGAAATTAGAATCAAGAGTAATGTTAAGGTTAAGGGGAATAAAAAACAATTCAAAGTTCTCGAGATTTGAAATCGAGATAAAGGGAAATGTTAACCTACATGGCTATCGAAATTATGGCTAAGTTATAAATTGAGGACCGGTTAAACACGTATGGAACGTGGAAGCAGTTTTCTAAAACCGTAGAACTAAAGTAAAACTTCAAGGGACGTGCACGTAGAACGTGGTAACAGTTTTCGTTAACTGCTCTCAGGAGGTTACCTGAAGGATGTGCTCTATAAATAGAGCGAAGAGTGAAAGAAACAGGGAAATTGGCAGAGACAACAGAAACACAAGTGAAAAGTCTACCGGAGAACGACGAATCATGAAGTTTCTGGCGATCTGGATTTCCATTTTCATTGACTGTTTTCATCGCTTTCTTTACTTTCCCTGGTAATTTACTTTAATGTAATTTACATTCATCAATTTAAGTTTCTATACTTTCAATTACTTGTCAATTATCTTTAATGCAATTTAAGATTCTGTACTTTCAAATTCTTGCCATTTACCATTTCTGCAATTTCGATGTCCTGCTATTTACTTTCATGCAATTTTAATTCTTTGTCATTTACAGTTAATGCAATTTCGAGGTTTCCGCATCTTTACATTTTCCTGCAATTTAATAATATGCATTGTTTCTTCGATTCGATATTTTCTTTTTGACCTTTGTCTTTATTTCGAGTTTTTTAGTATAAAATATAAAAAATAGTGCTCTCGATTGTCAATCAGCACACTAGATTACGTTGTTAGCATTTTTTGATACTATGAGATTTTCGATTCTCATACATATTTCGATTGAAAAACTGTTTGCTAGCCTAAGTAAAAAGAATCTACGTGATTGAAATTTGTTTAGAATCAAAATCTCCAAAAAATCGAAATCGATCAAATTTCCACCAGAAATAGATTCTAAATTTTTTTCATTTTATTTCGTAAACTACATTAACTTATATTTCCTAGAGCTATAATGCCTATTTTAGTTTCTAAAACAAGTTTAATAAATTTTATGTATATATATCTTTTTCATTATTGAAAAGTATATTCATATAGAATTTATTATTAATGGATAATAAAACACAAACTCGATTTGTAAACTCAATATATATATTAGACAGTCGCAGTGTCTGGTCTTAGTTAGTTGTATACGCAAGTGTTGTGTATAAACAAACAAGAAAGTGTCGGTAAAGCTATGTTTAATTTTAGCTGATAATATTTTTATAAATATTTTAATTCTAATATGCATATCAAAAGCACCAGTGGTCTAGTGGTAGAATAGTACCCTGCCACGGTACAGACCCGGGTTCGATTCCCGGCTGGTGCAGTTGTTTTGGGAAAATAAGGCTTTTGGGTATTGGGGTAGTTCCACTCATAAACCCAGATATAAAACACAATTAGATTAGTGCTGCTTATAAAAAATGTATATACTTTCTTTATCTTTCTAAAAGGATTTTCAGAAACCAGTTACTATTTTTTATTATTAGGTTATTGTCAAACATGCAGATAAACCTATTAGGTCAACGTTAAAAAAAAAAAGAAAAAAAAAACAGATACAATGAATCCAGTATTGTTAGAACTGTGGAAATGAACACTTTAATAAGATTATCAACTTTTGACCAAAATTGAAAAAGAAAAGGGAAAAAGAAAATTTGGGGTCCAATTGGAGCAAATGAATATTTTCTAGTTAGTCATGCTTGCTTGCAAAACAAGTAGCAAGAAAATATAATCTGCAGCGAAAGTGTGGTTGGTTGGCATGTGCAAGACACCAAATTCCAAATTCCGAAATTCAAATTCAAATATTATTAAATGTATTCTTATTTTACTTTCACATGAACTCTCAAACGTCCACTTTTTAAGACTCCTCAATCAACCTATTTACCGATTTTAGCCAATATAGCAGAAAGAAGAAACTGAAGGCAATTAAAGTGATGAGATGGGAGGCCTTCTCCATGATGTTTGCCACCATTGAGAGAAAAGAATCTGGTGGGAGATATCTTTCAAAACGATTTCATTGACCCTAAGCAAAGATCAGTGAAATAAACCTTGCCAGCAATTTATAACGATAAATACTCAGAATTCAGATGCCAAATATATTATTTTCACATATATCTCATCACAAGTTCACAACCATCCGCTCTCTCTTCCCTATATTAGTAGCCCACATGTGTTATGCCAAAGGGGCCACGCACAGAATCTTCTCCGTAAGAAACATTTCTTTTCAGATACTGACAATAGCTTTGACTAGTTGGCAATATGTTTGCTGAAATCACAGCCACGAGTGTGGTAAGATGGGTGGTTTGTTATAACCAAATAATTTGACAATGGTTCAATGATTAACTTTGCTATTCTAAGCAAGTATGTTTCAACCAAAACTTGACTTGCAATACAATTGTTTCTGATTATTTCATACTTTACTAGATATAATGTTTTCTCGTTGGCCAGACATGAAAACTAAGGAACACCCCTTGTCTTCTCTTCATACTTTACTAGATATAATGTTTTCTCGTTGGCCAGACATGAAAACTAAGGAACACCCCTTGTCTTCTCGATAGGTTTAGCCAACTTAAAAGCACCAAAAGACTCTAATCAGATTCTCAACAAAGACGTTTTCACTCAACTACCTAATTTGACTTCAACACACATACCAAAGATTCCCCACACCTCAGATATACTCATCCCTCTCCCATTTGGGTTCTAGGTTTTAATTTCTATTTACTCACTAAGGCATCATAAAGTTGGTTGAGAACTCAAGAAACCTCAATGAACTCTACTATTCGTGACCTAAAGTAACTGATGAAGTTCTATCCTATTTATTGAGTATGCTCTCTAGAAACCATTATATTAGACCCAAGGATAAGGAATCCAATTATCCTCAATCAGATTGTCCACAATCCCTCAAACATCTAACCTGAAAGGCTTGGATGCTTGCTCAAACAGATTATCAAAATCATAAAATCGAACAATTAGCTAAATAGAGTTTGAACATAACAACATCAGTATCACAATCACATATCTACAGATTCAGAAAAAGGAATAAGCTTGTAAGTGGTAGTAAAAATTAATGAATCAGCGAGAACATACACTGGGATTTACCCTGACATCATCAAGAAGCTAAGCATCTAAACATCTTAGTAAGTAACATCTCAACGTTTCACCTTTCACCTTCCTACTCTCACTACCCCCCAAAAAACCAGATTAAGACACTTTACCAGATCACCACAACCTCCCAAACCCCATGTAACAATCCAAAAACCAACCACTCCACCACCAAATACCAATCATTCACGATTCACCAACAACCCCCTCTTGAGTCCGATTCCTTCTAACCAGAGCAAAGTACCCCAAAACAGCACAAACAGCAGCCACAAAATTCCCTTCCTTCAACAGAATCCTCACCACAACCCCGAAAATTTCCCCCGTGATCTTCCTCCCTTCCACCACCAGGGTCCTCCTAGGCTTCCCAAAGAAGGCCAAGAGCACCACCACGGTGATCCATGTCACCATCACAGCGGGAACCATAACCACCAGAGCCGCCACCATGGAAAGGAGCCCAAAGACGGTGCCCAGAAGCACGGAGGCGTAAAGCGCGGGCCAGGCGGAGGTGGAGGACTGAACTTGCAGATTGTACCAAGAAAGCGTGGATTTGAGGAAATTCCATGAAGAAGCCAAAAGGGTACCATAGACGAAGAGAAAAAGGCATGCCCAGGTTCTCCTCTTACTCATGATGTTGAGAAGGAAGGTGTACGAGGAAGAAGGATGCATAGGTGAAGATGTGGGTTCCTCTTCTTTCGCCATTCACCACCAACAAACCAAACAAACTCCAATTTTGACCTTTCTAGTCTGCGCAGTGTCTGTGACTCACCTCACTCTCTGCGGTCGAATTTCGGTTTTGTAATGACTAATCCTTAAAATTATGCTCCTTTCTTTGCTCTTGTGTTATCCTATTCCTCCCACATCCAAAGCTTAATTTATTCCTATATAAATTTATGAAAGTATTAAAATTGAAAAATAGTTTCTTAATCGTTTTTTATAATTTTTATTATAGTTTTCTTGATTCAAATTTCTTTATATATTTATGACCATTTTAGTTTTCGAATTTAATTATTTACCATCATTTTATTTTTTGAAAGTATATACTTACTGTTATTTTTAGTTCATAAATTTATTTATTTATTTTCATTTTAGTGAATTTAATCGTAATTTCGGAAGTATTTTTAGAAACAAAAATAAGAATAAATAATTAAGTTTAAATGTTAAACGACAATGAGTAAAAAAAGAACTAAAATATAAGAAAAAATGTTTAAATAAATTACATTTGCAAAAATAAAAAGTAAAAACAATCCATCGATAATTTGATACCATGAAATATTCCATTCCCATGTTTATTGATAATTAAAATCAGTACATGAGCTAACATATAGAATATTTTTTATATTTTAAATAAATATCTTTATTTAATATCTATCTCTTGAGTTTTAGTTTTCATTAATTTTGGTGTAGAGATATTTATCCCTGATCTGGGCTTGGCCTATCTCATGTCTCGTAAAGTCCAATAAATTTGTAATGGACATGAACAAGAAGCTTGACCCAGTAAACCTATAAAAAAGCCCAACTTTATGGCCATGCCACAATCTTCTAGGGATCATTCAACCATCCATTACAAATTTGATAAGCACCAATTTAAGTACCACTAGGGGAAACTTGTATAAGTTAAAATTAAAAACAAAATTATGAATTCAAATATTAAAAGAAAATAGTAAATGATGCATACTTGACTTATTTAATTAATGTTTATATGTAGGAACTTGGATAAATTTTGTGCTTTTAACAGTATGCTATAAGAAACTTTGTGTTTTCTTTCATATCTTATGTATAATTATTTCATTTAAAAACGTTTGTTTTAATAGCAAAAGTTAGTTTGCAAAATACAAGATTTAATTCAATTTAAATATTAAAAATATTATATTTAAAGTTCAAAATAAATATTTTCTTTGTATATATATAAATTATATTTTTTATTTATAATAAATCATTTAAGTTGTTATATTTATGATTTTTATCTATATAATTTAAAAAATAAACCCAACTTCAATTTAAATATCTTTTGACTTCTTGAATTTAAATTTCAAAGTACATTAACTTTTTATATCTTTTTTTTTAATATTAATAAAATAGAACTGTTCCCATATATATTATATGAGTCAAAATACTAAAAATAAAAAATAAAAAAATGCTAAAAAAACCCACATAGTTTGAAAAATAGGTGATAAAATCAATTACTTTATTTAATCTGAATATTATAACTATATTTGTAAAAAAAATTACTTTGATACTTTTATTTTTTTGAAATATTAATAAATTGTAACGGTTGCGCATGTATATTACATGAGTCAAAATACTAAAAATAAAAATGCTAAAAAATACCGATAATTTTAAAAATTAAGTATATAATTATATTGTTGTCTGTAAATTTTGATTTTGTCTTAATAATTTTTTTTATCCTTAAAATTTGAAATTATTGATTTTTGTCCCTATTATTAATTTTGGTTTTGATCTTTGTAAATTGTTTTTCTTCATTTTTATCTTTCTAAAATTTGATATCACTATTTTTTTGTCCCTAATACATACATCTTAAATTTATTTTGAAGAATTTTTTTTTAAATCTCTATCTTTCTAAAATTTGATATTACTATTTTTTGTCCCTACTACATTTATCTTAATTTTATTTTGAAAAGTACTTTTTAATTGATATTATATCACAACATAATTTTAAAACAATTACGGTTAATAAATGTCACATGGTATTAAAAATTAAAACAATTAAAAAAAATAGAAATATTAAAAACAAATTTCTTGCTTTTTTTTCTTTTAGAAAACCCAACATCAAAATACTCTTTTTTATAAATATTAAAGTCATATTTGAATCATATATAAACAATAAAATAATTTTTAAAATATGATAAAATTTATCAAAATAATAATAATAATAATAATAATAATAATAATAATAATAATAATAATAACTAACAAAATATTATCATTTCCAAAAATTAAATTAAAAATTGAGTCATAGTGTATGTACATAAAAGGATTTTACAATCTGTAAAAATGTTCTTATACATTTCTATTTAATCATAAATTATGGTGCCCCCATAAATAATTATCTAATAATAATTATCTTAAAAATAATAGTAAGATAATTGGTATTAGATTTTTATTTATTTATTTAGGAATCCTTATTATGATTTCTGAAAATAATGAATTACGAAAATTATGATTTCTAGCTATGATCAAAATTCTATTTGGTGTGGAAAAATATGATTGAAATGATTTATATAAGGTTTATATAAATCATATCAAAACTTTTAATGTAGTACAATGTTAAAAATAGTTTAATATGAATAGTATGATATTTTTACTAAAATTTTTATTTGAATTCGGGAAAGTTAGATTGTCACAGGAATAGTTTTAGGACAAACTTGACAAAAATAAATTTAAGAAAACATTGTTTATTAAAAATGTTATTTTAAAAAAATTAATCAAACCTGAAAAAGATAATTTCCCATACTTTCATACTTTTTTTTGAAAAGCTGATAATTTTTAATAATAATAATATTTTTTTTACATTTAAAGAAATTACATTATAATTTTATTGAAATATTATTACTATTTTCTGTCTTAATTTGTAAGATAATGTTAACATCGTTTCTAACATTTGTTTATTACTTGCAAGTCCATAAACCGATTCTTAAACCATTGACTAAGAAATTCCAAATTCACACCCATCAAGAAGGAATGCCTTTAATTTTAAAAAATAAAAAAAAATTCAATGCACCAAGGAAAAAAAGAGTTAAAAATTAGAGAGAAATTAAAAACGCGTTTAATGCTGAGCATTGATACTCCAAACAGAACTCAACACCAACATAGAGGCTTTGAACACAAAACTAACACCAATCGCTCTTTGACAGAAGAAACATGGTGGACGGAGAGAAGAGTCACACCACTGTATGGAATCATGCATCACTAGAGACTAGAGATAGATAGATATATAGAGAGAGAAAGAGCAAGAGTTTGTGTGTAAGAAATAAAGAGAGAAAGTGGAGTCTTTTGACTGAGCCTAGCCGGCAAAAGCCGTCGAAGGTTGTTGTCTGGTTGATTATAATGTTCTTTTTAATTTCTGAATACGCGTTGAACTTTCAGACATACCCACCACCACACTTTTTTTTCTAGTTAAGCTTCTGATCCATTTTTACCCTTAATCCCAATTCAAAGGTCCACCTTGTCTTTTTCCGTTATTAATTGATTCCATGGTTTGTAAATCATAATATTCTGAGTGTTATCATCTTCATTCATCTCAGGGTCTTTTTTTTATCATTATTATTAATTGGATTCTTCTTCTTTTGTGAACAATGATTCCTTTATAACAGTTACCAATTGTTGTTGGAGGGTTATGAATTGTAGGTTTGATTCAAGCTCACTGCTTTGGAATTGGGTCGGTTTGGAATATTTCAGTGTTGGTTGGTTTCTGATTTTGAATTGGGTTTGTGTCGATGGAGGAAAGTTTTCGTCATTACTTTTGAATAGGGACAAAAGAAGTTACGGTGTAGTGGGTGACTTTTTAGTTTTTGAGTTTTGGTGGAGTTGTTAGAAGAAGTGTTGCTGGTGATCCTACTTTTTAAATGATAATATTGTTGTGTAGTTGATGTGATATCTTTGTGCTTCAACATGGGTAGCTTATGTTCCAAGAGTTCAGCTGTAGAGGACAGCAAGGTAGATGCCACTAAGAAATTGCAATCGTATAGCACAAGGCCTTCCGAGTTGAATGTTTTGCGGTTGAATTCGACTAGGAGGGTTGAAGCCGGTGGGGCTAAAGACGTGATAATACATGGTGGTCATGTAAATGGTTCATTGATTGACAAGAATTCCAATGGTTCAGGGAGGTTGTATGGTGATCATGATGGGAAGAAGAAAATTGAGAAGCCTGAATTGACTGTTGTGGATCATATTGGCCCTGGAAGGATTCCAAAGGCTATAGAAGGAGAGCAAGTTGCAGCAGGATGGCCAGCATGGCTTTCTTCGGTTGCCGGTGAAGCTATTAAGGGATGGATACCACGGAGAGCGAATACTTTTGAAAAGTTGGACAAAGTAAGTTACTGTCTTATCTGCTATCTGTGCATGTATTATAGTTAATCTGTCATGTAATTCTTAGTGTCTGCTGTCTTATGAGTGCTTGTGCCAAATTTCTTTGAACACTGCATGTTCAACCATGCTGCATCGAACTATTTGTCTAATGCTTTGGAGATCAAGATGGGGTTAATTTCATTTTATTCGTTGTAAGAAAAAAGAATGACAGTTAGACTGTTTCGATTTGGTCTTGTTTTTGTGAATATAAACTTCTTATATCGATGAAGGAAGGACTCTATATATACTCTGATAATCCTTATCATTGACGATATTGGTCTTCTGCATTATATGAATAATATGATGATGGCATTCTATTATGCAGATTGGGCAAGGAACTTATAGTACTGTTTATAAGGCAAGGGATGTGATTAACCGCAAGTTTGTTGCATTGAAGAAAGTACGCTTTGACAATCTTGATCCTGAGAGTGTAAAGTTTATGGCAAGGGAAATTCATGTTCTGCGTATGCTTGACCATCCAAACATAATAAAATTGGAGGGCTTGGTAACGTCACAGATGTCTCGCAGCTTGTACCTTGTTTTTGAGTATATGGAGCATGATCTTACAGGACTAGCATCAAATCCTGACATCAAGTTCTCTGAAACACAGGTAAATGATGATTTATTTTCATTTACTCAGTCTATTTTGCATGAAGTTGAGATTCTTGTGCATGTCTGGTTTAAGACTATAAGTATAAAAAGTAGCTACGTTTGCTTTATACTCCATTTTTTATTAGAAAACTCCTAAAACAACAATATTCTTTATATGCCAGCTAAAATGCTACATGCAGCAACTTCTTAGTGGATTGGATCATTGTCATAGTCATGGTATCCTCCACCGTGACATAAAGGGCTCAAATCTTCTCATTGACAATAATGGAATCTTAAAAATAGCTGATTTTGGTTTGGCGAGTTTTTTTGATCCCCACCACAGCGTCCCATTGACAAGTCGTGTAGTAACCCTATGGTATAGGCCACCAGAACTTTTACTTGGAGCAAATCGTTATGGGGTTGCAGTAGATTTGTGGAGCACTGGTTGCATACTGGGTGAACTATATACTGGAAGGCCCATTTTACCAGGAAAAACAGAGGTATGAGATTCCTAATCTAGTTTCCATCATTTTTCGAATACAAGTATTGCGTTTTAATCTAATATTTGATCTGAAAGGTTAATTTTATTTCCTTGTAGGTTGAGCAATTGCATCGAATTTTTAAACTTTGTGGCTCACCATCTGATGACTATTGGCTTAAATTGCGGCTGTCACATTCAACAGTATTCAGGCCACCACACCATTATAGGCGATGTGTTGCAGAGACATTTAAGGACTACCCATCTACTGCTGTAAAGCTTATAGAGACTCTACTTTCTATAGAGCCAGCACATAGAGGGACTGCAGCAGCTGCGCTAAAAAGTGAGGTAAGCTGCTTTTTATCTCCAGCAAGTAATTATATTATTTGATTGAGTGACATGCTTAGTGGTATTTGAAGGAAAATTTATCTGATTTTTTAAGGATTCTCTTCATGTTGCTTGCTTGACATCACTGTACTCGACCATAATTGATATGCCATCAGATGCACACAAAAGTGTGATTAATGCTTCTACGCTGTTGGATGAAATAGAATTTATAACTTGAGACTTCTCAGTCAGGCTTAGAAATCAAAGTTTCTCTAATTACATATCTCATAAATCTCTTGTAATGCATTCTCATTGAGATTCTTATATATCTGTGGAAGAATATGTGTGATCAGACAAATACGAATTTTGTGGCATTGGAAATATCCTAATTGCAAGCATTTGATATCTCAGTGATATGTCAATACTCAATGAGTTCTTAGTTCCAAATATTTTTTCCATGATCACCTGTTGATAGGCATTTGATATCTCAATGCTAATAGGCATATGATTCTCCATTTTCATGTTCCCCATTATTGGCAGTTCTTTACATCAGAGCCTCTGCCTTGTGATCCATCAAGTTTACCGAAATATGCTCCCAGCAAGGAGATTGATGCTAAATTACGAGATGAAGCCAGAAGGTACTGATATAGGTTAACTGAATTTATTTTGAGGCAAAAACAATTATATGTATTTTTGGCTATTAACATATGATGGTGGCTTCAGTCTCTGGAATGGAATGTCGTTAGGAATGCAAATTAAATGGCTTAATCTGAACAATTTCAGTGTAATCAAATTGGCCTCTTGTTGATTATTAATTTGAACGGTGACATCTCTGCCATGAAGAAAAACATAAATAATGGGGTCTCTTGTTTACTTATAATACAAATTTTTTTCATAGTATTGGTGATTGAAGCGTTGAACACAGTTACATTTGGGCCATTCTGCTTCAATTGTTTACTGTTATTTGTTTCATCCCAACTGTTAGGCATGCTTTCTGCATGACTTGACTTATACATTTGTAAACCTATTTCTTATAAATGATAAGTAATATGTATTCATTTTTGTTTACTGTCTTAGGCAAGGAGCTGTTGGAGGTAGGGACCAAAAAGTTGCCTCAGGAGTTAGACAAGAAAAAGGACATAGGACCAACGTCACAGCAAAAGACAATGCTGAACCAGGTTTATCAGTACAGGTAATCCAAAAAGTTTCAAATTTTATTGTATGAATTACCTCTAAGGGTACCTTGGGCTATTGTGCAAATACTGTTCAGTGTACTGACTGTTAAATTGGGGAAATGAAAATAATTTTTTATGCTTCGAACTGTCTCTTTGTTCAGCTCAAAGATTTTTCAACACTTTTTTAGGTATAGATTGGTTTGATGATCACTAGTTCTTTAACCTACAGTCAAAGTAAGGATATTATGCCTCTGCTTATCAGTTCTTTGTGTAAGACCTACCCCATGCTAATTATTATGTGATTGTGTTAGGACATCTAAACCTTTTTTGAGTTTTTGCAACTTGTACTAACTTTTGAGTTTAATGTATCCTCTCAGTTTTTATGAGGTTAAGATGAGAATCCGTGGGTTTGAATCAATCTGGTGCATCAGTGAATTTCTAGTTCTAAAACTAAAAACATACTTATGAGCTTACTGCCTATTGCTTATTTCATGCATAACTTTTTGTTAAACTGTAGACAACCCCTTAATTTAGTGAAACCAAATGTTAATATACTTAATCTGTTAGGTATTTTCGTGCTCTTCTCACATATGTTGTCCCAACTATCCTACCGTATTTTTTTATCTTTTCTTCCACTAGGCTCATCTTAATGTTGTCTGATGCAGCAAGGACGTTATTCCAGCTCAAAGAACCGAAGTGAATTTTACAACCCTCATAGGGGAGCAGTGCCTGGGATTCTGGTTTTCCCAAACAGACAGTCAGAAGATGCTAAAGAAATGGAAAATAATTCTTCTGGGCATATTTATAAGAGGCCATCACATTCAGGCCCATTGGTTCCTGGTTCTGGTTGGGCAAAAGGTGCGAAGGAAGTTGATGATGTGCCTCCTGTTTCAATCAGAGGGAACCTATCAAAACTATCTGGGCTAGTGGCATCTAGAACTTCGTTGCCAGAAGACCAGGAGGATAAACCAGTTCAGTTGCACCACAGAAAACCGATTGAAGTAAGAAAATCCATGGAGTCTACTAACGGATCAGAGTCAAGAAGAAGGCAGGATCAAAAACGGATTGTTGATCTCAATCAAATTGAAAGTAGGAGGGTCCCCAGCGAAAAATCAACTCCGGTTAGTTATTATGATTATTAATTTTTGCTTTATTAATTTCAAGTATTTGGTAGTGGAAGTCTTCACGTGATTTGGATTCTCTCCTGTTACATGATCATTCTATTGGAGAGAGATAAAACACAGGCTTTATTAATTAAATAAGGACTAGGACCTCTTGATGGCTTATAAAGTCTACTAGTTATATTCAAAGTTATCTAACTCTTTATCTTTCTATCAGGATTCAGTAAACTCTCCTGTTATGTAAAGAACAAGAGGGAATCCAAATGACAGTCTTTAATTTCGCCAAATTGTTTGATAAGAACCTTTGAAGAACCACACCACAAAAACTAGCTATTGTAGTTGCAGAGCTTGAGATTCCCCATACCTTGCAATTGGATCCTAACATTGTCACACTTTTTTCTATAAATTTTTTCTCTTCTTTTTATGAAATGCTTTGTTCCTAGGTTCTCTACCAGTTGAATGTAACATATATGATAGGTCATTGATTATAATGAATGGAGTCCAAAGTACTGTGGCAATAATCAATGGATATTTGATAACTATGGCAACACTTTTTTTCTTGAATATTGATGTGGGACACTGTTTCAGGGTGGGCGCGAGTCGATGGGAAACAAGATATACCTCTCAGGTCCATTAATGGTGTCAGCAAACAATATGGATCAGATGCTCAAAGAGCATGATCGAAAGATCCAAGAGTTTTCAAGACGAGCAAGAATTGACAAGTCAAGAGCAAGAGGTGAGAAAGTTCGTGCAAAGCGGAAGTGGTGACATTACGTAACATATTTTTATGACAACATTTATTTATCTCAAGCTGAGAAGAGAAAGAAGTGGGGAGAGGAAGAGAGTGCGTTGAATCTTACTGTAGCATATATATCATGTAAATTGCAGGCTTTATAAGAAGAGATTACTTCTTCTTCAACTCTTCATGTTTCCCTTATATGAAATATAAGCAATTCATTTTATTATGTTCTTTCCACCCTTCTTGTTTCACCTTTAGATTTATGCATGAAACTAGCTTATTATATGTACTTTTTAACTACACTCTTTCGTGATATAAAAGAATATTTTTTTTATTGCTATGGTTGGAGGTTCCACACGGCAAACCCAAATGATTAATGAAGCACTCTCTTAACTTCCTAAAAGTCAATGGCGTGGGAAGTTCGGTAGCGCCTTGAAAGGCTCATCAAGGTCACTATACAATTGGTCACTGTCCATAAGGGACAATACCCAACTAATCACCACGATGTGTCTTTCTCTCACATATCCCTTCTAAAATCAATAATGTTAATTACAATGGGTAGATAACTGAGTTCTTTAAATATGTTTCCAGGTTCGATTTCTAATCATATAAATGAAAAAAGAAAGAAAGAAGAAACCTTTGCTAAAAAAAGATACTTTAGTAATCTCTACTGAAAAAAATTAGCCTTGTAAAACTATTATTTCAAAACTAAACATGAATGATGGTTGTGAAATTCAACCTAGTCGTGGAACTATATACGCCCCTCAATCCCCGTTACTCCAGTTGTGTCAAGCAACTATCCCATGTGATGCAGCCTGGCTCCCCAATATTGCATTCTTGTCCATGTCAAGCATCAATATCCTGCTTTCATGTCCCTATTTATGATTTGTTTTGAAAACTGGGGATGATTACATTGACCTTTTTTGAGATTAACGTTAGTTATCCTTAGACCTTACTTAGCACTTTGTAAGAGTTTGATAATTTTAAGGGTATTTTGTGTGGTCCGTACAAAATTAAAAGAGGGTTGCTATTTAGAATGAAAGTGGCCACCAGCACCCAGCACTAACTCCACGCACTCAGATTCGTGCATGGTCAGAAATCAATACCAGGACCATGCGTTTGCATTTCATTGAACAAAAGGTAAATGAAAAGTTTAAATCGAAAACAAATCATATGTATATTTATTACCAAATTGAAAGGTTTTAATTGCTATTATGTTCATTTTTCAGAAAATCACGTCCGTTTTCTTTCTCCCAATAAGTCATTTTAGTTTTTAAATTTGAAGAACAACAGTATCATATTAGTCTTTGAATTGAAGAAAATAATTAAAAAAAAAAACAATTTTGAAAGTGTAAATTAATGATGCAATTAGTTCAAAATTAAAAAAAAAAGTATTAACGAAATAATTTTAATACTTAATTGCACTTTAATTTTCAGGTATCACAACATAAGATTTTGGACTCCAAATTTGAAGTGTCAACTGTCTCTTAAGTATCACAAAAGTTCACATTTGCTAAATCGTACAATTGTGATATTTGATAGACCTAATTAACATAATTAAAATGTTGGGGAAAAAATCAGATATTTAACTAGACTCAATTAAAACTTGAAAGTAAAAATAGTAAAATACTATATAGAGAAAACAAAAAATAAATTAATATTAACAAATATTTAGGACTAAGATTACATACACTAAATAATTAAGTTTAAGAACTTATCTTATAAAAACAGAAAATGAGAGAGTAAGAGACAAGGTGTAGAGGAAAAAGTGCCTTTAATCAGAAAAATGAGGTCATGCAACCTTTTTTTAAAGGAATCTGTTGTGTGTCCAAGAAATGCAAATACAATAGAGTCTGAGAAAAAGGAAAAAATAAAAATAAAAAAAAATAAAAAAGAGATTGAAATATCAAATAAAACAATGAAGGGCCTTTTCAACCCCTGCTACAGCCATAGTAACACTAAACAGTGATTTAAAAAAAGTATTCATACTTAGTAACGGTAGTTATGACCATTGTTCAGTTCCTCTACCTACATCAGTTTTGTCATCATTTCCACTAACCAAGAACCTCCTAGCAGGTGCAACAATTATTTAATTGAATTCTTTGTTCCTAAAGTGTTATATTCAATAGAAGAAAAGTGGTTGGAGGAAAATATCTAATTTACCTAACAATTTTATGAGGGTGCTAGCTATTTTTCTAAGAGATGAAAGAGCAATAGAGAAGACGAAAGAAGTTTCAGAAGGAAGAGGTTAGAAAGAAGAATTGGCTGAAATCATGGATATTCTGCAAGATTAAAAAGCATGGTCTAATCAGAAAAAAATGTCTGCTTACTAAGAATAAGAATGGAGTCTTGGAATGTGTTTTCATTGGAAATAAATAAAGAAAAGATAACTCTAAATTAAACTGCATTTCAAGTCAACTACAGTAAAATCATAATTAAAATCAAAGAAAATGGAGAAACACAATGAACCGGTCAAATGAATTGAAATTAGATTCTGCATAATGCTGTTATATTATAACATTAGCTGTGGTGAAATGGAATCACAATTACTATAGAAAAAAAAATGGACAGTGAAAATGAATTGGTCAAATGAATCAAAATCAGTTTCTACATAATGATAGTATTATAACATTACCTATGGTGAATTCTAACTACACGAATTGTTAGATCAAATTATCAACGTCACTACTTTCTTATATGATCTCCTTATAAGAAGGTACACAATTCAGTAAATGCAAATGATTGCAGGTACAACACAAAATATTTAAATTAAGAAATTACATTGGAATCTATGGTTATATAGTATGAATTATGTGTTAGTTACATTAAATAGAACAAAATTTTAAAGCATATACAGAATGCCATTTTCATACAAACAATTCAACTGGTACCGATTAAAGGAATGCACATTAGCCAATATCACTGGCGGACACACTCAACAAAATTGCAGTGATGCATTTTGCAGGCGTTGCAATGAACCAATAGTCAAATGATTTTCTAGACTATTCATCTGCCCTCAGTGTTACACACAGTTGTGAAAGAGCAGTGGGAGGAGAAAGTATCCTCAATTGTGGGGTGAATGCTGTTACCAGAGCTCCCAACATAGCCAGCTGCTGAATTTATTTTGTCAAGCAAGTTTGCATCTAAATTGTCTCCCTCCAGCACCTTCACAACCTGTCTCATACATGGCCTAACATGAGGATCGGGATGAGTGCACAACAAACCAAGATGAAGAACCCTCTTAATCTCATCAATGTTACATTCACTTCTCCCTTTTAATCTTTCATCAATAGCAGAACATTCTTCTCCTCTCTCCATTAGCCTCGTTAACCAAATAACCAAGGTTGGTTTGTTTTCTTCATTTGGCCTTCTCCCACACACCACCTCTAAAACCAACACACCAAAGCTGAACACATCAGTCTGAGTTGAGGCTCTCCCAGTATGAATAAGTTCTGGTGCCATGAAACCAACAGTTCCAATCACTTGCAAGGTATGAGCAATTTGCTCATGATGATGCATTGTTGCTAGTCCAAAATCCCCCAATCTTGCATTCATATCCTTATCAAGTAACACATTGCTTGACTTGATGTCTCTGTGCAACACCTTAACCTCCCAACCCTCATGCAAATACAATATTCCATGAACACAGCGATGTTCTGCACTGAGCGTTCATCGGAACCCACCCAGAACATTGCGCGCACCTCCGCCTTCTTCGCCAGCTTCGCTGCGAAGCTAAGCGGCAACGCCGGCGAATTCAGGCTCCGCAGAATTTGCCGATAAAGCGACAGCACAAGGGCACTGTTGCGGCCCAAATCCTCCGCCGTGGCCCATATCCGTCCCATTCCTAGTTCTTCTGCAACAACACAGTTTCAATAAATAAAACAAAAAGAGGCGTGCGTGTGATGGATGAAGGTGAATCAGAAAGAACGTAGCGATGGAAATTTTGATCATATCAAACACGTAATGCAATGTTCGATGATCACTCATCCTCTTTTCATCATGTTCACCTTCTGCACACTGTAGAGAAACAAATGAATTAGGGTTAATGAGATAATACCTGAATCCAAGTTGCGATGAGTGAGTGAGGAGTGTGTCAATGACAGCGTTTCCGAAGCCAAACAACCCTAGCTCGTTGAAAACCAATTTATCTTATCGGACCATTTTGAAAATTGGGTCATGCAACAGACGCTATTTTAAATAATTTCAATTTAAAATAAATGAAAGATATCCTTACAATCAGCACCAGTGGTCTAGTGGTAGAATAGTACCCTGCCACGGTACAGACCCGGGTTCGATTCCCGGCTGGTGCAAGTTCTTTTGAAAAATGAGAGTTATCTCTTCGTTTTTTTTTATTGGTTTAATCGCAGCTCCAGTCATTTTTATATTTTTTTCGTACTTCTGTTAATTTCATTGTATAGCAGTAAGTGAATTCAGAACTCAAATCTTAGCTTTCATGGTTCTTTCAAGTCACTGAGTTGCTGGTACTGAGATTAAATATTATCAAGTTCATAAATCAAACAAGGCATGCATTCAGAACAGTATCAACTGTCGAGCATTTTTGGGTTATACATGTCTTATGTTTCTCCTACATTTTGTGTTTCCGAGAATAAAGACAATTATAATAAAACTTTATAGTTTTACGTTTCTTTTTTTCCTACCATAACATGCACATGTCAGAATTCACACAATACCTCCAAATATAATATCTTTTATTTTACCACTTCTTTTACTATTTGTTCTTAAAAGCTACATACATGTATAATGTTCTATAAATTCCAAACCATAGCCACCACATGACATACCGTCTATATATATCTATTGATTACGCCCAACGAAGAGAATCATATTCATACTTTCCATATGCAGCAGATTCACAGGTGAACAAAATATCATGAACAAATTCCACCTCCAAATTGAAGTGGACATGCTTCATCATTAGACTCAAGAGGATGTTCCTACAAGTCATGTTGTTTTTATAGTAGAAAATCTATGAAGTATATATAATCCTCCATACAAGAAAATTCATCTTTGGTGAAATGTGCATAGACCATATGGATATACATGAAGTAATATGATTGCTATGCTACCAGTTTTAGGTGTTTGATTAATACAGAGGTGTCTACATCCAAGTACACATAATGATTTTAAATTTAGATGTAATAAAAATTACAAGACAATGTGCGAAGGAAGTTAATTTTAGGGGTCTATGATATGGTTATTAATTAGGAAATGTTATTGGTCTGAATGTGACATTAGCAAAGCTCTAGGATATTCTGCATAATATATCTATATAATTGATTCTGCCATAACAATCTGGCATTTTATTAATTATTAGCAACAAACTTTCTGTAAAATTATGAAGTAGACAAGGTTTGGTGGTGCAATGTAAATCTTTGGATGAAGTATGATCACAGCATTAAGTGACTTGATTGTTCTGCAGAGTGTGCTGTGCTGAACACCCAATTGAAATGAATTTCTTGGGCCATTTTAAAAATGGATTTCTCCCAAACAATTAAGTTTTCTGTTAGAAAGAGACGTAATGTACTGTACTTCACACACTTAAATTTAAGACAAAAAGTATTTAGCATCTAATATAAATAACAAGCGGGGATAGCTCAGTTGGGAGAGCGTCAGACTGAAGATCTGAAGGTCACGTGTTCGATCCACGTTCACCGCATTCGTTTTTTCTTCTGTCTTCTATTTTCTGCATGAAGTGTGAAGTTTCTGTGATTTTCTAGTAACCTTCTTGCAATAGTTTTATGTCAAATTTATATTTGTCTAATATGAATATATGAAATGGGATGTGAACAACTAATCCAAAATCGTATCTCATCATCATCATAGGTGTTGTTGACATTGATATGTTAAGCAACTTAAACAATGATTCCCAGCAGACTGATTAATATCAATTGAATAATCATGTGGGAAACAGCCTTATGAGGTTCAAGTATATGCTTTCTGCCAACTCCAACAAGTACAATAAGTAATAAAAATACAAGTATTAATTAATAACCATAGGATCTTAAGTATGTGAATGTATCAAGTTGTCACTGGCTTTCTACTTATCAATTTTGATTTGTAGTTTCATCAATCCATAGTTAATCTTATAGTTTGAAAATCACGAATTAATTTGCTCAAGCATACTGAAATTTATTAAAAAGTTTATCCTCCATAAACAGACTTTTCTGTTGAAGTACATACATATCTGAACATTAAATATTTAACATAGGATTGATTTATATAGTATCTGTTGCTTTCCCTTCTGTCATCTTCTTCTACTCATCAAAGTTCATAATATATATATTAGCCAACTTGGTGGAATATGTCACTTTATGCTTATGCTATCTTAAACTACTTTAATTTAAACATACTTTTCCACTTTATTAATTACTTCTTTGATCATTACTTTTTAATAAAATAAATATGCTCTTATCTCTTTCATTCTATATCTTATGTTACCTAACGTCAATACAAGACAAACCTATTCAAAACTTTATTAAGAATCACTGTCAAAAAATAGAATATTAAGAAAGTTAATATATGTTCAATATAATTCTGGATTTGATATTTTTGTAAAAATAATCTTTCATCAAATTGATTACTTTTTTATTGAATCAAATTATTTTGAAATGAAACCTTTTGAAATACTTGTAAATAATGCTTATAGAAAATTATAACTTTATTTGATGTAAGAAATAAATCACAATTTTCATCTGCAACATTATATGTTTAAATCTTGTTTCTTTGTATCTTTTCAATTGCTTTATTACACTTTTTCATTAATTAAGTTTCTTTCATTTTCGAAAGTTTTTTTTTATGTATATAGAATTGTGTTAATGCAACACCAACTTAGTCAAAAATCATTATCATCAACAATAACAAATTATTATTGAGAAAAAATTTGCTCTAACTTCTTTTAACTATGTGAGAACTACAGTAGATGGTGAAATTTTAAAATTTTTTAAAAGGAAAATGATGTTTTGATATCCATATTTCATAAAAATATCCATTTAACAACAAAATACACTAATATAAAAATATTATTTATTATTGTATTATTATTTAAAGTTGTTGATTGGGAATAAGTTTCTCAATATATCAACCTTCTTACATATTATTGGATAAATGCTTAGTCCACAACTCAGTATAAAATTATTTTATTTATACTATTATCAACCGTCATGAAATTTATATAAATAAATTTAATTCTGTTTAGTTTTTCATAAATATTTTTATAAAAGAAAAAAAATTATTTTATTTTAAGACTTAACAACTATAAATAATTTTGTATTCATCATTTTATCTCAAATAACAATTAATAATTAGTATAATTAAGTTTTAAAATAGTCATCCAAAAATTATGATAACTTTATATAAAAAATTTTAAAAAATTTAGAAAAAATAGAATTTTGTGTTCTATTGATATTTTTTTCTTTTGGATTTAGAGATTCTTAAAAATTGTAAATCATGAAATTTATATAAATAAATTTAATTCTGTTTACTTTTTCATAAATATTTTTGGAATATTTATGTAAGTTTCATAATAAATAAAGACTAACACAATATTTTTTTTAAATAATTATTTAAAATATTAAATAATTTAATTATAATAAAACTATCATGAAATTTTTAATACAGTAAAATATATTTTTAGAACTCATAGTAGAATAATTAAAAAAGAAAAAAAATAGGCAAAAAAATATTACAGGAAAAATGGTTTACCAAAAATGTTAGGTTTCAAAATAAATCAAACATAAAAAACTAACCTTTTCCGACTTCATAATTTTGAAATTTAAAAATTAAAAAAATCCCTATTACCCGTATTCCGTTAAAAAACTTTTGGATTGATTAATAGTGTTATTAATAAATCTATTAAAGATATTATTTTTATTTATTTGTTATTAATTATTTTTATTTTATTATAATATCTTATATTATTTTATGAGTTAAATTTATTACAAATATTACTTTTATTTATTTTATTATTAATTATTTTTTATTCTATTGTAATATTTTATATTAATTATTATTTTATACGTATTAATTATTATATCTCTTCTTATTACTTATCTTTATTTTATTATAATATCTTATATTAATTATTATTTTATGTGTTATATGTTATTATATTTTAGTTTATTATGATTATTATAATATCTTATATTAATTATTATTTTATGTGTTATCTGTTATTATATTTTAGTTTATTATGATTTTTTGAATGATGTAACCAGAAAACAAACTTCCCTTCATAAATCATTCTTATATATATCAATTTTTTTCTAAAAATTGAATTAAGTATTAGAGTATGTTTTTTTAAGTGAGTCTCTTATTTTTTAAAAATCATTTTTAAAGTTATTTCAAGGATCGGTCAATCAATTTTATCTTACAATCTTCTCAAATATCTTCGGCTCGTCTTATCGATTATCTTCAATTCGTTAAGAAAAGAATCACCAACTAGTGAATATATGATAGAAAAAAATATTATTATAGTGTTTAATACAACCAAAAACATGATACCTATACCTTCCGAATGTCATCAGCATAAGATAAAGTAATTAATAAACAAATTATTATATGTGTTTCACAGATCAGCTTTTTCCGTGGTTAAGATAAAGTAATTAATAAACACTTTTATGATCGACAATGAAATTAATTATGTTTGCAAGAACAACATGTTGAGTTTGAGGGAAGTAAGTTATCATTTGCGTTAGAATATTCCATGTTCAGAGTTAAGTTAATCATTCCCATGTGTGAAGAAGAACATGGTATAAGGATGTAATTAATATGCGGACAACTGAAACTGATTTCCAACATTTGGATAAGATCATCTGAAACTTAGTACCATAATTAATTAATTAATTAATGAGATAATAAAGTGCATAGACCTCATTATATATATTATGTGTATATGTAACAAAGATAATTTCAGATTCATTTGCACACTCATGGCCGAAGAATTCACTAGTCCCACTACTGGCCCAAGCTCCGACGAGGTCAGTTTAGCTGATATAGTTTTTGGGAGTTGGGATTCATTCAATTTCAGTGACGATGATGTTCACGACAACCATAATATAGATGATGTTCTTGATGATAACAACGATGGTCATAGTATTGATACTTCGGAGAAGAATAAAGTCTTCTGGGAAGAAAAATATCATCTTCTTAAGGTATATATAATACAATTTTCTTTGTTAACGTTTTCATCTGGGTGAAGTAATTATTGATTTTGTCCATTGTCTCCATTCTTTTGATTGAATGGAAGAACTCATAAAATCTTTCTGTTTTCTTTGAGAAGGGAATTTTGTGCAGGAGTGGTTCATGGGAGAGAAAAGTAGGGGAAGCAACGAAGGAGATTGTAAGAGAAATGAAGTATTCGGAGATGGTGTGTAGTTGTCTGCAGAAAGTGGTGGCTAAGAATTGCAGGAATTGCTTGCTGAGAGAAATACGGGATCGATTGTTGAAGCTTGGCTACAATTGTTGCATCTGCAAGTCTAGATGGAGGAGTTCATCAGAAATCATATCAGGTATAATTGTGAGCATACGTCATGGTTATGGTTTTGGTTGTGTTGTGATGGACCCTTGTGAAATGATCAAGTGGTGTTTAATTGCTGTAGGGGAGCACAGTTATTTGGAAGTGACAGAAAATTTATCAAACACCAAAAGAGAAGCAGTAAAACTGGTGATTGAGTTGAGCTTCAGAGCTGAATTCGAGATGGCACGTACGAATGAAGAATACAAGCAATTAGTGAAGCGTTTGCCTGAAGTATTTGTAGGGAAAGCAGAGAGATTAAGAGGTTTGGTGAAGATTATGTGCTCAGCTGCTAAAAAATGCATGAAGGAGAAGAAAATGCACATTGGACCATGGAGGAAACACAAGTACATGCAAGCTAAGTGGTTTGGCACGCGCGAAAGGTCGACAATGGAACCACTTCTGATAATGAACTCTTCTCGGATACCAAAACCTAAGGCTTCAATGCTCACTTTTGATTTAATGGAAAACATTCATGGGTTGCACTGTACTACAGTTGAGGTTGTATGAGTCTGATGGTGGATAATAATCTTGCTATGGTTTCATGTTGTGTTTATGATATCATGATTTTTCAGTTGAATCTAGATGGATAGGAGGAGTTTATTTGCTAAACTGTTAAATGTTTTGCCAACAATCTTCATCCAAGTTTTGGTGTTGCTGATTATCTAGCAAGTAAATATTCTTCATCACGCGAGATTGTAGAAAAATAGATAGTGTTATGTGTTAAACATAATGATAAGGGTGTATTTATGGTCTGATATACCATATTTTGTTTAATTTTATTTAAATTATTTATTATTTATAATAATAATAATAATAAAAAATTACCATGATATTCAAAATTTTTAAAATCAAGTGATAAATATATCAAAATACAACTAGAATAATTTATAACTAAAGAAATATCAATTAGATAATATTACTAAATGAATTTGGATTTATTCAATAAATTATCTTCTTTAGATACTATGTTTTTGTCTCTCTAATTAGTCCAACAAAATTGGATTATGTGTACTTTACTCTAATAGTCGTTCAAAATTCTTAGTTCCTTTTTGTTTTATTGTTACAATATAATGATAAGGGATAAAACAAATTTTCAACTATATTTTATGGGAATAAAAACGGTTATATGATGAGTATTTAAGCATTTTATAAAATATATTTTTTCAATGATTTTGCAAAATTTTAGTCTAAAAATTTAATCAAAATATACATTTATACGTTATTAGACTAAGTTTTATTTTCACTAATCTTCTTTATCGAATGAGGCTAAAGAAAGTGTATATGTACCAGTTTATGTTTTACTCACTTTTCCTGTGTTTCTTTGTATTCTCAATTTTAATTCGCTTTAAATTTATGTTCATACAAAGAACGTATTAACATTATATGATTTGGGCTAGCATTTTCGGTAAAACATAGGGCCGTTGCTATCTGCACCCGCAATTATATTAAATGTGTTTTAATCCTTACACTTATCATCATTTTCTATTAGTGTTTATTTCTAATTTTGTTTAATGATTGATTTTTAAATCTTATTACAATATTTTTATTCTTTTCTCTCTTATTCTTTAAAAAATTACAAGAAATAAATAAGAATGTCCAACTTTTTTTTTATTTTGTATACATTTTTTATATATGTAGTATTCATGCAACAAATTTTTTAGATGGAAACACTTTGTAAAAAGTGAGAAAACTATAAATTAAAAAAATATTTCCGAAAAATCAATTTCAAAAATATATTCTAAAATACATTTTTATAATATATTTATGAAATTAATTTTTCAGAAATACACCATGGAAAGTTCGTTCTAAAATATATTTATGAAATTGATTTTTCGAAAATGTATTCCGAATCCATCTTTTTAAAATTGAATTTCAGAAACGCATCTCACCCTCCATAATCGTATTTTAAAATGAGTGATTCAGAATGCTTTCCAAGAAAAGTCAATTTCAAAATGCACTCAAAATTAGGTATTTTGAAATTCAACTAATTTGGTTCTATTTAAGTAAATTGAGTACAGGAACATATAATTCATACATAATATTAATGCTTACTTATCTTTAATTATTAGAAAATATCTTCAATAAAAGTGATAGTATAAAAAAATAAATAGTCAAGGAATAAAAGTGCAGAAGTTGTAGACAAATAAGAGAAAAAAGTTATAATAAAAAATAAAATTATAGAAAATTTATTTTAAGTATTTCGCTTGGGATATGGAGATATAGGAAAAAAATTATGGACTGCAGTAAGCAATTGCCCAACATAGCATCCATTTACTTAACTATGATCGTGGTCTTGCTTTTAGCACCCCTCATATGCTATTAGCACTCAAACCTAGTAAAATTATCGCATATCCCTCTCAAGTGAAAAGCTCCTTTATTTTTTTATTTTTTTTTAAGTGCAATGAAAACTTGTTTTTGCTGTGTATCTATTTTAAATTAACCTGTTCTTTAATTGTTTATTAAGTTTATTATATATTTTTTTCAATGAGTTTAGTATAAGGAGAAAATGTTAATGACTTGTTAGAACCTTTGTGATGCTAGCATGTATGATTATTACTAGTTTATCGAGTATATTACTCTTCTATATGCATAAGTTAAAATTTAATTATATATATAATATGTATTATTATTATTTTTATTTTATGTGATTTTATTTAATATATACAAATAAATAATTAACTTATTTCATAATATATTTTGATTATATGAAAATAAATATTGAAAATAAAATATTACATTATATATTATTAAAATAGTCCAACCACATCGTATCGTACTACATCTACTAAAAAGTTATAATTACTATGTAAGTTCGATTTTGAGAAAGTAACAGAGTAAAGAATATTCAATTATTTCAGTGGAAAATTGCGTGATTATTAAATTATATTTTATTTAATAATTAAATTATTTCTATTTAATAATAAAAAATGGTGATAGGAAAGAAAACGTATTTTATATTTTTAAGTAAACTGATTATTGAACACAAAGTCATAATTATATAACAAAACAAAAATAATGGTTCAAAATACAATCATGGTTAAGAATTTATGAAAAGAATGAAAATTAAATTATTAATTTTGAGAAAAAATAAAAAAATTATTTGTGTTTTATTTTATGAACAAATAAATAAGGAGACCCTAACTACTTTTATGGACCGCTATGCACATACGTATTGACTAATAATGAGAATCATCTTTCTTCACCACCTTATATATATTATTGGTGATTGCATGGCATTCTTTCTGGGAAAATCACTTCCTCCACTCAGAAGGAAGTCATGAAAATAGACACTTAGTCATGGCAAAAGTTTTGATCTGCTTATTTTAATTGCCCCTTTAAAAATGTCCACTTAGTGTCATTATTAATTGAGGAGGAATCAACGAGCACTGAGGATAAGATCCAAAAACTTCATTTATTTACTATTATTTGGTGATGACATTTGATCGTATTATGAATTTCTATACCTAAATCATACACATGTCGAAGCAATGAAGTTGCATGTCCTAATCAAACAAAACCAAAATTATACCTCTAATCTAAGAATGCGTTTTAGAACTACCACACTTCATTGACTTGCATATCACAAACCTAATTAAGAACCCTGAAAGTGAAAACAATTAAATTGATTCTTGTTAGATTAGCCTAATTAAGCCACGCTCAGGATCTTAATCTTCAACTTCTTAATATCTTCCTTTAAGAAACAAATAAAAACTGGTAGTGTTCCACTGTCATGTAAAGCCGTACCACCTTACCACCTTACGCGGATGTAGGTTTGATTGGTTAGGGATGTTGTTGCCCTTACTAATTCGTTAATATCCACCTACTTCGATATTTTGGAGGAAAAAATATAAACAAATCATATTCGTTATTTGTATAGATTTCTGAATTTTTATTATTTGTACGTTGATTTAATTTTATAAATAATATAGTTTAAAAAAATTACTTTAACTTTTTTTTTATTTTTTTATAAATTATATTGTAATAAAATATATATGTAAATATATTTTGTTATTATATTTTAAGTAAACATATATTTAATTTATAATTAAATTTTTAAATATATGTATGATATTATTAATTATCTAATTAATTTTTTTAATATTATGATTTATACATTGTATTGTATTTATTTAAGGTCAGATCAATAAAAAAATTCTTTTAAATTATTTTATTGATCATAATTCATATGATATAATATAATTATTTTTCTTTTTTTAATTATTTTTTATTTGTCTTTCTTTTTCTCTCTTTTTTCCTTATTTTTCATGTACTTCTTATATTTTTTTTATCTTCCTTAAATACTTTTTTCCCTTCTCTCTTGGACTCTTTTATTATTTTCTAACTCCATCTTATTCTTATAATTAATTTAATATATTATAAAATGGATCTTTTATTAATTTAAAAAAATAAAAATATTTAAATTATTCAAAAATATTATAATTTAATATATTTAATTTATAAATATTTGATTTTTTTAGTTAAATGAGTAATTAATTTATTATAATAAAATAATTTTAAGTAAATTACTTACATCATCATAAATAAAATTATTTACTATTATCATAATTTTAAATAATTAGTTGATAGTTTTTAGTTTAAATATTGATATAAAAAATATTTAATGTTTTTTTATTAAATTTTAATATAGTAGTTTTAATTAAAAGAATAAGTGGAAAAGAAGAGAGAAAAATAAAAGATATGAGATAAAAAAAATAAAAAAATAAGGAATAAACAAAGAAGAGAGTAAATTTTTTTTTAAAATATTAGAAAAGAGAAAAAAATAAACTATCTTATAAATTGATTTTTTATATGTCTTTTTTTTTTTTTACTTTTTTATTTCTTAACTTAGTTAATTCTAACTAACTTAGATATATAATTATTTTCTAATGTAATAAGTGTTGACAAATGGATATAGTAAGAAGTTGTAGATACAAGTGTCTGTGTTCATAGATAGATTTGTTTTTTTTTTTCAAAGTTTTTTATTTTATTTTAAAAATTACTATTCTTTATGATTTTTTTATTTTGTTTGACTATATTATTGATAAAGATTATTCTCCTAATTTATATATAAATAATGTGGATCACCATTTTAGTGAAATCACCTCTTATAATCATAATTTGTATTCTTAAAGTTGAAATTTGATATCTTGAATAAGAGGATGAAGTTTAGTATCATTTAGACTACCAAGTTGATAAAAAATAAAATTATGAACCTATTGCACCACTTGAGAATAACAGGTCAATTTACTTTGTTGGTAAATTATGAACTTATTTAGATTAAGAAAATGTTGTATTAATAAAATATTGTTTTAGTATGTATTATTTGCACAGATAAGTAAATTGTTGTTTTATAAAATAACTTATTAATTTAATGAAATAAGAATTTAATTTTCTGAATAAAAGTGAATATGATTGTGATTCTATGTATGTAGCTACTATAATGTTTTTTGGTGGTTACAAAGTGAACGCGCGTGGTTGCTGTTTTTTTGAAAAGGAATTTCAAATCGAAGTAATCAATCACCTTATTAGAAAAGTCAAAAAGGATATTTAAATTTCAACCACAAATAAAAACATTACAAAAAATAAATCAATATATTTACCAAGCACTAGTTTAAAACACATGTTTGTGCTGTTATGGCGGCTTTATTAAATTTTATAAATTTGTCTTTTATGCATTATATATATATATATATATATATATATATATATATATATATATATATATTGTAAATTTAGCATTTAAATAATGATATTGAGTGAGAAATACAACTTACTGAATATTTTAAATAAATTTTAATGAAAGAACGGTACCAGCATTTATACATAAAAAAGGGAAAAGTGTGGTGTATTTTTCTCTGTTAATGAAGAAAAATATATACTTAAAAAAATGTAAACAGTGCAATATATATTTAAATATTTCATGGTTTTTTAATAAATTAAAAATACTATACAATAATATATTTGTATTTGAAAAAAAAAACTATATTATACTTTGACCCATCAGAAAAAAAAGTTAAAAATGTGTGTAATTGCAATATTTGTATTCAGGGTTTTCACGATTACTAAACAATAAAGTTCGAATATAAATCATTTAAACTTTATTGTTTGGCAGATTCTACTAAGTTAATTATTCAGTTTAATATTTCATACCATTATCAACATAAACATATTTATTAGGCAGAGTGTTATTTAAAATTAATTATTATAAATTTTTTCATTTATAATATATTAAAAATATTAACTAATCTTAATTATTATTATGAAATTCATTAAGATTATTTTTATAATATTTTTTGTTTAGGAACACAAATATCTAGTCTTATAATATTGTTAGTTAGAGTAATTCTGATATATAAGGTATTATTTTTATTACGAATTTGTTTTTAAAAAGTATCTTAGTAGGTTAAAAAGAGAAGATATATATATATATATATATATATATATATATATATATATATATATTTATATTTTGAATGTATAATTTTATTTTATTTTTTAAAAAATTTGTATAATAAAGATTTATATTAATCATAGGGTTTTAATTAAAAAAATTGCACTAGTAATAATAAAAAACTTACATCCAAGTTTTTTTTTCCTTTTTTCAATACCTATTTTAATCAAACATCCTTTTAAAATCAAAATGAGGGGTGTAATAACATCATCACAAAATAATAATTGCATTTTTGAACTTTATCCTTGGAGACATTATATATACACGGGTCAATGAAGTCTGTTCAATATTTGTTAATTGAAAAGTTGAAGCAGAAAAACACCTTTTAGTTTATTTCAGCGTGAACACTTGGACATTTCCTTTTCTTGTGCAGCAAAATCTTTGATGCTTCTCAAAACTTTGTATGAGAAATATTATGTTGTACTCATTCTAAGATCATATGCTTGGTCATGCACTAAAGCTCATATTTTCTCCAACTTTAATTTTCAAGGTTTTATTTGTTCCCATTCTAAAAGAGACGTGAAAATTTCGAGGAAAAGATGAGGAATCCTCGTGGATGAAGTTATCAAGAGCATGCAAAATTAATTTTATCAACAAAACAAGAAAAAGGTTGTTGTACACTAAGTAGGAAGGAGAATCGGATGTACAAGATTAATAATTAAAATTATTTGTACATTTAAAAAAGTAATTCATGTATAAATTTAAAATAAAATATTTATCTTAATAATAAATATTATTTAATTTTTTCGATATTTTTATTTGGTGCGTTGACCAAAAGAAAATACAAAAAAATAGAAGGAATAAAGAAAGAAAATGTGTGATGTAGGTTAAGTATAAATTGAAAATTCATTAATGGGTTTGTTAGAAATTAGAAATAATTTATATCTTGGTGTAAAAAAAGTAAGAACGTATTTTACCTTATAAATTAGTCTTATAGACTTATATTACGCACATCTCGAATTTATCTATTTAATAAACATTTTACTTTATAGCTAACAAAATATTTATCTTAAAATATATATATATATATAATTAATTATAAACACTATTTAATCATTTCAATGTTTTTATTTAATGTGTTAAACAATTTAAAATAAAATGGAAGAAAGAAAGAAAGAAAATGTGTGGTGTAGGTTGATTATTGATTTTTAGTGTATTCTTGAAATCATTGTAAGTTTGTTCTAAAAATTTTATAATATAGAAATTTAGTTATTCTTCTCAACGACGACATATATGATAATATATTCAATTTTCAATTATATTTAGAGATTATGGGATTAGAAATTGTAAAATGTAATTAAAACTGTAAAATAGAATTAAACTGAATTCAATATTGAAAAAAATGGATTAATACATGCATTAGCGGATCTTCTTCGAATTAACCGAGTGGGGTCGTGACTCCTCAAAGTTTTGTAACTTTCATATAATTTATGATTTTGGTCCCCCAAGTTAATGAACATTTAATATATTTATTTGTATATTTATAATTTTATCCTCTCAACTTCCTCTTCAGTTTGTAACTCACATATAATTTATGATTTTGTCTCCCTCAAACTCAATGATAATTTAATATATTTAAATATATATCTACAATTTTATCCTTTCACCATTTCATATTCTTTTTTTCCTTTTATATTTATTTATTATTTATTCATAATATATTAGTTGGTCCCTTTAAGGTCTCCCTCAAACTTAATCATCATTTAATATATTTAAATATATATATATATATATATATATATATATATATATATATCTACAATTTTATCATTTTACTCTTTCATCTTCTTTCTTTCTTTTATATTTATTTATTATTATTGATAATATATTATTTGGTCCCCTTAAGATCAATGGTCAAGATTCGCCACTATACATGGATTCTCAACTAAATAATTCTCTCTTTATTTTTCTCAAAATTTCAATCTAAATTTATACAATTAAACAATTCAATTAATTAACTAAATTAATTATATAAATTAAATATTAATATTATTATTATAAGTCTATTTAATTATCAAATCAAGATTCAGTTTTCTAAAATCAAAATAAAAAATTGATATCAAAAAATGCAAACCAAAATAAAAAAATAAAATAAATATAGAATAAGAGTTATTATGTAAAACTTAATTTAAATTATTTAATATTGATTTCATGAATTAATCATCAAGATTTAGTTCTCCCTTATTGAAGAACACACAACCATTCAAACAAAAAAAGAAAGGAAAAACATAATAAGAATAAAAAAGAAAATGTGAGTAAAGAGAAAAAAAATGAAAAGATAATTTATAAAAAAAAAAGTTCTATACATGAGTTCAAAGCATATTTGAGATATTTATATGTTTTCAAGTTATAGAAGTAAACACAAATCTAAATATTAAACTACTACAAACAAATCATAAATTCGTTATAAAATTTTAATAAATCTATTTTAATTTCTAAAAAATATATAAAATATTATGTAACATCAAATCCAACAAATCATATATCTATTTAAAAGTCATGAAAATTTAGAATCTAATGTAACTTAAACTAAAAAAATAATATTTATAAAAAAATTATGACAAAAAATCAAATGAATTAAAAATATAAAATAAAATAAAATAAATATCAAAGTTGAATTCAATTTATTATTCAAAATGTGTTTAAATCTGTCCAATAAAATTATAAAACATATATCAATTATAAGTTAAACATAATTTAGAGATGGTTGTTGAAATATTTTTTATACCAAAATATAAGATGAAAATTTAAGATTATTTAAAATTTTGCATAAATTAGATAAACAATAAAATTATACAAACAGTAACAAATCTCTAATTTGAAGTCGTTTTCTAGAGTTGAATCACGGCCATCTTCATCTCTAATTGTACCATGAAGCATTTTGCATAAAAATGTGGCAAAACAGCGACAGAACACAGTTAAGAGTCAAAGGTGGCACCATAATGTGAACATGAAGGGGGAAGAAGACACAGCACGCAATGCGTACAGTGAGAGTGGATCGTTTCAAATGAGAACACAAAATTAATAATGTATTAGAATTGACACAAGAAGCCGCGTACGTTGCTGCCATGTACTGCGTGCGAAACATCAGAGTGTGTCCCACCAATGGTCACTACACAAAGCGTTATATTAGTTACATAATTAAGAAGAAAATCTTTATTCAAAATTATATAAAAAACAGAGTAAAAATCTTTTAAAAAACTATTTTTACGTTTTTCAATTCAAAATACTGTTTGTTCTTGAACAAATGCTTCAAAGACACGGGTTAATATTTGTCTTTCTTCTTAAACACGATTCAATCATGACTAGTTAACCATCACAAATCAATTACCACACCACGCCATGAGAGTTCCCATTGCATTATGATAGTTAATTAAATTTTGGCTTTGAAAACGGTCATCTTTCAACATAATTACCTTCTATTTTTACATGCAGATTTGTTTCGTTCAGTAAATTAATTTTTTTTTTATATTTAGCATAAATTAAATCTGATTAAGAAAAAATCAAACAGTTTTAAACTTGCAAATTCAATAAATATTTATAAAAGTATTTATACTTGTATCATTAAAAAAGCTCTTCTAATCAATCACATCTAAAATACTGTTTTGTTTCACTTTATCTATCTAATCAATTTCCAATGGAAGAATACATTCATAAAAGTGAAAATAAAGCAATCTCAAATACTAATAAAGTTTGACCTGTGACAAAAAATTCAACACCAAAGACTGCGTTGGTCTTAACTGCTAGTATTTTATTTTTCCTGGGACTCAAAATCAGAGAGTACGATAACAACGACTATTTTTCTTTCTCTTAACATTTTTTTAATGCTCAACATGTTTTATTATCTATTTTTAAAAATAGATATTTTTATATATTTTTTTATTTTTATTAAGGACTTTAGTGAATAAATAGTATGGATTACACGAATTAAATCAACTAATAGAAAGCTGTTTACTTTATAAATATATATATTTATTTATTTTGTTATTTTGTTATGCATGTAATTATTAATTTTTTACAAGCATGGGAAAATATTTACTAAGTTTGTTAATATCTTAATGATTTTTTTATTTAAATTAAATATTTTATTTAATAAAAAGAGTTTTTTCAACCTCATATCTATTATAATAATATCGCTAGAATCAATTCTCGTATTTGTAATATTATCTATTCTATCATATTTTTGTTTTTAAAAACACTTTAGTAGGTTAAAAGAAAATAATATATATAAATTATCTTGGTTCTTAAACAACTTAAAATTTATAAGTGTACCAAAATATAATATTCAATTGAAAATTAAAAAGACATGTATAACTAGAACAAGACTCTATCTTTGACTACATAGAGGACACCAATATTTTATCTGTAAATAAATAAGAGTATCTAAATCTTGTTCACTGTCATAATACCTAAACATTTTAAAAAAATAAAGTTATAACATTTTAATGCTCCAAAATGAACAATATATTGGATATAAACATTAAAAAAATAAAAATTCATTCAAACGAAGTAACATTGGTTGAATTAACACGTTTTAGATATATTTTATAAATTTATTTTGAATATTGTAAAATTGATGTTAAATAAAAACAAGCGTGAAAACAATAAATATGACTCTTAGAAAGGTAGAGTTGAAGCAGCCGTCAAAAAGAACAAAGTTGAGATAGAAATCTATGGTCCCAAACAAAACAGTACGTTTGAAAACTTCACTAATTCTCAGAACACCACCAAATGGCAACTGCTTAGTGGTGAATCCAAGATCTCAACAAATACCATAATTTATTTACGAATATGTGCATATTTTTATATCAATATATAACTTTTCTTAATTAGAAAAAGTATTTTTTTCAAAATTAATTCCTTTTTTATAATAATACGTAAATTTTATATTGCATTTAAATACACCAAATATATGTTTATTTAAAATATAAAAGGGCTTAATTATTAACTATAAGGAAGTTTAAAGGAAAGAAAATTAAAGTCGAAGAAGGAAGTTAGGGAGAATTGACGCTGACTTCAGCGTGACCCATTTACATTTGTTCTTTATATCCACAAACCAATTACTTTTTACAAAATTTAAAATATGTTTCTAATTAAATTGATTTTTGAAAATATCTGGAAACATTAAAATAGTAGAAATTTAGGATAGTGAGTAGCAAAAGTAATGTGTTGAGGTTACGCGGTAATGTAGACCATTGAAGTCAGAAAGAAACAAGGAAAGTGTATAATAAAGCACGTGCGTATTTGGACGGCAAAGCAAAACAAGATGACTCAGACATGGCAGTGTGAAGAAGCTGACATCATAGAATGACGCCATCATTCGATACCCTTTCACTGTTCTGTCACTACTTCACATATATATACCCACATGCACACACCGATTCATCCATCTTCCTATATTCTTAACTCACAGGTTGGTGGAAAATTGAACTGTATCTCTTCATGATATGGATCACCTTGGAATTCAACCCTCTTCAACCAAGGTTGAAAGAAGGCTCGTTGAGAAAAACAGAAGAAACCAGATGAAGATCCTCTACAATAAACTCAACTCTCTTCTCCCTAACTACAACCCCAAGGTTAGATATACAAAGCTTCCTTCCTTTGTTTTCTTACCAACGTTATTTCTTGTATGGATTCCAATTACAATGATTTTGATTCCTCTATTAATTATGTTTGGATGGGTGGTTATAAGTTTACAAACCTTAAATACAAAGTTTTATGAATAAATAGCGTATCATAAATGAGTTTGCACTGTTATCTGATCGCATGTTGTTAGTATAATTACTTCATTAGTCATACTTATGATGATTTCTGATTGATTAACAGTCTAATTTGATTTTCTCAGAAAGATTTGTGTGTGATTTGAATTTGAAATGGTGTGATGGTGATGACGCAGGAAGCAATACCACTGCCTGACCAAGTGGATGAGGCAATCAACTACATCAAGAGTTTGGAGGCGAAGGTGAAGGTGGCACAAGAGAAGAAAGAGAGTTTGCAGGGTGTTAGGAAAAGATCCCATGCTTGCTTATCCAATAACAGTTCTAATTTTTCTACAACACGTTTCTCAAAATCTCCACAACTTGAGATCAACGAAGTGGGTTCCTCCCTACAAGTTGTTCTGACTTGTGGGATAGACCAGCAGTTCATTTTCTCTCAAATCATTAGAATGCTGCATGAAGAGAACATAGAGGTTAGAAGTGCCAATTCCTCACTTATCGGAGACTCGGTGCTGCATGTTGTGCATGCTGAGGTATGTATCAATTGTTATTGTTTAATTTTCCTTCCATATTAATTCATGAGATTAAGTAGTTCTTCTTAACATACAGTCATATCTCATTCCTCTAATTTTAAGAAAACTTGATGGGTTTGTGCAGATTCCTCAATCTTTTCTTCAATTCGGAGCCATTAAAGTAAGTGATAGGTTGAAAAGGTTGGTGAATGGATCCTCCAGTGACGTGGAAACACAGCACGAATGGTGGGATTTTGAAATTGCTAATGTTGATATCTGGGGTTTCTAGATCTTACATTAATATATGCAACTGCAAGGATGTATTCACCAAAAGTTTTGTAAAATATATATGAGGAAGTAACATTAGCTAATATATAACATGAAAGTAATTTTGGTCTGTTACAATTTCCGATGTTACAGTAGATTTTGCCGGAAGTGCAGTTGACCAGCGATTACTTCTAATTGCAAACCCGCAATCTAAATTAAGGATCCTCATCTTTTGTCCCATTTCTCTTTCTTTTATATATATAGATAGATAGATAGATAACCAACCATAAAAACTGAAGAGTTTTGAAGCTGTTGATGAAACTTTCTCTCCATCTCTCTTAGTTAATTCAAGCATTAGTACAAAATTAACTGCTGCATGTGTCATATTTATTTGGGTGCCATAGCAGCTATTTGGATATAAAGGTATTAAATTGCTTTGCTGGATTCGGCAGTTCACAGAAGAACATGAAAGTGAACTCTGATGAGTTCATTTATGAAATATATGTCTTGTTTCTCTTTTACTTCAATTGGTTTTAAGGGTTGAGAACTTGAGATTCGAAGCTTTACACATCTCCCATGGCTGCATTTTGGCCTTTGTGAAGACCTTTGAACCTTTCTTGCAAGAAACAAAAGGAAAATATGATTCGGGGTAATATAGTACCAATTACTCTCATATTTTTACGAGCATAAACTAAATTTGTAAATTGTTTTTGCTTAGATCTCTAACAAGTGTATATCTAGGGTTGTGCAATGATAATGATAACTGGTAAGGTTACTGATAAAAAATGGAGCTGAACCTTTTCACTGTCCTTTAATAATATATTTATGTAATGGAAAATGATACTTACTAATTATAATTTCTTTAAACATATCTAAAACCATTTTGTTAAGCGTTTTAGAGAATCAGAACCTGTTGAGACGTGTGTATTATTTCGTTGACCGCAAAAGAAATACTGAAAATGTGTGTTGTTTTAATATATGATCAAATACCAACATTTTCTATTATATCTTTTAACATTTTCAATTCACTACATTCCTTTCTTCTGGTTTGTCTATGGGATTGGAAATGACTATTGTTAAATAAAAAATATTTTTGTTTTTTGTTGTTTTCTTTTCGTACATAACAAATATAACTGAATATATAGAAGTGCTGACAATATTATTAATCTCTAAATATCCAACCAAATATAGACTAAAGAGGGAAATAATTTGTGAGCCGTTTAACGAGTCAAAATGATGAATATGTAAAAATTACAATTTTCTAAGAACTAAAACAACCCATCAAAGAATAAAATCATATATTAAATTTTATAAATACCAAAACCATAAAATAATATTATAAGGGTTAAAAACATAAAACATATGTACCATAGAGACTATAAATATATATAAATTTTCAAGCCAAAATGAAAGACTACGCAGAAGAACATGAAATACAGAATTATTTAGCTTCAACTAGCTTCAGCTTTTGGAAAAATGGACAACTTTTCTCTTTGTTTCCAACTGCGGACTTGGGCGCCACTTTTTCTTTGTTGTTATGGATGTTTCAAAGTCTTTCGCGAAACCTCAACATTATTTCAGTAACCATGCTTTTTCTACTTTGATTCCACACTGAACACAAATGCAGCGTAAGAGAATGAAGGTTTCACGACTGAAGTCGTTAATTAGACTTTTGAGACTATTCTTACATTGTCTTTATCTTGTTTATTCTGACTTATGCAAATGTTTCTCTGATGGGTTCCTCCATATTAAAAAACTTCACATTTTGCATCTTTCATAATATATAGTGGGAACCTGAACCCTGATAAACTCCTTCAGAGCTTGCAAAATATGAAATGCATACAGTCAGCAGTTATCATGTTTGGAATTTTCAACTTTGATAGTGATCTTTTTTCACTCTTTAATGATAACAGGATTCAAATGCCACTTTAGTATATCTGAACTATATGTAAAAATAAATATTTTGTCTTGTTTGTTTTAAAATCTATTTTAATTTTTACTTTTAATCACACAAATATTAAAATTACTTTCATTTCGTCTTCTATTTTTAAGTATCTTTGTGTATATATATATATATATATATATATATATATATATATATATATATATATATATAATGTAATATAATATAAAAAAGTAAAAGTTATTTCTAATCGTTTTCATATATTTCCTATTTGTGTATATACACCCAAATTGATCAATTTTGTAAGTTCAGAATATTCTACAAAACAATGTAAATTTTCCTTTTTTTTTCCAATGTCGATTGATGATGTGAATTGGCCCTTGAATTTCAATACCAAACTACGTCTGGCTATTGCTTTGAATCTGACACTTCCAAAACACTCTAGTGATCGTTTCGAACGTGTATGTATAGATTGGACGAGGAGGACTCAATTTCTCGGACTGAGTTATATACTTGATACGTTTGGTCTTGTTGTAAGGCATATAATAATATACATTGAATGAAATAATTATCACTCCAACGCCTATAACACCCAGAAGTATGCAATTCTCATTAACAAAATTCAGGATCTCCAATTAGATTCAAGTCATTTGAGTAGAAAATAACAAAATAAACTTTAGTTATGTTTCCATGAGTTTCTCTACAAAATCTTCTAAAAGAGACAAATAAGAAAAAAAAACTGATATTGGTTTATACATAAATAATTTATAAAATCATCTTGTGCTTGATACGTTTGGAAATTCTTACAAAGAAAGACGTTGCGAGAAATTCTTGATACCTCTGCTCTTTTGTCTGAATCATTAAATAAAAAGGAAACAAATTTCATGCAGAATATTTATGTATCTAATTTGGACAAAAATATAAATAAAGGAATGTGTTTTGATTTGCACAATCACAAAATGATTCTTATTTATTTCACACTTTTTTTTATCTATAAATAATATTTATCATTTTATACACATTTTTTTCTACACCTTCTCTTTTCCTTCATCAATTGAACATACCTTCTTTAATTCATAGATCCATGAACAGAAAATAGAAACAAGGCAAATCTGGAAATATTATGCAGTGTTTATTGATAAAATCCAAACAGCGAAATTGCCTAATCAAAGTTCTGAACATTATCTAAATTCCCAGCTCAACAACCAATAATTTATCAATCACAGGCAGTGCTTTGGTTCGTAGTGAAACTTGCCTACCTAGAAAAAGGAAATGTTAATAGTCTGCAAAAATAAATGCAGAACTGACTGATAAATTTGGAACGAAGAACACTAATAAATCCCCATCTCAGAAATCAGTAATTTAAGCTGAAGGATACGAAACTCAGAAATCAACAAGGCAATGCCTCCCATTCAAGGGTTTCACCAGCAAACATGGGAACAATGTCTCCAACTGGAAATGACAAATAATCAGGTACTTTCCAAGAAGCTTTTCTCAGTTTAATCTTTGACTTATTTCTAGGGAGGCCATAGAAGTCAGGTCCATTAAAGCTTGTAAAAGCCTCCAACTTATCAAGTGCACCGGCCTAAAATTGCAACAATTTCATAAAAGAATTTTAAGATTTAACTCCAAAAACTTTCAGAAACCATGCAAAATATGATATACCATACCACATACCCATATAAACATACTATCATACAATTAAGTACACGTGAGAAATTGGTGCCATGGGATGCATCATCAGATATCATCATCACCTCTAACATACAGTATTACTTGTTTTTCAAAACCACAGAAACTAATATTTTTCCTTCCAATCACAAATTTTAATTACTAATTAATCTCACAAACTCTGCATATTCCAATTGAATGATATAAACCCCCCACTGACCCAATGCACATTAGTGAAATGAATGGTTACCTCTTCAAAAACTTTGGCATATAGTGATAGAGCTACTGGGGAGTTGTATATGCCAGCACATCCACATGAAGATTCCTTTTTACGCCTCTCATGTGGAGCACTATCAGTTCCAAGGAAAAATCGTTTACTTCCACTAGTAACAGCCGAAACAATAGCCTGTCCTAAATAAGTAAAAAAAAAAAATGAGCCTAGGAAAGATGACCAGAATTTGCACAGTTTGGTAACATTATCAACAAGATGATCCTTGTCCCTAGTGACATTTCCTCAAACCTAACCTAGGAATTATTACAGCATAAAATCTGAAACTCTTCAATGGTACTGTGTAGCACGTAGTGTGTACTACACTCTGCAATTAAAATTTATGAAGTACAATTTGTTTCAATGCACTTCAAAACATATTTATCTTTTCTCAATAAAATCAAACAGGAACCTAATTAATTTATTAAACAGAGTGTAACAACAAGAAAATTTTGAAAACTCGTGATTTAAATTATTTCACCAATCTTCCAATTTTAACTGAATCATTATTTCAAATTGTAAACTAAGAAGTGTGATATAATACCTGGAAGATGTTGAAATTTATTATATTTGACAGGAAAGAAAACAGAGTTACATACTATGGATCTCTCTTTTGAGCACTGGAAGGCAGTAATTGTGAGGCTGTAAGCCACCTTGGAACAAAGCATTACGATTCAGAAGAAGATGTTGTGGTGTTACAGTTGCAGCTACGTAACCTTACAAATATAACAAATCATGAGAATAATTTTTAAATTAAATAGTACAACACAATGATAAATTAGCAGTTCCAAGAAATTTATTTAGTTACCCTCTTTACAAGACTCTACAAATTTAACAGCATCTGCGGTAGTAATGTGCTCCATTACAACCTTCAACTGTGGAAGCCTCTGAACTAAAGGCTCCAAAATTGATTCAATAAAGACCTTTTCTCGGTCAAAAATATCTATGTCTGAATTTGTAACCTCTCCATGAACCTGTAATATATAGTGATTCACAAATAAGAAAGTCTAATGTAAACTTATGAGTTTTATATATTAAATAAAGGACAAACATAAAGAATGAAACATGCAACTGGCCGGCACTGACTGCCAGTCTGCCACAAGCACCACTTAGCTCACACAATTAAGTGCTGAAGTGTTAGTTGATATTTTGAAAGTGGACATGCTCCAAAATTGGTGTCCAATATAGTAACTAGTACATGCATTGTATTAAATGGAATAAAGTAATTCATAAAAAAACGTGACACATCAGAACTGATTTGAATTAAGAAGGCAGACATACATCCTTATGTGTCACTATAAGAACAATAAACATCAATACACACAAAATTGGGGTGGGGAGAGAGAATGTGAAGAAAATAAACAAAACAAAAATAACCACATATAAAAAAATTCAAATTACCAATAATGGTAAATTTTGTTCAGCCATTTCCTTGAGAACAGAAAAACAATTTCCCAAAAGATCTGTAACACCATCCTGGGAATTCGTAGTAGCACCAGCAGGATACAACTTCACACCATAAACAAGTCCACTTTTTTCTGTCAAAGCAATTAGCATAATCAAGTAATGTACTATAATTGATAGGGATTGGGAGGAACAAAGCTAGATGAGCATGGAGGTGTAATCTAATCAAATGATAAATTAACATTGATGATCATGACCTCATGGGCCATGTTAAAGACATTTGTTAAGATTGAACATTATACACATCGACAATTACACTGCAACGAATACAAGAAAGATCAAAAAGAGGTAAAAGAAGATAACAGAAACCTCATCTTGACCAGATTAGGAACAAAACTTAAATATATAAAAATAGAGACACAAATTAAAGTTATTGATAAATGAAAACTTATTTCTCTTCATATTACATAGGTAATATTTCTTAAACTAGTGATACCCACTGATTAGACTCACTTGCAAGTTTAATCTCGTCAGGCGTAGTCATGTCTGTGAGGTAAAGTGTCATGAGAGGAGTGAAGTTGCTATTTTTAGGTACTGCTCTCAAAATGGACCCTCGATAAGTGACAGCAGCAGACGTGGTAGTGATGGGTGGTTTCAAATTTGGCATTACTATAGCCCTTCCAAAATGCTTAGCACTGTGAGAGCAATAGTCTGAATCAGAACTCTTGCGAATTTTCGAGTGAATGCAATAAATAAAATGGATGGCATACTATATAAAGATGCATAGTGCAACCCTTTTCTTACACTGAGCTCACAAAAGATTAGGAAACAGGAGAGTATCAGCAATAACAAGAATCTTATACCACTATGTAATGTTCATCGTGAGATCCCTCTTAATATTTCATCCAATGTCTTTATTGGTATCTCTCTACCCCTTTTCACGGGGCTTAAAACTATGTGATCTATTCTCCTCACTATCGTCTCTAGTGTGGCCTTTGAATGTGTCCAACCACCTTTATCAGTTTTCTAATATTTTTTTCCTCGATAGGAGGCAAATCAATATTACCTAAAATCATTTAGTATCTTGTCCTTGCTTGCCAGACCACACGTATTAACGTACTCATTTATGCTAGTCCCACATTTTTTTCTTTTGCCCTTTTAGAGCCCAACATTCACTGCCGTAGAGCATAAATAGTCATCCTGCACTAAAATGAAACATTCCTTTGTGCTTGAGAGATACTTTACAATCTCAAATAACCTCAATGTCTTTCTCCATTTTAACCAGCCAGTTTGTTATTCTGTGCGAAATCATCATAAATTTTGCTATAATATGCTATCATTTTGTAATATATATCCTAGATACTTCAACTTAGAAACTTGCGATAAGACAGTTTCTAATTTTTACTTTTACGTCATTTCCTTCTTATCTCTTACTAAACTAGCAATTCATAACTCCTAAAATAGCAGAGTATCACTCAGGGTTTTTTCTTATTATTATTGAAAGAAAAATGACCTGTCAGGGAGGACAGCTTCAAGAAGAGAACCATCACGGAGGTGAAGATGCCAATCATCAGGTTGCGTTATAGTGAGCTCCATCTTTACGTCGATCAACCTTTTTTATTACAACCTTAATACCTGCAACAGAAGGGTTAAAAAACGCAAAAACATAATTAATGTCAAAGAGAGCAAGAAATGACCAATGGTTTCACACTTCCATAGTCTAAGTCAATACATTTTAAAACCTTCAGGTACATTTTTCCAATTTCCTAAAAAAAAAATGGCAAAACGAACCAAACCACCTTGAACAGTGCTTGGAGGAGCATACTGAACAAAATTTAAAACAAAAAATGAAACCCAAAGGAAAGTCAAACAACGTTCATTATTTGGAAAACTAATAGCAACAACAAATAATCAAATGCATCTTATGTAGTTGTAACAAACAGCCAAATACATCGTGTAGAGCACGCAGTAACAATCAAGTGCTCATCAAATCCGTTGCTTAGAAATTCTAAGAAGATAACCAACAACAGGAAGTAACTTCACATTAAAATCCATCCTAAAATGAAATGTAAATAGAACAACACAACAGGCACAAAGCATCACACTTGTATTGCAAACAAGTAACCAAACATCACAGATAGAGAAGAGAACGAACAAATAATATGGCTATGAGTATCATACTATTCGAAAAACGAAACGTTTTTGTGGCTGAATCATACGCCAAACGCACTTCAATGGCGTCGATCGTATCCCGCACACGAATTCTGGAAAACGCCAAAAGATGATAAAACGCAGTCGTAGCAGGTATGGGTATTGCCGATGCCTCTCTCCATTTACTCTCTGTCGCTGTTTTTATACTTAATAGTATCTTTTCCAACATTTTTAATTTAACTTCACAAGTTTCGACGTTGGATCTATCTATTTATAAAGTTCCATCAAATATTTAACATAGTTCAATTTTAAATTCAAAATAGATTTTGATTATGCTCAAACAATTACACCAAACATGCACGTTTAATTGAGTTGAGATTATTCATATTTTCACCAGTTTAGAAAAATAATATATTTATTTTATAGAATTTATATTATAGTTTTTTTAAATATAGTATTAGTTTTTATAATTTTATTAAATATACTCTTTTTAAACTTAAAATGAATAAAATAAATATTTTTATAAAAAAAATTAACATCATTTAATTGTACTATTTTTAATAAAAAAATAAGTTTTTTTTAATATCCTTCATTGGAACTTAATATTACTTCCTTTAAAATAAATATGTTATTGAATAAATATTGTTTTAATAGTAATATCATTTCATAAAATAAAATCAGCTAATATATTTATATTTATGTTGTAAGAAAGTATTTTTCTATAAAATATCTATCACCCCTTGTATATGTTAATATTTTATTTTTCTATAAAATAAACGGTTTTATGATATATGTTAATATTTTATTTAATTCAAATTATGTTTTAACTTGAAATACATGTGTTTAAGCTAAAACGTTAAAATTCAAAATTTTAAAATTTCATTTTCTTTTAAATATTATGGACTGAACTGATAAAACTATTTAAATGGTTGTTTGGTTAAGTTCCCAATAATTGTACACACAAATAATTGAAGAATTTTCTCAACTTTCTACTTGAACCCTACCTTAAACTAATACTAGTAGAAAATTATATTAAATTTAAAATTTTAAAAATAAAACAGATTTTTTTTCTTTTAAATCATATATTTGACATTATACATTTGTTTTATAATTTTCAAATCTTAAAGTTTTTTTCAATGCTATGATACTTTTAAACAATCAATTCTCTGTAATATTTTCCTAAATTTTCATTTCTTTTATTTTCACCTTACACAAAGTACTTATGAATTTTGGTGGTTGTTAATTTTGATAAAAAAGAAAAGAAAAAAGTGAATCTAAGATAATTCTACTCATATAAACAATTTCTTCACATTTTAATTATAATATTGTCTCTAACAAGAAATATAAATGGAAAAATAAAAATAAAGTATTAAATTTACAAACTTCATAGAAGTTGTGTTTGATGACTAGATAAACGGTGGGATTTGCACGAGGAAAGCTGGGGGCCATCCTTAGTGCCGTTTATTAGTCTGTAATAGGAGGGCGTCCCCATGTCAGAGGTACTTGACCTTACACCACCGAATCATTTCCAACCCATTCAGCTCAAAACTCTGCACTGTTTTTGTTTTTTTTTTTCGTCTTTGAGAAACCTCAACGTTCCAACCCCCAAGTTCGTTTATTTTCCTCATTCTCTGATTCCGCAATGCAAAGGGTATCCCAAACCTCCACAATTTGGAGGAACATAGCCTCTAAGGTCAGAAAAAACCTGTTTTCCATCAACGACCCTTTTGCTGCGCGATCTTTCTCTTTGGTTCCCATTGCAGCAGCCGCCAAGAAATTGCATCAACCGGAGATTCCGTGCGATTTTCAGAAATGGGGTTCGATTGGATTCAGTAGGACGTCGAAGTTCGCCTCTGGGTTCAACCCTCTGCAACCGAAGCCGTTGGATTCTATTGTAGATATCTACAGATTGAAGGATCGATATCCTGATGATATTGCTTCTATTTGGGATGATGTAATGTCTCATTTATTCTAGTCTTGATTGATTATTTGTTCTTATGCCATTTAAACTTGATTGACTTGTAGACTCTATTTGTGTGTGAAGCTGGCTGTTAGAGTGATACAATGAGTAAAATGAATTGAACTCTTTCATAACTCCGTTTTCTTAAGCTTCTTATGGTTCGCATTATCAGAAACAAGTATTTTTTGTTGTCCTTGCCACTTTCTCTTCTTAGACTTGTTTAGTTTTGGAGAGTGAAAAAATTTGAAGAAGATAAATTGGATATAATCTCTAGAAGAATGGAAAAGGAAATAACAAACGAAAATTTGGGAAGTTAGTTGATCAATGGGAAACAAGAGGCCCCTCTTGCGTGTGATTAGCTTGGTATAGTCAAAATGTCCATGATCGTATGGAAGTATGATGATATGTGTTGGAGCAATTGAGTTGTTGTTCTTCTTGTGAATTATTTGTTTTTAAATGTTTTTGTTATTGTAATTTTAAATATATGACTTGACTGGTTTTATTTCAGTATCACATAGGAAGAGGTCATGTTGGAGCATCTATGAAAGCAAAACTTTATCACTTGCTGGAACATAGAGCTTCAGAATGGTATTTATTATCAACATTGATACTAGGATTTTGTGGTATTCTAGATTCCATGTTCTCAGCTTTCATTGTCCTTGGCAGCCGATATTTTGTGATTCCTTTGTGGAGGGGAAGTGGATACACGACAATGTTTGTTCAAGGTTTGACAAATAATACTCTCACTTTCTTGTTTATGAAAAAATTAATAATTGTTTTGCATCAAAACTCTATTACACTTGATTGATAATTTGTATATGGGAAAGTTGGAAATATAAATATCACTTCCCCATTTTATGTATGTATTATAGTGATAATATCTATTGCTTGGATGGGAGTGTTTGAGAGAACTTGAAAGACTGAAACGAAAAAGAAAAAGATCATTGTAGGAAATTGTAGACGTTGTAGGATTATGTGGAAAAGTGGAAAGACGAATGAAGATGGACTAAGCACAAGTATAACTTATGAAAGACAGTCTGAATAGTTGTAATGTAATACATTACACTGATCTGATATTCCCATTTTCACTAATAATTAATAAATAATCTACGACAAGTATTTGGTACCCTACTTAATTGCACTCACAATGTACTGCACTATATATCCTAATTACAGTGTTTTAGCAGTATTAAACTTGTGCATGGACAAGCATTTGTTCTTATCCATGAATAGATATATCATATGTATACAGGTCAGATAGTGTTTTTCCTCTTCCTGATATATATGTACAGAATGTGGCAAACAAAGGTATTGTAATGTGCCTACATATATCCGTCGACTATTTTGTAATCTGCAAAGGAAATAGAGATATCCTAATTGGCAAAATCAGAGGTTTTGCCTGTACAATGCACTTCAAAAATAACAACGGTTAAAAAATCAACCAAAGTGAAGTAGTAATAAGCATACACAATCATGTTTGGAGACTGTTTCGTTCCTTCGTGAAAGAGAAGATTTACCTAGACATGCAATTTCACAAAATCATGTCTAATATCTAGTTCATGTATTCTCTAGCCTGGAGAAAGAGATGCAGTTGCAGTTTTACATATAAAAAGATGTTAATGGTTTGACACCATGTCCTGGACTTTTTCTAGATTCATATACCTTGCCTATCAAGAATCAACTTCCAACCTCTGCCAGCACACAACTATGGACATGCTACTACCAAATAAAGCTAGATTTGAAATATATAGAAATATTATGTTTTGTTGAGATTGGAAGGAAATAAATATACTAGAAGAAACTTCTTTCTCTGTTATCTTTAATATTTGATAAGATAGTCGGGCTCTACCTTCCTTTTTTCTTTTCAAGTTGGTTTATTTTCCCAGTTTTATTTTTGAGCAACTATTTTATTGTTTGCTCCAGTAATCAAAAACTAGTTTCCAAGACCTACAATATTTGTTGCATTAACATGTCTGATTTTGGTTAAACCTTGCCCACGGATAAGTATAAATGGTTGGGGAATACTGTTTCACTTGTTTTCCACCCATCAATCATCATATCTACTTGCAACATTAACATACTGTCAACATTAGATCACCTGTAGTTTTTAACTTTTTATGGAATTTCCAATTTGACGATGACATATTGTAGAGAGTAATGTTTATGGCAGATCCCATCGATTGTTGAGGGGAAAACCAAAATTATTTTGTTTATGGTTTGGGGATGTTTATGGGTGGGATGAATTGAGGAAGATTTCAAGAATGATTCTTCCTGTTTATAACTTTCTACCACTTATAAAAACTGGAATGCATAAAACATGTTTTAACAATGATTTATTTATTCTGGGTGTTTTCTTTTTCAACACTTTTATTGTTATCTCACATAAATATTCATTCTTTTGTTGTAGTCCAGACGCCACACATGATTTTTACAGGTCTTGAAGATTACAAGGCTAGGGGAACACAAGCATCTCCCTACTTTACTGTGACCTTTTACACTGAATTTGCAGAGAGCAAGGACTTGGTACTGATCCGCGGGGATATCGTATTCACCAGCAAGCTTACTGATTCAGAGGCAGAATGGCTTTTGGAAACTGCTCAGTCATTTTATTTGAATGACGCCAGGTACAAACTGGTTGAGAGGTTCAACAGAGAGACACGTGATTTTGAGTTCAAAGATGTCTTGCAAGTATTGAACATGCCTATTTTGTAACCTTTTTTTACTTGAACAACTGCTCGACTAAAACAGCAGAAGCAAAAACAGAAGGGTTGATTGGATCATGGATGAAGTTGCAAATTTAGGAAAGGAAGAATTTTTTTCATCATTCAATCATATATTATAGTCTTTGATTCAATAAAGAGATTTTGTATTGAATGTTTGCATCAAAACATTTATATAATATTAAAACCAACAAGTAAAATAGAAAAAACAGTTTTTTTTTCTCTTTTGTTTTTCCTGTTACATTTTTATCATGGACCTAACACCCTCCTTCAAAGCCAACATAAATCTGTTGGCGGTAGTAGCAGATTTTAACCATTGATCTTAGAGGGTCAAATAATATATTATTAATAAATAATAAATAAATATAAAAAAAGAAAGAATATGAAAGGTTAAAAAGATAAAATTGTAAATATATATTTAAATATATTGAATGATCATTAAGTTTGAAGGAAACAAAATTATAAATTATATGAGAGTTATAAAACTGAGAAGAAGTTGAGAGGATAAAATTGTAAATATACAAGTAAATATATTAAATATTAAATGTTGATTATGTTTAGAAAGTCAACATCATATATTGCATGATAATTACAAAATTTTAGGTCACGATTATCGTTAGACAAATGGTATCTTGTTCTTATCATCGAAGTAAAGATAAGAATGGTGAGGATCTTGAAGGTACTTTATTTACTAATAGCAAAATGGCCGTTAGTGCATTTTGGTAATCACCCTGCCGGTCAAGAGTGGATTAATTCATTGTTTTAAAAAATATTTATATATTAAAATTAAAAATATTATATTTTTTATCATGAAATATATAATATATTATAATATTATTATTTAAATTATAAATATTAATTAATTAAGTTTAAATTATTAATTATAATTAAATATTTTAATATATAAATATAATAATTTTATTTTTTATCTAATAAAGCTATTAATTAATAAATAAAAACATTAAAATTTATTTATATAATTAAAAATAAATGAATATAAAAAAATTATATAAAAAAAATATTAGAGGGCTGATCAAGTATGTTGTTTAATGAGGTAGGTTGGGGTATTATGGCATGTGAATCCATTTCATTCCATGTTTATTTGCAAATGCTAGAATGAGAGAGAATCATTGAACATGGGACCTACTAGTTTTTGTTTGGTGCATTGGGTGTTCCATTCTAAGTCTACAGCACATCTTATCATCTTTTTTTTTTTTTTTATTCTTTATGTTTTTTTTTTTGTTTCCCTCTTGTAACTAAAAATTTGACAGATGGAAGAAAGGACTTACTTTAACCTTTTTCTCTACTTAATTAATAGACTCAACTAATTAACTTTATAATAATTTTTGTCTAGTTAATTAATTTAGGAAACTAAAATTATAAATTGCAGAATTTTGACATCATTTGTATTGTAGTTATTATTTACAACAAGAAGGACTCAAAACATTGCTCAGAATTGCATGTTAATCACAGTTACCACATCTAATAAAACTCTTAGAATGATGAATTGGAAACTCAATTATAATTTAAACGATAGAGATGGCCATGAAGATCACATCCTGTCCATAAATGGTCCTAATTTCAATTTGATGTTTGATGCTTATCGACAGGACAATGAATGACACACAGAAGGTGGCTCTCCATGGACACAAAAGAGATGACGTAAGAAGAAATATTTGGTGGCCATTTGTATCAGTGAATGCATTAAATGAAACGTTCCCTTAACGATTTGTATTATATGTACCGACGGTTGAATTTGAACATGAAACTAATGGTTATGCAGAATTGTTATTGAAACTAGACTCTTCCTTTATGACTTGATAAGAAAAAAAGAATTTGGCATTTGGAATTTGTGGATGGAACTAGAGAACATGGTGAATGGACACTTGGACATATATAATGTCATATCTATTTAATGGTAGCACTGTGCTGTCTCATTTCATGTTTAATTACGTATATTCATATTTTCAAGAAACAAGTATTGTAAATAGTATACTAAGACTAAACTTTGTTTGAGAAACTGTTACTTAATCCAATGATTAAAGATAAGCCTCTAAAGTCAAAATTCTTACTTTCACAAAATATTAAAGAAATCCAACGATTATAGATAAGACTCTAAAGTGAAAACTTTTACTTTCACAAAATATCAAAGAAAAATGTCTCCTAAGGATGTGGATATGTAGAGATTCATCTTCCAAGTTCATGACACTTCTAGAATCATGATGGAATTCAAGGTAAAATTCAACTAAAAAACCAAAATAAATGATGAGTATAACGTGTCCAGATTTTGAAAAGTAAGAGAAGAGGAACCACATTTGAATACTTCCACAGGATTTCCATATCTTCAATTCATTTACCTTATATAACATCCACATTTCACTTTCAAGAAAAAAAGAAACATTTTAACTTTTTTTTAAACTAAGATATATACAACAATCTAGCAGCTATATATTTTAAGTTGAATGTGTGACTCATGCATATATGTGTCAATTGTTGGGTGTTTGAGAGTTCTCCATGGCAGCTTTGAATATGACATCAAAGGCTTTCTCCATGCAAAACTTGAACTTCTGTTCATCAATGAATCCCTTTAGTGTTCGCAAGGTGATTCTTAACACTTTCACATAGCTCATAATAGTTATGTCTACATTCTGCCAACACACATAAGCTTGTTAGAGGTAGTAGTTTTGATGCATTTTTCTTATACATTACATGTGAATGAATTTAACTCCCAAAAACAACTGAGTAGTTCAATAAATACCTCAGGTCCACCAGTCATGGAGAAATACAAACCACTTATAGGATGATTTGCCAAAGCCATTTGTTCCATTGGTCCAAAAATGTTGGATACAACAACACTAGAGTTTCCTAGAGTTTTGTAGATGATTTTAGCAACAGCCTAAAACACCAACACAACAAATCAGAGAAGGTGCATGCTAATAAAAACAATCCTAAGCTATATATCCAAACTTAAACACCTTCTGAATTACATATACGTACCTCAGGGCCTCTTAATTTCATCTCCAAATCCAAGAACAAACCTATGAGATAAACACTGAAAGAACGTCTCTTCTTCTTTATCAGTTCACGGGCGTTCCACACAAACTCAAGAGGGTTAAAGCTTTTGGATTGACTTAACTTCGGAATAGATATTTGTAGGAAAGAAATTTTATTCCCCCACAAACCTTTCACCTCTGAATTTTGCATCTCCTTCACTGATCGATACCCTCTAACATTTCTTGTGTTGAGCATTACCACAGCTGTGGAATTTGCTTTTCCAGCCATGTAGTCCATCTCTTGCATGTACATCCGAATCCCATAGAAAATCATCCCAGTAAGCACATCATTTATTGTCTGCATGCATGTAAAGAAAAATAATTAATAATGAACTACTTTTTCTATGAATAATAATATTTAGTGTGGTCTAATCTTACCACTCCAAGCTTGGTCTTGATTGCTTTGACATCATCAAGAGATAATGATATGTTTGACAAGGTAAAAGGCATGGACTCAGTTCCTTCATATGCAGATCTTACGGGTGTTTTGTCATCCACAATCATCCTTGTCTTCAATAAGCTAGTTCCAAAATCTGACATGGAACTGAAAAAGGAGGAGACAACTGAAGGGAACTTCTGAAACATGTTTTTCTTTGAACTTTGTATAGTTGATGATGTTTTTGAAGGAAAAGTTAGTGGAAGAGAAGGGTCATCAATTCTTTGAAGACAAGAAAGAAGGGCACCCATGAGAGAGTAACCATCTCCAAGAGCATGATGAAGCTTGAAAATTATTGTTCCTGCAGCATTGCTTGTTGGATACTTAATAATATGAATTTCCCACAGTGGTTTGTTTTGAGGTGTTCTTTCAGTTAGAATCCCTGTCACATACTCATCAAAATACTGGTCATATAATTCAGATGAATTGTTTTCTGGAAATTTGGGAACCTTTATATGCTCTTCAGCCTTCACTTGTACCCTTTTCCATCTCCTTTTACCATCTTCATCTCTTACCTGTGGTGAAACAATCAATTGAACAATCAAAACACAAGATCATACACATGATTAACCATCAGTGTTCATTTGAAGTGAGTGCTACTAGCTTTATTCATATCACTAAGCCTTTTTTTGTGAGTTCCCTAGCCTCATATATATATATATATATATATATATATATATATATATATATATATATATATATATATATATATATATATATATATATATATATATATATATTAATCTCTATAAATGAATGATTTTTTTATTTTTTATTTTTCAAATTTTTAAAATAATTGTTTACTATCACTGTTACTACCCGACATTCTTTGAAGGTTCATGTACTAACACACAACACCAGGATAAACTTAGATAACATTTGATAATGTTGTAGTTTCATTTTAGCATATGATATTTTATTAAAAAAAATCTATATTCCTAAAGAAAATCTACTTTGGAGTTAACACGAGGACACAATAGTAATTTCATATTTGAGAGGAACAAAAAAATCACACAAACTAAAATCAAAATTCACTTATTTTCCAAATACCAAAAACTCTATTTCATGGGAGGATAGAAATTTAATAAAGAAGTATTTTTTTACTAGAAAAAAAAATCAAAATTAACTCAAATTGTAAGAAATAAATAATTAAATTTGGTTTGTGGTAAATGGAAAAGTACATATATAGCAAAGGATGGAAGAGAGAAAGAACCATGATAGAGGAGAAACGTGGGTTGATAGGAAGGAAAACATCTCTAACCAAAGTCCTGGCCTTTGAGTCATCAATTGGAATTGCCATTTCAAGAAAGCCAAAAACATAGGAACATATCACTGAACTGTTGAAATATTGTCCAGGGGGACTCACTGGTTCTTGAACCTCTTCATGGAATTCATCCATTGTGCTAGTTTGTGTATGAAAAAGAGAATGAAAGCAAGAATTCAATTAGAAAAATGTTATTTTTTTATGCAAACCCAACCCAAGCTATGATCAATATATAGCACTGATATTGTTGTTTGTATAAGATAAGATGCACAACGATTTGATCTTTGTTTGATACATTAATGATGGTGGCACATAAATAATTTTCAGATTGTAGATGAAAAACATATGGTTTGGGAGTTTGATTTAAAACTTTGGCCAATAATTTTTGGATCAAAATAGAAAAGTGCATTCATTGATATGGACATAACCAATTAATGTAGGGTATGAAAAGTCAATAATGATGAACTATAAGTAGGTGTCATTTTGAAATCATTTATTGTTGGTAGGGATGGAGTTTCCATTTCGTTGCTATTTTAGAAAGTCTTCACAAATTGATACGATACATGTTTAAATAAGGGCCTGCAAGATTGGATCCGGTTTCAGTAAATTTATCACTCAAATTTACATGATTTTTGTATTTTGTTTGGACTTAATTTAATACAATTTGTCATTGTTAAGTTGAATCGTTATTTAAAAAAAATATTATTCAATATTTAAATATATATATATATATATATATATATATATATATATTATTTATGATAAATAAAGGTTTTTTCAATCTGCATAATTTCAACAACATAAGAAATTTAACATTTTTTATAACCATAGTGGAAAGTTATACTTTAATTTTGTTTAGATAGTTGGAAATTTATCAAATATTTCTTCATATTAAGTTATCTACTAATTCAATTTTCTACTTAACTAATATCTTAAGCATCAAATGAATCTCACTTATACAATTTTCATTTATATGACTTTTTAAGAAAGAGAACAAACAAGTAAAATTTAGAAAAAATTAAAAATTATATATAAAAAAATATTCTCCACCAAAACTATTAAACAGAGATATAAATTTACCTAAAAAATATAATTATGACTTTAAAATCTAATAAGACAAATTCTAAAAAAACAACAACTAAAATAAATAAATGAAAAAAAAGAAGCAAAAAGTAATATATATATATATATATATATATATATATATATATATTATTGCAAGAGAAATTAGAATGTAAAAAAATTATTTTTTACAATTTTTTATCTTATAATATATTTACTATATTAGTTTTTGTTTATAATTTGAATGAATATAAAAAATAATTACAAAATTAAAGTGTTATAATTTCAATTATTACAAGGGATGAGTTTAGAGTGTTATAATAAGTGATACTATTTTTCTACTAATAATATTAAATAAAATATTTTGACGTGTCACGATAGTAAACCACACTTCATGTTGTAGATCATAACAAGCCACTTAATTAGTTTAATGCCTCTCCTCCTCTCATAACTAATAATGGCCAAACAGTCCCTATAAGGAATTATAACTAACCATAAACTATTTCAAATTTTCTTATTCTGCGTAATTAATACCATAACATTCTGTAAATTATTTTTAAATCATTTATTATTATATATAATTATTAGTGGTGGAACCCAAGCTATATATATTGGATATAGCATGTGCATTCATAATTGTATTTTTTAATATTTAAGCGATTTTATAAATATACAAAAATATAAATAAAGTATTTAATTTAAAAATAAAAAATAATTCAACATTATAATTCAAATATATTTAATATTAAAATAAAAAACGACTTTTGTATAAATATTTATTTAAATAAATATATTAGTATACCATATTTATGATTAACTATGACGAGAGGAGTGTAAGTATTCTTGTTATTATTTTAGCTTGTGACAATCAATAGAATTAATCAAATAAATCAGTTAAATTATTTTATTTGTTTAATTGATTTAATTGTAATATTTAAATTTTTTTCTTTGATGATTAAATTTTTTTATTTTTAACTAATTTGACAAACTTGTTTTTTAAAATAAAAGAAAAATTAAAAATATATATTGACAGATAGTTTTATTTTATATATAAAATATAACTTTAATTTACAGTACTTGATTTATTTAATAGATACATGTAAAGAATTTTTTTTTAATTCTTCAGTTTTTATTTTTTTAAATAATAAAAACTACTTGGATTGGGTAGCTGAAAAGTCATACACCTTCGTGAATGAGGAGTTACCTTTAATGAGTCATGGGACCAGAAATGGAGACACAATGAAGTTGTAGGGTCCTCATTTTAACATTTAATTAATTTCAAATTTTAATTATGTTTTATTTATAGATAAATTATTTTAATTATATTTATATTTATTTCAATTGTTATAAATTTTTATTATATATTATTAATCTTTTAATATTATAATATAATGCATAAAATTATATAATTTTATAAAAATAAACAATTTACCCTCAATTAATATTAATATATTGAAGTATAAGCTTAAAATAGTAAAATAAATACTGTAAATAATATAATAGTTAAAAGAATTATATAATATAAAAAGTATCTAAGTCAGAAACAAAAATTTTACAGATAACATAAAAATATATAAAAATAATAAAATAATGTTATAACTTTTGAGTGAGTAAAAAATATTAAAATAATAAAATCAAGTTTTTGAGTATATAAAAACTTAAAAATAATAATGATATCTTACGAAGAATGAAATTTTTATTTTAATAAGAATAATAAATCATTTGTTAATATAAAAAATATATATACTTTTAGTAGTAAGTGGTAAATATATTTTTATTAAAAATACAAAAAGAGATGGATGTGTTTTAAAAATAAAAAATAATGTAATTATCATTTTATTAAATAATTATGAAAAAATAGTATAAATATAAAATAAACTGACATGGGAGGGCCTTTTTAACGTGACTTTAAATTAGATTTTTTTAATATAATTATAACATTTTATAAATCAAAATAATAATATCATTATAGTTTAGAGAAAATAAAATAAAATATATCTTAATTTTTGAATGTGTTAGAAATTATTTTTTTTATAAAAAATAAATAAATAGCAAATTAATAAAATAAAAAAAACTCTATCACAGTCTTATTTATTTAAAATCTTTCAATATCAAATATATTTTATTCTATAATTATAAATTTTAGTCTATGACAAATCTATGTTTAAATAATTATTACTGTATAATCATAACTATATTTTAAGACTTAAAAATATGTTATATATGTTTGCTGAATTATGGTTCTAACAATTTAAAATTATATTTTTGTATGCATATTATAATTATTATATATAATAATAATAATGAGAGCAAAAAATAATAGTAAAAATACCTTAATAATATTTATTAGAAATTCAAAAAATATTTAAATCATGACTGAATGTCTAATATTTCATCATTATCCTACTCATCATTAATTGAAATAAAATAAGATAAAAAAAATTGTGCTACACACTAATTCTATATCTAACTTCAAAATATAAAATAACGGTGGTTTTTGTGAATTTATGAAAGTGTAATAATTATACTATTTAACATTATTAATATATATTGAATAACAAGAGTGTGCATTTTCAAAGTATGTAACTTGAACGTCATAGTTGATTTATATTTTGTATGCTCGATTCAAATTTATTTAAAACCCTCCTTCGACTGTGAGAGGATGCAACTTGAGAGGATGCATTTTGAACGTCAAATTAATATATATTTTGTTGTTCAATTTATGTATAACAGTGGAATGTGAGAGGATGCAACTTGACACCCTCACATGAAAAAAAAAAAAAAAAGAGTGGACGTGATTGAACTTTTGCTCCAATGGCAATGGAGGGTATTGACAAGGATGAGAACAGAAAGCGCCGAAGAAAGATGTCAAGAAAGCTTGAAGTGGATGCAAAAGTAGAGGTAATTTGTCTTGCTATTGAAATTTTTGTTTTTTTTTTAAAGAACAAATACAATTAGAATTGTTGCACCAGTTGTTCGACGTATTGATTTTTATTTGTTTTATCTGTTTTGGTTTTGATTCATGTCATCGATTATTCTTTCCTTTGGTTTCGTTTCATGATCGGATACTTAATTGTTTGGACATTTTTTGATACATTACACTTGTTTGTCTTATTCAATTTTTTTTTGTCTGCATGCAAAGTTCCAAATTTTTTTGGACAAATCTCATATGCTATGGTGATGTTCTTTTATCAAATTTTGAGTTTTCAATGTTCTAAATGGATAGTAATTGATAGTTTTCTGATACTCGGTCAGAATGGATATGAATTTTATAAAAATAAAAGATAAAATTAAAGGTATTAATTATGAATCTTTAAAAACATTTGATAATCTATATGAATACTTAAGTTTTGATATATATTTTTTGTTTATTTAGTAATTTTACTTATTATTTTTAAGATTTTAATATATTAATTTTGAGTTTTTAACTATTTTAGATGATTAATGAGAATCCAACATTAAGGCAATTATTTTCTTTCTATATATATATCATCTATTTCTATGTATTTGAGATTTATTTAGTGGGTTCCTTTAAATTTTTTATCTAGTTTCAGTTGAATTCAAAAAGAGACATATATATATATATATATATATATATATATATATATATATATATATATATATATATATATATATATATATATATATATATATAATTATAATTATAATTATAATCTAGAATAGGGGATTTTTATGTAACACCGGTCAAATATTTTAAAATTATTTATAATTTTTTTAATATTTAAATTTAATAATGTATTAAATGTACATTAATTTAAATAAAATAATATATATAATATTTATTAATTAAGAAAATTTGAGTGTATTTTTTATAAATATTAAAATAAATTATTAAATATATTAAAACAAAATTATTTTTTTATTTTTTATATTATTTCAGTCATTAAAATTTTTTAAAAAATATATAAGCATTAATTTATATTATTTTTAATAAATTTTTAATTTTTTAATTAATATTCATCTAAAATAATTTTTAAAATATACCACATTAGAACAATTCATATCAATTATTTTTATATTAAAAAATGTAAAATATAGATTTTTTTACATCATTTTTAATTAACTCATATTTAATTTTATTTAGTAATTTCTTTAATAATATTAAAAAAATCATTCTCTTATATTTTTCTCATCTTATTTATTTTATTTTGTTTATTTTTATAAATTATTTAATAAAATAACTATAAAATTATTTAAATTTCAAATAAAATTTTATTTAAAATAATTAATATTTTATTTAAATATAAAAAATTTAATAAATTTTTTTTAATAATTATTATTTTTTATGTAATAAATATAATTAAAAAGATAAAAAAAAAAATCGGTAAGAGGGTTTAATATAAAATCTTCAAATATTATATATTTGAAAATAACTTTTTCTTGCGAAAACTGGAGTGTTATTTTGGTTACTCGAAATTGTAAGATTTGCTATTATATAGACCAAACTAATATACTTTCTAGAGGTTGAATAATGCAAAACGTTACACCTATTATTTTTAATAAATTTATTATTTTTTATTTATATTTATCTGATCTTATTATTCTCTCCATTATATTCTCTATATGTAATAAATATAATATTAAAATGTGAGAATTTAATTAATAAATTAGTAATTAATACCGTTTTAAAATATATATATATATATATATATATATATAGAGAGAGAGAGAGAGAGAGAGATGGAAATTATCAAGATTTTGTTGGTCAAAGAAAGTGGCTGCCAAATTTTTCAATTCTTACTGCCAAATTTTTTATGTAAGCATGAGGTGCACGAGGCATATTTTATTGCAATGCACAGTACCAATTTTTGCTATAAATTGGTCTTCTTCTTGCAAGCAAAATCATCCCATCCCACATAAAATATTACTTCTCTTAGAAAAGAAAAGAGTGGCACCAGTGAGAGGCAAAAAAACTAGAGAGTTTTAGTTTAGCTTCTGGGTGTAATTGGGTTGTGAGTTGTGAGTGTTTTGTAAACACTTGTGTATTTTCTTTTCTCCTAAAAAGAGATCTGTAGTAGTCTGGAGACGTAGGCATTATTGGCCGAACTCCGTTATCAACTTGTGTGTGCAATTATTCCGCTTTTATTTCACTTTCACAGATCTGACCATATGAGAAGATTCAGCATATTTTTTCCAACAACTCGGTATCGAGCTGGTTGTTAGTTCCGTAATTTTTGTGGTGTTACTATTCATATGAATAGTAAGTTACTATTCCGAATAGAAGTGAATAGTGCAAATTTTGTCAGCGTTACAAATTTGCCCGCGATCGTGTTCCGAAACACGGTAGCTCACGTAAATTGTCGAAACGATCCAAGCAGATAAGTCGGATCGAGTTGGAGTGATGGTCGCAGACGAAGGAAAAATGAAAATCGAAAGGTTCGATGGTACGGACTTTGGCTTCGGAAGATGCAGATAGAGGATTATCTCGTATCACAAGAAGATGCATCAACCACTCACGGGGAGAAGCCAGAAACCATGAAAGAGGAAGAATGGAGTCTCCTTGATAGACAGGCTCTTGGAGTTATTCGTCTAACATTATCCCGTAATGTTGCTTTTAACATTGTGAAAGAAAAGACGACCTCAGATCTCATGAAGGCTCTTTCCAACATGTACGAGAAACCATCATCCTCAAACAAAGTTCACTTAATGAGGCGATTGTTCAACCTGTGGATGTCTGAAGGTGCTTCGGTGGCAAATCATCTCAATGAACTCAACACTGTAACAACCCAATTGAGTTCTATTGACATCAAATTCGATGATGAAGTACAAGCTTTAATACTTTTGTCTTCCCTACCGGAGAGTTGGAATGCTACGGTCACGACTGTGAGTAGCTCATCGGGAAACAATAAGTTAAGATTTAATGATGTTCAAAATTTGGTTCTCAGCAAAGAGATCCGACGGAGAGAGTCGGGTGAAGCATCAACCTCTTCGCATGTGCATACGAGTCAAGAGGAAGAAGTTCAACCAAAGAAATTAGACATGGAAAATCAAAGGACAAGCGGTCCAAGTCTAGAAATCATCGTAGTTCCCACAACTCAAAGTCGATCGAGTGTTGGAATTGTGGGAAGACCGGACACTTCAGAAACCAGTGCAAGAGTGCACGGAAGAATCAAGGAGCAAAGGACGAAGCAAACGTTGTCTCCACCTCAGGAAAAGATGAGGCATTGATATGCTCCCTTGAAGGCAGGGAGGAGTCTTGGGTGTTAAACTCCGGAGCATCTTTTCATGCTACCTCACGTAAGGAACTGTTGGAGAATTATGTTCCGGAAACCTTGGTAAGGTTTACCTTGGTAATGAACAGTCATGTGAGATTGTAGGCAAAGGTGCGAGTAAGGATTAAGCTGAATGGGTCTCGTATGGGAATTGAAAAATGTCGGACATATTCCCGACCCGACAAAGAGCTTAATCTCAGTAGGTCAGTTAGCTAGTGAAGGCTATACGACAATCTTTCACGGTGATGAATGGAAGATCTCAAAAGGTGCGATGACGATTGCTCGAGGCAAAAAGAGTGGAACTCTCTACAAGACTGCAGGAGCATGTCATTTGATTGCAGTTGCAACAAATGAAAATTCCAACATATGGCACCAAAGACTTGGACATATGAGTGAGAAAGGAATGAAGGTCATGCACTCGAGAGGAAAATTATCAGGTCTTCAGTCAGTAGATATTGACATGTGTGAAGACCGCATACTTGGAAAGCGGAAGAGAGTCAACTTTCGGACAAGTAAAAGAACCCCAAAGAAAGAGAAGCTTGAGCTCATCCACTCGATGTTTGGGGTCCAACGAATGTTCCATCCGTTGGTGGGAAGCATTACTTCGTGACTTTCATTGATGATCACTCCAGAAAGGTATGGGTTTACTTTCTGAAATATAAGTCAGAAGTATTTGAAGCTTTCAAGATTTGGAAAGCTATGGTGGAAAATGAGACAGGATTGAAGATTAAGAAGCTCAGATCCGACAATGGTGGTGAATATGTAGACACCAGATTCAAGAAGTTTTGCTATGAGCACGGAATCAGAATGGAGAGAACCGTGCTTGGGTACGCCTCAACACAATGGTGTAGTCGAGCGTATGAATCGAACGTTGATCGAAGGGCCGAAGCATGCGTGTGCGATCGAGCTTACCAAAGCAGTTTTGGGCGTAAGCAATCAACACAGCAGCTTACTTGATCAACCGAAGTCCATTGGTACCATTGGAGCACAAGATACCAGAAGAGGTATGGAGCGGAAAAGAGGTAAAACTCTCACATCTTAGAGTTTTTGGTTGTGTAGCATATGTGCATATCAGTGATCAAGGCAGAAACAAACTTGATCCAAAATCAAAGAAATGTACTTTCCTTGGTTATGGTGAATATGAGTTTGGCTACCGCATATGGGATGATGAAAACAAAAAGATGATCCGCAGCAGAGACGTAATCTTCAATGAAAGAGTGATGTACAAGGACAAGCATAATACAGGTGCCGGCAACTCGAAGCGAGTGGGCCGGTTTATGCGAGAGGTGGAAGATATCCCGAGAAAGTCCTATAATGAGGAGTCCTCGACCGGAGGAATCGGTTGAAGAACTTGATGTGCAAGCTGAACCTCCTACTCCAACTCCCGTATTGAGAAGGTCTTCTCGGCCTCATGTGCCTAACAGGAGATACATGGACTACATGTTGTTGACTGATGGAGGGGAGCCTAAAGATTATACGGAAGCTTGTCAAGCCACGGATGCTAGCAAGTGGGAGCTTGCCATGAAAGACGAGATGAAGTCTTTAATCTCAAATCAGACATGGGAACTAGTCAAGTTACCTATGGGAAAGAAAGCACTTCACAACAAATGAGTGTATCGAGTGAAGGAAGACCATGATGGTTCTAAGAGATACAAAGCTCGACTGGTCGTCAAAGGATTTCAGCAGAAAGAAGGAGTCGACTACACTGAAATCTTTGTTCCAGTTGTAAAGCTCAATACTATCAGGACTGTGTTAAGTATTGTGGCTAGTGAGGAGCTCTACCTAGAGCAATTAGATGTGAAGACCGCATTTCTTCATGGAGATTTAGATGAGGAGATCTACATGCACCAGCCTGAAGGTTTTTCAGAAGGAAAGAAGAACTTGGTGTGCAGATTGAAAAAGAGCTTGTATGGCCTGAAACTACTCTGAAAAATCTCCCAAGTCATAAATCATAAAATCTCCAATGACTCCAAAATCCGATATCATTTTTTTTTAAGAACTCTTCAAGAAACAAATGATCCCCTCTTTTACTCCTTATACCCAGCAGATCCTCAGACATATTTATCTCCTTTCATCAATTAAACTTATTCTTGAATTTTGTTTGTGAATTGACTTCTATTTTGTCTAGGAAACTATTCTAGGATCATATATTTTATAAATTTCTATTTCATTTACAGTTTTTTCTTTCCAAGACAGTGGTATAAGAAGTTCGAAAGCTTCATGCACAAGGAGAGTTTTCAGAAGTGCAACGCTGATCACTGTTGTTTCTTCAAGAGGTATAAGTCCAGTTATATCATTTTGCTACTTTATGTTGATGATATGCTAGTAGCGAGGTTTAGATATGAATGAGATCATAAACTTAAAGAAGCGAGTTGTCAAAAGAATTTGACATGAAGGACTTAGGCCCAAGCAAAGAAGATTCTTGGAATGCAAATCACGAGAGATAAGCAAAAAGGAGTTTTGCGGTTATCTCAAGCGGAGTACATCAACCGTGTTTTGCGAGAGATTTAACATGGACAATGCCAAACCGAGTCAATACACCTTTGGCTTGCCATTTTCGTCTATCCAAGGATCGAGTCTCCTCAAACAAAGAAAGAAGAAGAGTTAATGGCTAAGATTCCGTATGCTTCGACCATTGGAAGTTTGATGTACGCGATGGTCCGTACGAGGCCGGACATTGGCCATGCGATGGGAGTTGTAAGCGGATTCATGACAAATCCAGGAAAAGCTCATTGGGAAGCGATCAAATGGATTCTAAGGTATCTACGAGGCACAATAGAAAAATGTCCGTATTTTAGAAAAGGAGATCTAAAATTGCGAGGCTACGTAGATGCGAGACTTTGGAGGTGAAGTTGATCACTGAAGAAGCACCACTGGGTATGTGTTTACTCGTTGGAACTACAGTATGTTAGTTGGATGTCGCGGATACGGAAAATTGTTGCTTTATCCACTACGGAGGCTGAGTATGTAACGATGACGAAGCCGGTAAAGAATTGATATGGCTTCAAGGATTGTTGGCAGAGTTGGGATTCATTCAAGAAAGGAGTGTTTTGCACGGTGATAGTCGAGTGCAATACATCTGGCAAAAAATTCAGCATTTCACTCCAGAACCAAACACATCGACATACGTTATCATTTCATCAGATCTCTACTTGAGGATGAGATGCTAACATTGAAGAAAATTGTGGGAAGTAAGAACCCAGCAGATATGCTAACAAAGGTGGTGACTATTGACAAACTGAAGTTGTGCTCAACTTCAGTTAGCTTACAAGGATAACAGACAAGAGAAGACTACTATTGATCAAGGTGTGAGGACAGATTGAAATCGGTCCTCAAGTGGGAGATTGTTGGTCAAAGAAAGTGTCAAATTTTTCAATTCTTACTGCCAAATTTTTTATGCAAGCATGAGGTGCACGAGGCATATTTTATTGCAATGCACAGTACCAATTTTTGCTATAAATTGGTCTTCTTCCTGCAAGCAAAATCATCCCATCCCACACAAAATATTACTTCTCTTAGAAAAGAAAAGAGTGGCACCAGTGAGAGGCAGAAAAACTAGAGAGTTTTAGTTTAGCTTCTGGGTGTAATTGGGTTGTGAGTTGTGAGTGTTTTGGGAGTGTTTTGTAAACACTTGTGTATTTTCTTTTCTCCTAAAAACAGATCTGTAGTAGTCCGGAGATGTAGGCATTATTGGCCGAACTCCGTTATTAACTTGTGTGTGCAATTATTCCGCTTTTATTTCACTTTCACAGATCTGACCATATGAGAAGATTCAGCATATTTTTCCGAACAGATTTAAAGTAAGAATTATTATTGAATAAAAGTGATTTTTTTTCATCTGGGATTTTTTTTTTAAATTGAGTTTCTGGTGATAATAAATACTGAGTTGAGTGAGACTATTTTTATCTGTTTTTTTTATCTTTTAAAATTGAATTTTTGGAATTTTGCAGGTGAGGAGTATGGATATTGGGTTTCAAGGATCATGGCACCCTGGGACAGTTACTCTGTGTGAGGATTTGCAACGACATGTCAGATATAAAAATAGTTTGGTTGTTGACAATGAGGTTGATTATCTTGAGGAGGTAGTGATTGTTTCAAAAACTTTGGATGGTTATATTGAATCTACAAACTGCTATGCACGCGGGTCCATTAGGCCATTGCCTCCTTTGGTTGAGTTTGATAGGGGGGACCTTATATTTGGTTTGTGTGTTGATGTGAAGTACCAGGAATCTTGGTGGGAAGGTGTAATATTTGACCACTGTGATGGAATGGACATGAGGTGTGTGTTTTTCCCTGATTTGGGTGATGAAATGTTGGTTGGAATTCATCAGTTGCGGATCACTCAGGACTGGAATGAAATCACCGAGGAGTGGACCCGGCGAGGGAACTGGGTGTTTCTTGATTTGGTTGAAGAGCAGAAGAGGAAATTGTTTGTCTCAGTTTCGGTTAAGCAGATTTGGTATGATATACGCATAAAAGAGAAATTTGAGGCGATTAGAGAGTGGACATGTAATTTTAAGTACTTGTGGACAGACTTGATAATGGAGGTAATTAATCATTACTTATCTCCTACAGTAAAGGAAAATTCCTCTGTCCTAAACCTTCCAGGGAGTTTATTAAATGAAGCACCACAGCAGGAATTTGCTGAAGGTATGGTTAATGTTGACATGAACATGATTTGGCCTGATGAGGAAACTGTTGTGCAGAAAAAACATGTCCCTCCTGTTAAAGAGACCTTACCCGAATTTCAAAATGAAATTAGTCCCTGTAATGATAGGCCTTTTGAAGAAAGTGTAGAAGAAAGATCCTCAAGTCATTTAAGGTCCACTTATTGGAAACCTGTGAAGTTTTCTAAGGTTGAGTTATGCCCTGATGCAGTTGGGGAATATCCACTTGCTTCTAAACGCGATGTCAAGGCATTTTGGATGGATAAGTTACAAAAACATCTTGTATGTATTGGATGGAAAATCGAATGGTCGAATAGATTAAATGTTAAACGTTACAAGTATATTTCCCCTCCTAGGCAGGGCCAAAAGTTTTACCTTTCACTCCTTGAAGTCTGTAAAGCTATGAAACAGGACCCCAGCATGAACTCCTTGCATCTCCAAAATGACCGGAGTATAATGCATCCTACGGTTGACTGTCATCTTTCAGATGTCCCTGCAAATCCAGTACAAAATATTCAGAACCCGCATATCTTTCCTCCTCCATCTTCTTCAGTTGAAGATGCACCTGATTGTTGTCCTGGGGCTGTCGTGCAGTATTATTGGAAACCTGTGAAGTTTTCTGAGGTTGAATTATGCCCTGATGCTGTTCGGGAATATCCACTTGCTTCTAAACGCGATGTCAGGGCATTTTGGATGGACAAATTACAAAAACATCTTGTATGTATTGGATGGAAAATTGAGTGGTCAAATAGATTCAATGTTAAACGTTACAAGTATATTGCCCCTCATAGGCAGGGCCAAAAGTCCTACCTTTCACTCCTTGAAGTCTGTAAAGCTATGAAACAAGACTCCAGCTTCAACTCCTTGCATCTCCAAAATGACCGGAGTATAATGCATCCTACGGTTGATTGTCATCTTTCAGACGTGCCTGCTAATCCAGCAGAAAAAATTCAGAATCCAGATACCTTTCCTCCAGTTGAATGTACACCTGATTATTGTCCTGGGGCTGTTGTGCAGTACTATCGCTTATATATATCCAATAAGAGCCGGGCTGAAAAAAGAGAATGGATTCTAAAGGCAAAGAAGCATCTATTAGCAGAAGGATGGGTTTTTGACTATCCACCTCCACTAAATAAGAGAAGGGGAATAATATACATGTCTCCGAAAAATCGGAAATTCTCAACACTCCATGCAGCTTGCAAATTTTGTATTGAAGAAAGTATTCCTAATAGGAACCTTGAATTGCAGTCGATGGATGAAGGTGCTTCTAGTTGTAAATCTAATCAAAAGAAGAAAAGAGAGAGGTATTTAAAGGCTAACATACCTAAGTGCCAAAGCAAGGGATTACCTCAACAGGTGCTAAGGTCAAATAAGAGGGTGCAAAAGGTGTCTGGCCCTGCTAATTTACAGCATAAGCCTCTAAATATTCCGTCTTATTTGATAGACAACAACAACATCTTACCAAGGTCTAAGGTTTATTATAAAACAAAAGGCAGACACAGCATAGTCCGTACTTTGGCCGAGGGGAAAATAACTCACGACGGAATCAAGTGTAACTGTTGCCTTGCATTATACAGTTTTGCTGGATTTGAAAACCATGCTAGTGGCCTCAGTACCTGCAAACCCTCTGCTAGTATCTTTTTGCAAGATGGTAAATCACTCTTGGATTGCCAGATACAAATGATGCAAGATCACAGGAAATGGGAAGCTAGTGGAAAATCATTAAACGATATAGCTGAGAATGACTACATTTGTTCAGTATGCCACTATGGTGGTGAGCTTATTTTATGTGATAAATGTCCATCCTCATTCCATAAGACGTGTCTTGGTTTGGAGGTAGATTAATCATTTCCCTTCTCAATCATGCTATATTTAGTGTTATTTTTTTTTTTTTTTTTACGTATTACAGGATATCAGTTTGGTAATTTGATGATACATCAGGGTCTTTTACGGCTTGTATAATTTTTTTTTCCTAAGTAGGATATCCCCGAAGGTGACTGGTTTTGTCCATCATGTCGATGTGGGATTTGTGGCCAAAGGAAAATTGATGGAAATGAGGTTGAACATTTCCTTTCTTGCGTACAATGTGAACATAAATGTATGTCAGCTACTCCCTATTTTTACTTTCATTTTATATACATGCCTGAATATCTTTGGTGTGTATTTGTCTGCATAAACGTCTATTGTCAATCTTGTGTAGATCATGTTAGGTGCCTCAAACAGGGAGCTGCAGATACATCAAGCAATAATGGAAACTGGTTCTGTGGAAAAGGCTGCGAAAAGGTAGATTAAATCCAACTTATTTATTTCTCCCCGTTTTAGAAAATTTTAGCTGTAATGTGCTTGAAAAAGTTGCTTCTTTCTGTTTGTGGCTACCTTCAAGCTTTTTGTTTGTGCTTTGATTAAAAATGGGAGTCTCCATGGCCAATAGTTTGTGTGTCTTCATTGAGAGTCTTTTTCGGATACTGGTTTGGCTCTTCTTAACATTCCGGCGTCTATTTTTTGCAGGTATATGAGGGCCTTCATAAATTATTAGGAGAGCCAGTTCCAGTGGCTAACAATCTAACTTGGACATTGGTGAAGTTTATCGACCCCAACAGTTCTGATCTTGGTAATGTTGAGACTGACTTAATGGCAGAAAGTTACAGCAAACTCAATCTTGCTCTTTCGTTAATGCATGAATGTTTTGAGCCCCTGAAGGAATCCTTGACTAGCAGAGATCTAGTGGAAGATGTTATATTCAGCAGATGGTCAGAAATTGTTATCCTTCAAGCCATGGTCAAAATGTTCTGTGTTGCTTATTGCATTTGTGTGTTATATACATCGATAACATTTACTTATGGATTCGTTTACATCTACCCTATTTACTCAGCCCATGATGATGATATCTACCTCTAAGAAAATTTCATTATTGCTACATCTCTTGGTCCATAACTGACATCTATACTTTTGAACTTGGCAGGTCAGAGCTTAATCGAATAAATTGCCAGGGTTTCTATACTGTTCTACTTGAGAGAAACGAAGAACTGATTAGTGTGGCAACTGTTAGGTGAGATGGCAAGAGTGCGTGTTGTGTTTGAGTTGTTTTCTATGCCCTGTCATGTTATGGTCATGTTTTATTTGTTATGTCAATTTTTTAGGGTTCATGGGAAGAAGGTAGCTGAAATACCTCTTGTTGGTACCAGATTACAATATCGTCGACATGGAATGTGTCGCATTGTAATAGATGAGCTTGAAAAGGTAATCCACAAATAAAAAACATAAAAATTTTAAATATTATAGATATTTTAAATAATTTTATTGTGAATGTCATCTTAAAATCACTTGTCAGTACTGTACTAAAAAATATCATTAAAAAAAAAAAAACTGTGATCGAGATCCATTATCATGTCTTCCAACTATCTGATCACCTTCATTATTTACATACTATTTTTTACCATGTTCATACATTATTAATGAAATTTTGAGATCGTTTATTAGATACAATTTTACACATAAGATATATTTCAATAACATGATGAAGATATAGTCCTCCTTACTGTTTCTCTAACTTGTAATTTTCCTTTTTCAGAAACTCATGCAATTAGATGTGGAGAGGCTGATTTTGCCAGCGGTTCCTAGCGTGCTAGAGACATGGACAGGCTCTTTTGGCTTTGCAGAGATGACTAATTCTGAGAGATCTCAGTTTCTTGACTATACTTTCCTAGATTTTGAGGGTACCATCATGTGCCAAAAGTTGTTGATTAACATTGGATCTTCAGATTCAGTTTGTTAATAGGTATGTAATCTTTAATATTTCAGAAGTAAACCAGTTTGAATATAACACAAAGAGGACTACAACAACAGTGACAGAATGGAACAACCAGTACTCTCTGCTCTTCTGATAAAAGATGACAGGAATTATGGTCTGCATGAGTTCTCCATCATTCCACACTAACGTCACAAGTAGTAGATCGTGTTTGTCCAGAGCATGAGTAGCCTTGTAAAAACACCCTACTTCTGTTAGGGACTTTAATCTATGAAGGAGTCTAATCTTTTTTTCAATTAAAAAAATTAAAATTAAGAAATTTAACTGTTAAAAGAAATAAAGATAACAAGTACTTGTTTGTTTGTTTTAAAAAAAAATAACTTTATTTTTTTAGTTTTTAAAAATTAAAAAACCAAAAACCTTTTTTATTTTAGTTTTTTGTTCAGAATAAGCTTGTTGTTGAAATTTTTATTTTATTCGAGAAAATATTTTTCTTTTTAAAAACATGTATACGAGCAGTTTTTATTTTTATTTTTGCTATACTTTATAAAGTTTTGAAATTAAAAAATAATATGATAATTTGAAGTGTTGTTTTTCGCCATGAAATTTTACATTAAGAGTTTGTTTGGATGAGTATTAATTAATTTTAAATATGAAATTTGGGTTGAGATTGGTATTAAAATAAAGTGATTTATATTTTAATGGTTTATGAAACAAGTTAATAATGAATTTCAATGTAATTAATAAAAAAGTTATGTAATGTATATATTTTTGTTTTCAATGATCGTGATATTGTTTATCAATTTGATATGAATTTATATTGTGAAGTACCAAATCAGCCTGTTATAAAAAAAATTTCAATTCAAAATAAATTTCAAACTAAAAGTTAATATTTTAAGAAGATTTTAGAATTTTTCACATATATTTAGAACGTATTTTTTATTGTTTTTAAAAATAAATTCAAATTTTTTTAGTTTTCAAAATTTAAAACTTATTTAAAAATCTGTTTTTTAGTATTTTAACTAAAAACATAATAATTAATAAAGGTATTTTATAATTTTAATTATCTGATTACAATATTAAAACTATTTTGTAATTTTCTCACGACTTTTTTTATTATTAATATATTATTTTTAAAATAATTTTAAATCAGAATTATCAATTAAATTCTTTCTTTTAAAAAATATTTTTTTTAAGTAAAATTGAATTACTTCATATTTAGTTAGCAAATAACGCAAAAACACTACATATTTTTTATATAAAATACTAAAGTTTTAATATAAAATATGTATGTTATTTATTTTTGTGCATGGACATATCCTCGCATTTTTCCAAAATTTTCAATTTTATTAATGTATTGCCTTGACTTTTGCCCATTTTGTAAATTTTTTTTTCTTGTGAAATAAATGACATTCTAACACTGACCAAAATTAGAATCCATGATCTCTACTTGTTTATAAAATAAAACTGAAATATGTACATTTATAATAATTTATACAATAAATTATGTATCATCGTTGTTTGTATTTTTAGATTTACGTAATTATGATTCGTATTAATGATATGTAAAAAAGTGATAGAAAAAAAAAACATTGTCAATATAACATTTTTTTTTCATTAAATTTATCCTTTGCTTTCGGTGGGTATCTCCGTTGCAGCTTTGGATATGACCTCAAAGGCTTTCACCACACAGAATTTGAGCTTCTTCTCATCAATAAACCCTTTGTGTGTTTTCATGGTAATTCTCAACGTTGTCGTGTAGCTCATAACTGCAATATTTATACTCTGCAACAGCAAAGGATAACATGTTATGGTAATTACCATGTTTAACTAATTTATTTCTCCTAATAATAATAATTAGTAAGTAAACACAATACATAAAGTAAACTGTAAGTTGTTCTTATTATCATGGTGGTTACCTCTGGTCCACCTGTCATGGTGAAGTACAAGCCTTTAACAGGGTGATTTGCCAAAACCATTGGTTCCACTGGTCCAATCAAGTTGGACACAACAACACTTGAGTTTCTCAGTGTCCCATAAATATGTTTAGCCACTGCCTGTAATAAATGTCAACAGAATCAACTTTTAAGAACAAGGAACAAAAAAAAAATCTGGGCTGTGTTGTACATGCATGTACCCACCTCATGTCCTCTTAATTTCAGCTCCATGTCTAAGAGCCATTCAATGAGAAACACTGTGAAAGAATTTCTCTTCCTCTTGATTATCTTTTGGGCTTTCCACACAAATTGAAGGGGGTTGGATATGCTGGCTTGGCTTAGCTTTGGTATTGGTGCATGCAAGAAAGAAATATGATTCCCCCAAGGGGATTTTGAATCACTCTTCATCATTTCTTGGATTGATTGGTAGCTTCCAATGTTCCTTGTACTAAGCATCACCAATCCTGTGGAATTTGCTTTCCCTGCCTTGTTATCAATCTCTTCCATGTATAGCCTAATCCCATAGAAGATTGCCCCAGTAATCACATCGTTTATTGTCTGCAATTACTCACAGAAATTATTATTTTTTTACCTTAACTTGATTAAACATACCACAGTTATTTGGAATCCTAAGAACTGTCACCAGTAGGATCATTATAGTTTTGTCCTTAAAACAAGATGTAGATAAAAATCAATGCTTTTTTCCCACCAACAACAAATTAGTCTTACCACTCCAAGCTTGGACTTGATGTTTTTGACTTGATCAAGAGAGAAGGATATGTTTGATATCACACACGGCAGAGACTCAACTCCTTCCTCACCATTCCTTATAGGTGACTTGTCATCCGCAACAACTGAACTTTTCACTATGCTCCATCCAAAATCTGAAATAGAGTTGAAAAAAGAGAACACCGTGGAAGGGAACCACCTGAAGAAACCCTTCTTGGAAGGTAATGATGAAGAAGATTTTCGTGAGGGAAAGGAGAGAGGAAGAGAAGGGTCATCAGCTCTTCGAAGACAAGAGAGAAGAGCTCCCATAAGGGAGTAACCATCTCCAAGTGCATGGTGAAGTTTGAATATTAAGGTGCCAGCACAAGTGGTTGTAGGGTATTTGATCACATGAATTTCCCAAAGGGGTTTATCTTGGGGTGTTTTTTCCATCAGTAACCTTGTCACGTACTCATCAAAATATTGGTCATAAAATTCTAGTGACTCGTTTTCAGGGAATGTTGGAACCTTTATGTGATCTTCAGCCTTCACCTCCACCCTTTTCCATTTCATTTCTCCTTCTTCATCTCTCACCTAGCATGTGTGTGTCACAGTTAATTGATACAATTATTAATATGAGGAAAAAACATTTACAAAAAATGGAGCAATAATAAGAACCATTATGGAAGAGAATCGTGGATTGACTCTTAGAAAGACATCTTGGAACAAATAGTTGGCTTGAGAGAGTTCAATTGGAACTTGTGATTCTAAGAAGCCAAAAACATAGGCACATAGCACTGTGGTGTTGAAGTATCGTCCACTAGGACTCACTGGCTCTGTAACATCTTCCAAGTTGTCCATTATATACTATTGTTGGACTGATTTTAGAACGTGGAGACTAAGGAGATTGAATATCTCTATGTCTATGCTTACTTATATATAGCATTATATAAGAATTTCGAGGGTAAGAAAATTTCTAGAGTCAAATTTATCTGATATATAAAGATCCATAATTATTTCTATTTCAAATTTCAATATATAAAAATCATACTCGCAATCAATCAATATTAAATGAACTATACATGAAAAAAAGTCATATTAAAATTAATGTCTTACCTATTAAAAAAAAATAGAATACTTCTATATATTTATTAGTATTATAATGTATTAGGTATTTTTGAGATATATTATCTTTATCAGATAAAAAAAAATCTATAATATTAGAATACATTACCTACTTGATATCACTTATTCAATGATACCACAGAATAATTAATATTATAAGATATTTGCAAAATAGATTACAAGTTAAATTTATAAAAAAAAATTATATCATCTTCAATCAAAATATTTAAGACATTAAATTTAATGTATTTTCATTTTTTTTCATTTTTATCCTTTCCAACCTCATATTTTAATTTCATTGTGAAGCATCTAGAATATTATGTTTTTGGTAATTTCTTGGTGTACAAGAGTTATTTTATAAATTATGAAAGAAAAATGTTTATGAACCATTTCCAACATTTAACAGAAAATTTTCAAATACATTAATATAATCTCTTTTTAAGTTCAACTATTTGATGTTCCATATAAAAAAGGGAGAGAATTAAATGTATCCTCAATTTATTCTATCATCAATATATCTTGAAATAAACAGTAACAATGAAAAGTTCGATATATTAATTATTTTAGAATTATAAAGAATTATTATTTGTTTAATATAATAAAATAAAATATTTAATAAAATATTTCTTTTTTTATACAATGTATAATTAAAGCTAAAATGTACAATTACTGAAATTTTTTAATTAAATTAATTTTTTTATTTCTATAATTGTATGTTTTTAAATATATTACTTATCTAAATATAAGTGCAGAATAGCACTAACAGTCATATAGATACTATAACTAAGATTTCGACTTTCAAAATTTTAATTACATTCTCATTTGTATATATTAAAATAAAGATTTTTAGACGAAGTTTGAAACTTAGGGTTAGTTAATTTGAAATAAAAATGTAGACTGAAAAACAATTTAGAATCTTGTAAAAGAATATAAAGAAAGATGCCATTCTATATTTTGTTTTACTTATTATTATTTTAAAAAATAGTTATATACATTGTTTTTTCATATCATATTTACCTCAAGTTATATGTGTGTGAAATTTTATTGATATAAAGTCTTAAAATTGATTTAATAATTACATTTTCACTTGAGAAAAAAAAACTCTATATATGTGGATCATAATTCAATGTCACTAAGAATTTCTTTGTATTAACATTAACAATTTAAAGTGTATTAAATATGATTTTTGAAATTATATAAAAGGACAAATTAATTTAAAGTCAAAGTCTAATTTATGCATAAATTAATGCTGATTGCCCCTGTATGTATGCCTTACTTAGCTCTCACTTCTTATGTGGGACCTTCTTAATTAATAAACTAAAACATAAGCCATGTTTAAAAAGTTATTTCATTTTTTGTTCTTCTATAGTATTATGATATGAGATTCATAATTTGTTTTTCAATTTTCAATCTTACATTTTATCATTATTTAATTAAAATTAAAATAGTTATTCACAATTCTTTGAATATTAATTAACTTTTAAAATTGTATGTTTTTAATTCAATTTAAATATTTTTTAATTGATAGTAAAAAAATAGTTTATTACTATCATAATTATCTCTAATAATAATAATAATAATAATAATAATTCGGTGACATTTTCTTAAATATGACATAATTATTATAATGAATATAATAAGAATTTATAATCACTTTAGCGTTTAGGCTTTAAATAATGCTTTATATTTTTTTAAGATTAAGTTAGTTATAATAAATAATAAAGAAAAAAAATCAACAAAATGTCAAAATTTTAAAATAATAAAAAAATAGTGGAAACTAAAATAAGACAGGAAATTATTTATGAGATTAAAATATATTTAACTCAATTAATTTATATTATTTCTAAATTACGTGAAGATAAACAAATAAATTACAAAGATATATAGAAATTTAATATATTATAACTAGTATTTCTTTTATATATATATAGACAGAGAGAGAGTAAACGTGTAAATACATTATAATTATTTAAATTAAAATACAATGTTAAAATAAATATAAAAAATTTATGAATATTAAATAATTACCTTATTTATTAAATATAAATATAGACAATCAAATGATTTCTATAAAATTTATTTTATTTATATTAAATAAATATATTTTTTAGTCAAATTAAGTACCTATAAAATATATATTTATCTTAATTTTAAATATATTTGTATTTTAATTATGATTAATGATAAGGATTAAACAATATCAAAGATTTTAGATTAACGATACCTGTGTTAGAAGTGAAAAAAATTGACTGATATAAGCGATTAAACATAAAACCATGAATGATATATAATTTGACTTCTTGCATGAGTCGAGATCAAAGAAGAGGATGAATAGATATATAATCAATAACGTTGGGACGTGCGTTTCATAAAAACCACGTAATTTTAGTGATGATGATAAAAGCATTAAATTCAAACAATAACTAGTAACTGTATTCACCTAATAAGTAATAACTTAATAATGATGTGTCCTATTCAAAAACAAAGCTTATTCAACTTATAATCAATGTGAATAAATAAATTTCAAACAATTTGATAAGGTTGAATGAGATTTGTGTGTTAATTACTTCTTGTTGTGAAATTCTTCATCACATAATTGTTGGAACATTTTAAAATATTTGTCAAGGTGGCATAACAAAATTGTAAAAAAAAAAATTACTGTTTCCAAGCTAGATATTAAAGATTGATAGTACACTCTTCATAGATAATTTTTTTTTAAATAAAATTTTATAAATTATTTTATTCTTTTCACTTGAAAAAGATAGTTTATGAAAATAATTAATATTATGCCTTAAGTATTTTTTAATTAGTTTTTGAATAAATCCTTTAAGATAGTTTACCACAACAATTAATAAATACCTTATCAAAAACAATTTATTTTATTTATTTATAACAACAATTTATCAATAAACTACTTGATGTCATGGAAGTTCAACTAATTTTTTTGTGTTTAAGTATAATCATAATAAATTTTGATATTTAAAATAAGGATTTAAATTTAAGTATTACAAATGAAAAGATTATAATTGAGACAGTAAAATTTAGTAAATTAATTAGTTAGATTTCTAAATAAAATTAATAAACACTATATATCAATAATAAAATAATTATATTAACGAAAATATTTATTGATTTTGGACTTGTGGTTGATGTCAGGCCGGATACATGCGGATTACATTTATGTAACACGAGGGGTGCCCGGTTTTTTCCAATTTTTTAAATCATGTATATATTTATAACTTTATTTTTTTTATTTTGTAATATTTAAATTTAATAATTTATTAAATTTATGTTAATTAAATAAAATAAAATTTACTTAATTTTTTATAAATATTAAAATAAATTATATGATATTCTTTTTTATAAACGGATTTAATAACGTATCTAAATTAAATAAAATTATTTTTCAAATATAAATAATTATTATATTTTATCTTATATAAAATTTTAATAAAAATTATAATAAATTTTATTTTATTTTTTATATAATTTTTCACTTATTTCATTATTTTATTTTTATATTTTTCTATTTTATCTTCTTTTTTTATTTTACACATTTTTTTCATTTTTTATTTATTTTCTCTTTATTATTCTTTTACTTTTATATTTTTGTTACCCTATAACATAGAAATTATATATATATATATATATATATATATATATATTTATTTATTTAATTATTCTCTTTTACAATTTTACATTCATCACATAAAAATTCTATTTTTTAAATATTTTTTTCTTTTTAATTCATTATAGAATTTTAAAGTATTAAGAAAGAAAACTGAAATAAAAAAAATCTCAATATTATTTTTTAGCAAAAATCAATGTAAGTAAATATTTTTTCCTTTTTTAGATTATTTTTATGATATATTATCATGTGTATTATTTATTATTAAATAATTAGAATAATGATACTTTATTCTTAATGTTAAAATTAAAAAATAAATTTTAAAAAATATATACAATAACTCATTCTCATGTAAACCCTTCTAATGTTTTAGGAAGGGAACATGATAAACAGAAAATAATAAAACTTCTTCTGCAAGATGATCATCACAAAAGTCTCTCTGTTTTTTCGTTCAGGTTACGGGTGTGTGTCTCTAATGATTTTTGAACTTACGAATGTGCTTATTAAAATCTTTAATTCTGCTCCAAACCTAACTTTGGAAAATTTAAAATTTTTTGACATAGAACAACTTCAGAATCAAGTAAAAAATATTGCTTGTCTTGGATGACGTGTGGAACGAGGGTCGTGCTCGATAGGATGAGACGAAGGAAATAAAAGATGTGGGTGTTGAAGGGAGTAAAATCTTAGTGACAACTTGTAGTCACTCGGTAGGTGTCATGATGCGCACTAAATCGTCAAACTCTTACTTTCCAGAATGCCTCTCTGAAGAGGATTTTTTTTTATTTGTCAAATCTGCTTTTGAAGATGGAGATGAGAAAAAGCATCCACAACTATTGGAGATTGGGAAAGAAATCATACAAAATGTGGAGGTGGGTTGTCGTTGGCTATGAGAACGTTGGGGAGTTCATTACTCTCAAGGGTTGATAACAAAAGAATGGGAATTTATAAGGGACAATGAGATTTGCAAACTTTGAACCTTGATGGATACGTGAAGCTAGAAAAAGTCCCAAAAGAATAAGAAATCTAATCAACCTTCATGAACTAGTTATAACCTTTGACTTCTTTATAACTATATTTTTATTGTTGTGATAACGTGGAGTTACTGTTT